CACAGGCTTTGATGCTGAGTTTAGGTGTAACATCAGTAGCGAACAGCCAATCACATGCTGATAGAGTTTATCGAATATTAAGAATTTAAACAAATGTACACAGGAAGATTCGTCGTCTTTTGGGAGGTGATGGAAACTACAGTCGTTGGCAGGATCACTCTGATTTCATTTTCAGCTTATGTTCAAAACAATCACGTTTAAGCCACTGAATTAGTTTAGTCCGGTTATACATACAACTGCGAACAGCACATGTTGTCCATGAGCTCCGTAACGACATCTCTCATAAAGATTTGTGTCTTTAAAGCTGTAGTATACGATGTTGAAAATCGGTCGAGAGAGCCTGAAACGGGAGGGAAGTTTTGAAAAACTCATCCCGCCTCTCCACACACACTTGCATACTGCAATATATTCAAGCACTTCAAGAAATATATTTATTTACTTTGAACCGTGATACAGGTGATGCTAAACAGCTAACATTCCAATGCGGACCGGCAGCATTAGCAAGTTTTCAGACTGATAAAAAGCTATTTATGTAACACGTCACACCATATAAGAGTACAAATAAATGTTTACCTGCTCAACAAAAAGTCAGCCGTGTCAGCGTCGGTCTTCAGTCCCAGAGCTCGCTGAAGTTTCCTCCATCGGTCAATGGTGAACCCTATATTTATCCTACTCAACTTTCGGCGTTCTTCACATTTTCTTTTCGTCTCTGCTTTTTCCTCAAACGACTTTCTCTTCCGTCCTAACTTTCTTGTAGGGGCAAGCAGGGGACGCTTGCTGATGTATTTTTCGTTGTTATCCATTGCTGTCTGATGTGCTACTTAGCTAGCTACCATGTGCGGTCACCTGCTAACGTGCGCGATTCTCATGACGCAGAAGGGGGGCGCGGTCGGGCGTGGTTGGGCGCGGTCGGGGTGGAGACGCGAGCTCCAGGCGGAGTTTCAAGTGTAGCTGGTGATTGGATGAGAGCAGTTGACCAATGTAGCTTTGCGCTCGCAAAGCTTCCATTGGTCAACTTTTATGTGGCTGTACAGCCAATAAAGTGAATGGATTTTTTTCGTTCTTTTTTCTATTTATATTGTTAGGATTATACTATATAACCATAAACAGCATCTAAACGAGGATATTAATAATGAACAATCTTTGAAATCGTATACCCTAGCTTTAAATAGTAAAATAAATCTCAGAAAAACAGCTAGCCTCTTCGCTAACTAACACACAAAATACCATTGGAATGCTACTTCCGCCGCCTCACCGGAAGTTTCACCCACTTTATTTTTTACAGGAGCGCCCCTCGGAAACTTGTGGATACAACATTTGTAATTTTGAAGTTCCGTAGCTTTGAAAGGGAACTGTTTGAGCGAGCAAAAGCAGCAGGCGAGAGCAAATCAAGCGCGAGGCGAGGGAATGATCATGTCATGCGGGCATGCAGTTTTTGAATGAGCTCTCGAGTTCCTGTTTCCTCACGTGTAGATCTGTTTTCCTCTCGCGGAGGTCATTTACCGCGCGCGCCAGCATCAGTTGTGCACTCTGTTATTATTGCCATTGATTTGCCCCTATAAATTACAGAGATGTAATGTCCCTCCATTGACAGACAACGCAACCTCCACTTTCAATAAAACTGAAGTTAAAGGTGCCATCTGTAAAAATTGAGGTTAAAATATCCCAACAATGAGCTACACACATCAAAAGAATGAGAAGAAATAAGGTTGATGACGTCATTAAAAAAATGACAAGTTATAGTGCTAAATTACTAGCCCCGGCCCGGCAGGTGTCGTAATACCAGTTTCGGCCATGGGACGCGGTATGCGGGCAGGCAACATTACCACCAGCCAAACTGGTGGTAATCTGCCAGTTGGTCAAGAATCCATTCTGGAGTGTACCTGTGATGTAAGGTAGAGATATGAAATGCACTTCAATGGCAGCTATATTTAAACACAGACGCACACACACACATAACGCTGACACAGTTTTAGCTGCTCATCCTGTTAACTGTCAGTGTCCCACCAATGGGATGCTTATTGCTCTTTTTATTGCCTTTTTTCCCCTATCAAATATTTTATTAATCATCTTAAGGTATCATTCGAAAGTTTAAACTATGGTGGCCCGAGAGAGCTCACCGTGCTGCAACTAACGAAAACACCAACAATTAAAGAAAACTTTGTTATTTATTTTTGAAATGACCACTCGTTTCGCTTGATAAGACTCTTATTCATCGTCTGGTGTTGTTTAAAGCCCTTTGAAGCTGCACTGAAACTCTCATTTGGACCTTGAACCGTTTGGTTCCCATTGAGAAAATCCTGGATGTTTTCATCAAAAATCTTAATTTCTTTTCGACTGAAGAAAGAAAGACATGGACATCTTGGATGACATGGGGGTGAGTAAATTATCAGCAATAGTTTGTTTAAAAGGGAACTACTTGTTTAAAATAAGTTTAGTACGGTCTTATTCCAAAGTGACAGTTAACAGGTTTACACTAAAAGCTTAAATGCTACAAATAGATTTAGTATTAAAGGTTCTCAAAGCGATCCTGGGTGTTGACGTTCGAATATTTTCAAACAAATCAGAGCTAGACCCTCCCTCCGCCGCATCTCATCTCCTCCCCCTCCCTTCCGTGCTTCCTGAAATAATCGTGAACGTGCATAGTTCTAGCTAATTATATCCTTGTGTGGGTTTGGCGAACATAAGCGTCAATTTAGAAGAAAAAAAAACAATTTAACGTTACCCACCTGTCAAGCAAAAACAGAGCAACCTGACGTCGGACTGGAAGCCCTTCTGCCGCCGGAGTTCTCGCCATCGTTCAAAAGCTTTGCTAGTCCAGAACGCCGCGGCAAGGTTTCTTACCAACACCCGTAAATATGACCACATCACTCCTGTCCTGCTCTCTCTCCACTGGCTTCCAGTCCAGTTCAGAATTCAGTTTAAGATCTTACTCTTTGTTTTTTGCTCTATCCATGGCCTTGCACCTGCTTATCTGTGTAATATGCTGACCCTTTATAAGCCCAGCCGAACCCTGCGCTCCGCTGAACAACACCTGCTGGTGGTCCCAGGATCCAGGTGCAAAAAGTGGGGTGAACGTGCATTTGCAGTAGCGGGGCCGAAACTATGGAATGCGCTGCCTCTGGAACTACGCGTCATCATGGAGCTGCCCCTGTTCAAGGCCAGGTTGAAGCACCATCTTTTTAGATCAGCTTTTGACACTGGACTGACAGCTGATTAGCAAAATGATTTTATAGAAGTGGTGTTTTTTTTTTTGTGTTTTTTTTTGTGTTTAAAGGCGGGCGTACACGGTACGAATTCTGACGGTCGGAAGATCGTATGCCCAGGCACACTTTACGAGTGCGTTTATACAAAAATCGTATGGAGGCAGTGATATACGACACGATTTTACGACCTGCTGAATTCCGAAGAAATCGCACAAAGTTCCGCACTAAAACTCTCATAACTGCATAAAACATTGATACAAGCCGTGGTTATTTTGCTATAGGCTCGTTTTCAGCACCGCGAAACGGACGTCCGGACGGACATAGTTACGGTAGGCTACACATTCAAAAATAAATTTCAAGCTCTCTGAATGATTAATTAGCCGTTTAAACCACCTCATGTGAGCGTTTGCAATTCATTTTGCTCCGAGAAGCTATCGCCGTGAACGGGGCTTGAGTGAGCTTGAGCGCGTTGTGAGAGTGAGGGCGCGGGTGCCAGATCCCGTGTTGCAAGATCCACATAATGGAAAGGTGCCAGTATCTGGACTTGTTTTTTGGATTAATGTCACGCTTTAGGAAGTTATTAAAGTGGTTCGTAATATATATCTTATTTTCAAAACACAAGCTTTGAACTTATTTTGGATTTTTATATAATTTCTTTGTTTTTGTTAGTTTTTGCTTGTTTTTCGTAGCAATATCTGGCAACATTGTTCTGTCGGCATTAATAAAAAAAAGCTTAGGCTGTAGACAAACTGTTATTGCTTTTAGGAGGATACAAACATAGCCTAATGATCATCGTGATGTGTAAGAATCTGTAAGAAATGTATAACACTATCAAAAACAATTAGCATAGCCTACAGTTGTTTCAGAATGAAATATGCCAAATACTGGCCAGTAGGAACACGGCAGATGCTGTTTAGTTAACCTTTCACAAAGTCATCATAAAAACATTAATTGAAGCAGTGTTTCTAGTAGTCCACACCATTTTCGTATTTCTTCTGTGGATTTCCTCAGCTCCCGATTGGTCAAATTCAGATAGATCGACAAATCGGCTCATTCAACCGCATACACCTCACGAATGCAAGCCAACAGCTCCCGAACTTTTTCGACATGCTTAAAAATTATCGGGAGGTCGAGAGGTGCTCGGCTCGGCTCGTATCTTCCTCGCACACGATACGAGCCGCGACATGCGAGCATTACCGATTTACACGCGATTTCCCCCGAGTGAAAAAAATCATCTGCGAGCTCGTAAAACAGCAAAAAAATCGCACCGTGTACGCCCGCCTTAATGTTGTTGTTGTTTCTTTTTCTCTGTCCAGCGCTTTGATCAACTCATGGTTGTTGTAAAGCGCTATATAAATAAAAAATTGATTGATTGATTGATTGCTACCGATGTAAATTCGGAACTTCGCACGTTCTTTATCCGACTCCTTCTTTTTAATTTGTTCTTCAGAACGACGTCTCTTTGGTCGTGTGTCGGTAATTTTTCAAACTTCCCTCTGATGCTTCGCTGCTCTCCTTCACACACACACACCCTTCATGTGCACGCGCACTAACCCCCCAGACCCACCCTCAAATACTTCTTGCCAGTGATTGGCTGGAACACTGTTTGTTAGGTTTCTTGGTCCGGGTGAGACATGATTGTTTTTGTTGCCGTTTGTGGAGCCTGTGGTGTCTACAGAGACCGCGTTTTTTTACAGTGTGTTCAGGGGACAGGCAGCTAGCCGATAGTGAGGAGATGTTTGATGTATGTGACAAAAAATGTTTTGGCCCAGCATCGCTTAGAGAACCTTTAATTTACAATGAATTACTTTCATTCGCTCATAGCGTCATTAAGGAGCAGGGTGTGTATGGATATGGATATAAACTCACAGGCTTTCGAGGTTTGTTCACAGAGCTGTAGATCACGTCTCCCTCTGGATCCACTGATGATAAAGCCTGCGAATAAACATGATCAGCTTTAAGAATCCTGTATTACAACCATTAGTGTGTCAATTCTGTGCTTCAAATGTCACATAACAGAAGTGCAAAAATAGTGATCATTTACAAAGGAAATCAAAGGAAAGGAAACAATTTAAGAAAACGTCATGAGTTTGACAACATATGTGCTGCAAAAACGCACTCACGACGCTAAATACATTTCTGTTTTTGCTGCACATGTTTTAAAACTGATGACGTTTTCTTAATTTGCTGGTGTTTTTTCTTCAGTTGCACTTGCAGCACATTTAGTGACCTCAGTATTCATCTTGTACAACTCAGACATTGCCTTACGATGAAAACGGTAGGTCAGCGGTGTGCACCTCAGGATCTCTAGGGCATAATCTGAAATCACCCCTAAACCCTCATTCACTATTCCCTACGTTAGTCCACTAACACTGTTCACTTGAAGGAGAGAATGAAAAGGAGTGAGCGAATTCAGACAGCCGTTGAGCGTACATCGGTTGTACACTCTTACACTCTTATTAGTGCACTCAGTCACTTCTATGGTTTCGGACACCACTAAAGGCTGTCCCCTCAAATAATGCCCTATTTGTGGGTAAAGGGGGCGATTTTGGATTCAGTGTAGTACCAAATGAGAGTTTCAGTGCAGCTTCAAAGGGCTTTAAACGACACCAGACGATGAATAAGGGTCTTATCTAGCAAAACGATCAGTGATTTAAAAATAAATAATAAACTTTAAGTTTTATAAGCACAAATGCTCGCCATGCTCTGTTCTGTGATGCGCGTTCGTGACTCTCCTGTTCAAACTCGTTCATCAAAATGAACGAATCTTCTTTCAAGTCATTTAAATTACTCGAAAAATGACTTGCTCAGAACAGAGCAAGGCGAGCATTTGAGCTTATAAAACTTAAACTTTGTTATTTATTTTTGAAATGACCGATCGTTTCGCTAGATAAGACCCTTATTCATCGTCTGGTGTTGTTTAAAGCCCTTTGAAGCTGCACTGAAACTCTCATTTGGACCTTGAACCGTTTGGTTCCCATTGAAGTCCATTATATGGAGAAAATCCTGGACGTTTTCATCAAAAACCTTAATTTCTTTTCGACTGAAGAAAGAAAGACATGGATATCTTGGATGACATGGGGGTGAGTAAATTATCAGCAATAGTTTGTTTAAAAGTGAACTACTTGTTTAAAATAAGTTTAGTACGGTCTTATTCCAAAGTGACAGTTAACAGGTTTACACTAAAAGCTTAAATGCTACAAATAGATTTAGTATCAATTTACGATGAATTGCTTTTATATGCTCATAACGTCATTAAGGAGCAGGGTGTGTATGGATATAAACTCACAGGCTTTCGAGGTTTGTTCACAGAGCTGTAGATCAGGTCTCCCTTTGGATCCACTGATGATAAAGCCTGTGAATAAACATGATCAGCTTTAAGAATCCTGTATTACAACCATTAGTGTGTCAATTCTGTGCTACAAATGTCACATAACAGAAATGCAAAAATAGTGATCATTTACAAAGGAATGGGAAGTAGGGGAACTGGGGATTTTGTGTGTGAATTTACATTATTTCCTTTTTTAGCATTTAGCAATTAATTTGTAATAAACCCTTTAAATATAAATTGTAAGTGAGCATTAAACCTATTTCTTTCTAATAGTATTAATTTAGCATGTGATGTTATGTGCGGTCAAATACCCGGTGTGTAATTTGTCCTGATGTGTATTTTTGTGTTACAAGTGTTCTTCTCACCAATATGCTTGTTGTGCTTCGTGGAGTTTCATGTGTTTTATAGACATTCTTAATCGAATGTGTTGACCCCCTCCCCCAGCACCCCATCCTAAATCAAGTTTCCCTTTTGATTTGGACCAACAGGACGTCCCAACCCAACAGAGCATTCAAAGACGACACTTACTGCCTTTTTCTTACGGCCTTTTTTAGGGATCACAGAACTGTAAATCACCGAACAGTCGTCCACTGAGGCCGAAGACTGTGAAGAAACACAACTGATGATCATTCATTTTCAATCATCATCTTAGTAAATGTCTACAGAGAGGACTAATGACTTACAGTAGCAGCTGCTGGATGGATGGATGTCATCTGGTTTTCAGAGGCCGTCTGCATCAAACACAAACACAAACACAGATTTAGATCCATTTCTGAAGATTTCTGAATTCCATCAGTATGTAAACTACTTACTGTATTACTGGTGGGGTTCAAATGTTCTTCTTCTCTAATGTGACCCCTCTCTGTCAGAGTGAGATATGAAGATTATATATCAGAATATTTTCCATAGACACAGTTAAAAAACCTTTATGTAATACAATGCTTTCCATTGCACAAACGTTTCTTTATAAATGGAAAAAGGTTATTTGGTTGTTTTTAAATGCTCTTCACACTAAGAACAAAATGGTTATTTTAAGAACTGTTCACTAAAAGGTTAATATTTGTGATGTATTTGTTCTGTGTAATGATTTGTCTGTCCTCTAGGGGGCGACAATGTTCTTGTTTGTGTCGTTTGCTGCTTCCTAATTTGCATACTACTATCCGTCCTAAATAGTATTCGAAAATAGAATTAGTACAACCCAAATCGTAGTTTGTTGAAATGAGTGTTACAAAGATGGTCTACTAAATCTACTAAATCCAGTAGAGTGTAGATCGATGCACACGCTAACGGCTGATATTGCCCACAACCCATCGCGCGTTCGACGAGGATTCGGTTAGAACTACAAACACGAGTTAAAAGTGTTAAAAAAAACGGTGGAGAGAACTCAAAGAATTTTACATTTTTAAATCAGACGCCGATGTTGCACTGTTTCTTCTGCTCCAGCAAAACTAGCTGTATGATATCGACATGGCTCGACTGCAGATTTTATACATCATTATTATACTTTGTAATGCAAAGCAGCATTAGTTCACATTTTACAGTTCACAGAATGAGCCATCATTGAGGTAGATCAACCCGATCTCACTGCAATTCGTATGAATTTAACGAGGTGGCTAATTCGTAACAATTCGTACAGCCTCATTTGTACAAATTAGTTCGATTTTTGCTAAATCTTACACATTTTACAAGTTGTTATATATATATATATATATATATTATACAGTACATTTGTACAGTATATTTTGCCCATTTAAAGAGATGGTTCTAACATGAAATCCATGGAGAGGAGGCGGATCCAGATCCAACTCCTCCCACCTCACATACACCTAAACCTACCCAACTCTGCCCCCTGATCCCTAAACCCACCCCTAATCCTACCCATCTCCACCCCTTGGACCTTGATCTGACTCCTCCCCTTGGATCTCATGTACTGCATTGAGGTGCTACTGCATTTAAATAGCTGTAAATGAAGCAATAATATACTGTCAGTCCTCCAGAAGAGAAAACTCACTCAGCTTCTTTCTCAGCATCCAGGTTACTATTACAACGAGAGAAACGAGCAGGAACAGCACAAGCGTCGATACAAGACTCATGAGCAGAATCATATCAGGCCTGTAGTGATGGAGAGACATATTTGTGTTTATCATACAGAACCATTCTCACATTTAATGTGCAGCAAGTTCATCTGTTAAAGCTTTTTATATTTAGAGATGCAATAAAAGCAAATTCATTAATTTACATGCATACTTGTTTTGCTTATCCTGGTGATGTATTTCTGTATTAATAGTCGCTGAGGCTGATGTTACAGATGAATGAGCTTCATCTCTGCAATTAAAATGAACATTACATTACTACAGTATGTTAACATGTAATAGTTTGGTATAATTTGCTATGAAAGACTGAATAACAATGTTCACACTTACATGTGTGTCTCAGGTCTTAAATCAGTAATCATAACTGCTGCCAAAAACAGAAACAGAGAAACATGTTTCTTCGTTTGATCAAAGTGTTATCATTAATGAAAGAAGCTGTTTGTTATGAGAGCCACATGGAAAAAAGGAATGCTTTGAAAATCATAATTATGCATAAAAAGTTGACTGTCATAATTATAACTTTTTTTCTTTTGACTTGTCATAATGTTCTATGTAATAAGAATACTAAAGCATGATTTTATGTTTTTCATACTTTTTAATGTAATTTAAATTAGTCATAATCATGACTTCTATCTTTAGAGATTTGTCATAATTCTGATATTTTATGTTAGAATTTCAGCTTTTTGTGTCACAAATATGACTTTTTATGTCATTAATTCTACTTTTATTTCATAATTATGATTTACTAAAGCATGATTTTTTTTTTCCTAAGTGGCTGAAATGTGAAATGGGCTCCCATTGTATGCAGTGTATCAAAACAACGATTGTTTCCAGTTTTTTTTTTTCTTTCTGATGGATTAATGTCATGTCATATCATAATTGGTATTACACATTAAACATATTTAATCTGATTAACCCAGTTCAGCTGCTCCTTACTGTTTATGATTTCATTCACGGTTGCAGGATTTCTGTTTGCAGATGTCTGAGTTGTGTCCCTACAAAACAATGTAAAAAGAGAAAGAAAAATATGAAAGTACAATCGAATCATATCATTCCAAACCTGTATGACTTTCTTTCCTCTGTGGGACATGAAAGAAAAGAACAATACTTGTATGCTCTTCTCCTGCACTTCTTTCTCTTTAAAAAATACCTAATCATTCCACATTGTGAACAAATCATTTAGAGCAGTTTTGGGAACAGGATCAACAGGTTTTCAGGGTACAAAAATATTTAGATGCATTTGATTCCTTTAAATGGTCAGAAATTACACCTACTTGTCTGTCTCAGGGTCAGATGGTGCTGCTGTTGGAATACGTTTCACTGAAAGGAGAAAAACATGAAGATAATTAGAGAATTAAAATATAAGATAGCTGAACTGATGTGTGATCATCTCACCAGGTTTGGGTTTGACAGTGAGTTGAACAGGAACCTGCAGATCTCCTACTGAGCACAAGAACCATCCAGAATCACTGAGTCTCAGTCCAGTCATCAACACAGTGAAGGAGCTTCTCCCATCATCACTGATCTGGACTGATGAACTCTGGGATGTGTCAGTCCTCCCCACTGTGTAACAGCCCTTATCTTTATATCTGCACCACTGTTTGAGTTTATTCTTATATTCAGAGCTGTAGAAACACCGGACACTGACATCATCACCTTCATGTCCAGATACACTGCTGCTCATCACAGACACATCAGGAGCTGAAATGAGTCAAAAAACATTTGTCCATCAATTGTCTTATTGCCTGTAAGATGTAAATAGGCTTATCTAAATTCCCTTGATATTTATTTATTTGATATTTTTAAGTGTTTACTCTTAAAATATATAAGAATATAACCGCAAAAGTTCCCAACAATACCAAATATAGAAACACGCAACAAATAGAACACAACGGAAATGTTTCCAGGGGACCCAAATAAGTGTTGAACCTGGCTGGGCCATGCTTATTGCTCTTGCACATCCCTATGCCCTACTCCATTAGAAGGGCAGAGCCCTTGAAGATGGGACTTTGGAGGGAGCAGAGCACTTGTGTGCCATCATGTAGACGTGTGAACGCACTTAATGAAGGGAGCAACGAAAGACATAAGCTGTGTCCCAATGTGAAGGCTGCATCCTCCGAAGGCCGTATTTGAAGGCCGATTGCGTCACCGCGGTGCGATGAAGGCTGTCCCAAATTACTTCAGCATCCTCCGAAGGCCGTATTTGAAGCATGGTTCTTCTTCTTCTTCTGTTGTTTAAATGCCGGTTGACTCGAACTTAGGCTGGTTGCATAATTGCAGCACGACAAACGCTACCCTGATTCAAAATGCAAAATGCACCCTTTCCCCAAATGGATCCAAAGCGCCCTGTCCTACCCCATAAGTCATTGGGCTGGTGACGACATCTTTTTTATTTATTTTAAAAAAGGGCGGCAGAGAGTTCAGTGGTGGACGGCAAATTCACACTTAAATGTAAAAGTATTATAACTCGGGGATGAAACATCCTCCCATGCAGTGTAGCCACATATGGTCACGAGAGGGCCTGGGCGTGCCTAATCTCTCACTGAATGTGTGAGAGTTGGCAGCCCTGCCTTATAGGCTTTCATTTAAGCCCAGTCCTGAATCTGTCTGACAAACAGAGGTCACATGACTTCTTTAAACCAGAAATAACACACATTTTTTCACAATTTCTGCCTAAACTGTGCTTTCTTTTAACCATGTGGCATGAAAGAACACCAGGGACACAAAACTCAACAACTTCAATACTTCAGGCACTCTGATGACTCAGAAAATGTATAATATACCCATACACTATTTATTTGTGAGAGCCTTAAATTAGAGTTGTGCAGTCAGAAAAAGTCTTCAAAATAGAATAGAGCCAAATTAATAGAATGGACGAATAGAATAGGAAGACCCATGCCTAAGTTTAGGTTACAGAAATTAGCTTCAATTCAGCCATTTTAAAGTGGTTAAAAAATCTGACCGCTAAATTTTGTGTTCCTCATTCCTAAACCATTCCGCTTCGCAAGACTTTTCAGATTAAACTCCAAGGAGACAATAAGAGGAATCAGAACTAGTGTAACAGAATTAGCATTGATTGATTCTCAGTTAATGAAGAACAAATATAATAATATATAATAATAATAATATATATAATATATATATATATAATGAAATATATCAGCAATTCTAAATAGTTGGTGTCACATGTGTGGGTTCTTCAGTTAACATGTTCTCTTTTTAACATATTTTTACATGTGTGTACAGAAATTAATATTATAACCCAACATCACTTACATTTTACATTATTTAACGTTATTTAGAGTTTAATATTATTTTTGAACTGCTTATTTATTTTATATTATATTTTAATAAATATCATTGTCAGAAAAAAAAAAGAAATTTGGAAAAAAAATATTTACCTGTTAGCACCGTCAGATACAAATAATAACTGATGCCAGAGCGACCAGTCTCCACAGCGCACCAGTAATATCCAGAGTCTGACGTCTGCAGATTGTCCCATCGCACTGTAAAAATACTCTGGTCTGGATAATCAGTGATGGAATATTTTCCTTTATTTCCTGCATATGCCAATATTAGGCAAGCGCTCCAAAATTGCCCCTTACACAAATATTTGCGGTTTTCTTTATATTGTTTATCATACACACATGGAAGAATGACAGATGATCCAGATTTCACTGCTATATTAAGTTCCAGTGCATTAACTCCAGCAACACCTGTAGTCAAGAATAAAGAGACAGTCAAGAGAAAACATAAAACACTCATGATGTAAATGAATATAGTAGAATTAGAACTTAAAGAATTCAAGTTAAACCATTTTAACAATTTAACAACAGACTGTACAATGGTTTAGTAATACTTTAGAAACAGAATTATAATTATTATTCGTTTTGTTTTTACCTGAAGAGTAAAGTAAAACCCCAGAGAGAACCAGAAGGTAGATCATGTCTATAGCGAAGTGTGTGTGTGTGTGTGTGTGTGTGTGCATGAGAGGAGCTGGTCACTTCTTGAACTGTCTCTGTTTCAGAGCAGAAATGACGCCTGAAACCACAAAATAAAAACTGTCAGCAAGTGATAAAATTAGCAGCAGCCTCAAAGTAGCCACAACCCATCAACATATTACTAATGACTAATTTGATTTGTGAACTGCATCACTCCCTCCAGGAAATAAACGACACCATGGTTCGTGTTACTTACTGATGGATTTATAGCATCAGCCTTCTCTCCGGCCGTCATCACATTCACCGTCAAACTACAGTATGACAATGCAAAAGGTAAACACGTTCACACACAAGAAGTAAATACAAATAGGCCTACATGGGGAATACGAAAGTAACACACATAACTTACCTCGCTGGCTGCATATAAGCCTAACCAATAGGGAATGAGTTCACTTGAAAAACCCGGTTCAAAAAACAAAAATCATCTAAACTTTTTCGCTCAAACAACAAAAAAACATGGATAATCACTTCCCACCAAAAGTCTGTTTTTCCTGTTGCACCTTAAAAAGTGTCTGTGTGCACTTTTGTAACCTACTTTAGTTCCTAGTTAACATCAACACTCAATATCCATGAATAGATTATACAAATATAACAAAACCATGTTAAGTAACGTAAAAATTATGTATGGCAATTATAAACTGGTTAAAGCCTGTTAAAATATAGAAGTGGTATAATCTAAATCAGCAGATTCTCTTGTTTCATTTGACATTTAACATTTACTCAAAATAAAAAATAAACTTTCTTTCTTTCACAACATGCAGGCCTGCCAACTCGCACGTATTCAGCGCCAATTCTCACGCTTTTTGCCACACCCCCGATTTCTCACGCTGAAGTGTCAACACGGCCGGTCAATTAAAAAATTGTCAGCAAGCCACCATTTCACAAAACTGTGAAAGTGATAACACAAACTGTAAGCTTTTTATATATTTGAATCATGTGTTCAATCGTTTTGCGGATTTACAATAAAATGTATTTAAACGGCTACGGCTTGAGTTGGTGGAAGGGGTTCATTAGGGGTTGGTTTAACTTTAAAATAAGCCAATTTTGTTGACAAAATAAATGCATTGCATGCACAAAATCTAAACTGTCCATGTTTAAACTGTCTTTAAAAATGTATTTAGCCTAAGTATCATTTTCAAATGTGTTGTGGCTGCATTAGTTCCTGTAGTGAGTGATGAACCTCTGAGAAAATAAAATAATAATGTGTGAATCTGCACTGAGGCTGTTAGAAACACACGAGTTAGTAAAGATGCAACACTAAACATTCAAGCAGAGACTGAAACTCCACTGACACTGTTAACCACACGGATATCAGAAATATGTGATACAGTATATGGGCAGACAAAAAACAAAAAAACAAAAAAGGTTTTTGGCCTTCAAACGTAAAAAAGAAGTGCACAGAACGTTCCCCTAACGTTCCCGAATGGTCCCATGAGGTTATTTTTTTTTTCTAAGTTATTTTTTCTTTTAAATAATCCTATATATACATATTGATATTTTCTTTTCTCTTTTTTCAGCTGAAAACACCAAACGGGCCTTGTGGACTCAGTCAGCCAGTCTCAAAGTCTTAATAATTCACAAGAATTAACAAGTTGTCAAATTTGTACGATACTCATACATATTTGTATAGTACATAATCCTGCAGCTTTTACTCCTAGTGCTGTCATTGGCTACTGCCTCAATTCCTGTACATATTTATCATGGTATTTGTAATTCAGTTGCGTCCCTTCTTGGAAAGTAGTCGGGGATGTCCCTCACACTGTCAGCAAATTCATATTAATTGCATTGTATTCATTAAAATGATAACAAATTGGTCCGTCTGTTCATTTTCCAATGATAGGCTACATGATTTATCTCCTCACACCTCATAACTTACCTCTGTTTGCAAGAGTGGAAAAGCTAATTTGACTTGTCACATGACATCATATATGATATATCCGATTATTTTGTCGTAATCAGATCAGTTACACTCCAGATAACTGTCCCGTTTGCATGTAAATCATGTTATTTTTAAAAGAGTTCATGTGATTATTGTCATGATCCTGGTTCTTTCTCTCTTCTTTTCTTACTCTGTCTCCATCTGCTGGTCACACACACACACACACACCCATTATTAGTCACTCATCTTTTCCAGCTGATCCTCGTTCTCTCATCTCCTCACCTGAGGCCTCATGTATAAAACTTTGCGTAGATGTCATCCTTAAAGAGTGCGTATGCATATTTCTATGCCCATTTTGTGCGTACGCAACGTTTATACATCAGGCCCCTGGACCTGCCGCTGGAGCTTCACTCTGCCTACCAAGACTATTTTGTGAACTATCCTTTGTTAAACGGCCGTTGCGGCTTTGCCTTGTTTACATTAAAGACTGAATTACCTGCTTTACGCCTTTTGGAACTTCTTCTTCAGCTACCGTGACAATTATTCATTATTTCCACATATCAATGAATCTATTACATAAAAATGCTTTGTTTCTGAATTTTTTTTTTTTTTTTGAGCTGTTGAAAGGTTTCTTATGCAATGTTCAAGTCACAGCTGAAGACACATAACACATTAGGCTATTATTAGACATAGCATATTAGGCTGTATACTTATTTCAGTACTTTTTGCTGCAGTCTTTAAGAAGTGAAATCAAAGAAACAACAGAAGAAATGGGTAATTTACACAAACAAATATAAAGCATGTTTTGAGGGTAGAATGTTTCAATCTTACCTGCAGTGTAAAGTAAAACACCAAGGAGAATCAGAGGAAGAGCCATGTGACTGTCAGAATGAGTAAAAGACAGAACCTGAAATGAAAATCTGACTTTCTGTCTCTGATAATGAGCCGTTCTTGTTTCTGTAGCTACTCATCGATGTAATGAAAACTGTTCTACACCGAAAGAAATATACACAAATATAATGTACAAAACTCTGCAGCTGAAGGAAGGCCTTATATAATATCTACTATTGTGCATGGTGTGCTTCATGCATCATCTTCTGAACCAGACAGAACATCTTTCATCCTACAAACTAAAATTACAACTCCATTCTTGAATGGGTAACAAGCCCAACAAAACAACACTGACACACATTCAGACAAGAGTCAGGGATGTAATGTAAAAAGCAGGCTTAAATGTGCACTCTGGGATAAAAAAAATCAAATCATACACCATATTCCATACCAAATACCTCCACGGCCACGCGCACTCTCATGTCTTCAAACAACACGGGCGAGCGCTGTTACTCTGTCTCCCTCGCGCATATAGTAAAAGGTTGGAAGACCGCAGTTTCACGTGAAGCATTTGGACATTTTCAGAGATTAGAGACTAAATGAACAACATCTCAATACTAAATTATAAAGGCCGTCTCATAGACAAGCCGGTGCATTTCGACGAAATGGCGTTTTATTATGCAATTCAAACAATGCAGTTTTGGCGCTTGTAAATGTTACACGACAGATCCCTAGCGCACGTGAACCGATCATCTCTACTAGCTAGCTGCTAATGGTAAAAGAACACGAACACTGTTGAAAGATACAGTAAGTTACAACTTACCAAAATGTATTCCTCATGCATAATATCGACCAATAATTTTTTTGAACTCTTCCCTGAACTGAAATTTAGTAGTGGGCTGTATTTTCCACACGACTGACATAAGATTCAAGTACACACAAGCCGCGCGAGTTACTCGTCTATTGCAGTTTGGCTGGTGGTTATGTTGCCCGCCCGCATACCGCATCCCATGGCCGAAACTGGTATTACAACACCTGCCGGGCCGGGGCTAGTGATTTAGCATGCTAATTTAGGTTTATAACTCGGCAGCACTATAACTTTTTTTTTGAGTTTTTTAATGACATCATTGCACTCATTCTTTTGATGCGTGTAGCTCATTTTTTGGATATTTTTACCTCAATTATTCCATAATATGGCACCTTTAAGAATTTGTTCATTTTCATACATTGTCAATTTCAGGGTGTTACAAACTGCCCGAGACTTAGGGTGAAGATCCAAATGCAGCTTTAATAGAGACAATCCAGAATCATAATCCATACAGGCAAAAGGTCAAACACACGGGCAAAGAATCCAAATGAGTAACAGGGCACAAAACCCTCAGGAAACCAGGATAATGGCATCAACATACAATACTTCACTAAGTATGAGTGAATACACACGCAGGGCTTAAATAGACAAAAGTAAACAAAATAATAACACAAGATGAGTAATCAGAACATCATGATCCAGGCAATGGCTTTTGGGAAATGTAGTTCATAGCAGAATAATGGAGTGCCCTCTGGTGGAGATCACTGGTGTTTGTGACACAGTTATCACAAATTAGTCAAATTATATCAACTAAATAGATACATTTATAACATTGGCTGGCCAAAATAATTACATTTTTGTTACGTTCTTTGATGATATGATGATATGATTGTTGAACAGGTCAAGGCATCACGAATGATACATTATTTAGTATTAAATTTGTTTGATTTTCATCAGATGGTGTCACACATACAGGACAAATGTGTGTTAGGCTATATGAGCATTTAATGTCCTTATTTATCGAGCAATTACAATTAATTCAAAACTAAAAATAAATAAACTAAATAAACATTTTTTTTAAATGAACTGTAATTAAATTACTTCTAACAAAAATGCATTTCTGCAAGGCTACAATTTATGTAGGCCTAAATTGCACTTGCATGAAAAGAAAAATGAAGGTTTCAGCTCTTTGCTGTTGTGTTGCTTTTGTCCTCCATTTGGTCAAGAATCCATTCTGGAGTGTACCTGTGATATAAGATAGTGAAATTAAATGCACTTGCAAGACTGGAAATTCATTTTGTTTCAACTATAAAAGGCAACTATATTTAAACACACGCGCACACACACAGTTTTAGCTGCACAACCTGTTAACTGTCAATGTTTCACCAATGGGATGCTTAGTGCTCTTTTTTATTACCTTTTTTTCCTGTCACATATTTTATTCTTCATCTTAAATTAGGTATCATTCGAAAGCTACGGTGGCCGAGAGAGCTCAACGTGCTGCAACTAAAATGCATGCAAATAGAAAAAAAACACCAACAATTTAAGAAAACATCATCCATTTGACAATATAGCCTATGTGACTCACTCACGACGCTAAATACGTGTCTGTATTTGCAGCACATGTTATCAAACTGATGATGTTTTCTTAATTTGCTGGTATTTTTTTTTCTATTTGCAGCACATTGAGTGATCCTGTTCAACTCAGACATTGCCTTACGATAAAAACGCTAGTTCAGCGGTGTGCACCTCAGGATCTCTAGGGCAGAATCTGAAATCACCCCTAAACCCTCATTCACTATTCCCTACGTTAGTCCACTAACACTGTTCACTTGAAGGAGAGCATGAAAAGGAGTGAGCGAATTCAGACAGCCGTTGAGCGTACATCAGTTGTAGCTACACTCTTATTGCACTAATTGCGATGCATTATGGGATTTAATAAGTGTACTCAATAAAGTCCACTATGGTTTCGGACACCACTAAAGGCTGTCCCCTAATGCCCTATTTGTGGGTATTGGGGGGGGATTTTGGATTCAGCGTAGTTAGTACTTTCTCTGCGTTCAGTTTGAGCGGCCACGTCAATATATTGTGGAAGTTTATCCTGTGTTCCTGTTGTCTGAGAATTATATTAAAGACTTTTGATCCTTTATCGTACGCTTGTTTACAACAAACAGCAACACTTAGCTATTTTTATTAGGCCTTTAGCACCAAAACTAAATCTCAAGAACCTCAGTTTTGGAGCTTGGTTAGCATGTGGTTTTGATTTAAGAGCATCTTGTTTTGTAAAATATATATTTTCACTTAAAATAAGTTTAGTAGTCTTATTCTAAAGTGGCAGTTAACAGGTTTACACTAACTAAAAATTGAAATGGTACAAAAGAGATTTATTATTAATTAACAGTTAATTACTTTCATTCGCTCATAACGTCATTAAGGAGCAGGGTGTGTATGGATATGGATATAAACTCACAGGCTTTCAATGTTTTTTCACAGAGCTGTAGATCACAACGCTCACTGTATCCAATGACAATAAAGCCTGCGAATAAACATGATCAGCTTTAAGAATCCTGTATTACAACCATTAGTGTATAATTTCTGTGCTACAATGCCTACAGAGAGGACTTCTGCATCAGATTTAGATTATTTTCTGAAGATTTCTGAATTCCATCAGTATGAAAACTACTTACTGTAATACTGGAGGGGTTAAATTTTTCTTCTTCACTAGTGTGACCCCTCTCTGTCAGAATGAGATATGCAGATTATATATCATAATATTTTTCAGAGACACTGTTAAAAATAAAAACCCTAATCTTTCCATTCCACAAAAGTTTCTTCTTAATGGAAAAAAAGTTCCTTAGTTGTTGTTTTTTAAATGTTCTTCACAATAAGAGCAAAATAGTTATTTTAAGAACTGTTCACTAAAAGGTTCTTTGGGGAACTGTTACATTTTGCATGTATTTTTGATGTCTTTGTTCTGTGTAATGATTTGTCTGTCCTCTAGGGGGCGACAATGTTCTTGTTTGTGTCTTTGTCTTGTTAGGAACTGATTGCCTGCATCTGTGGATCGTGTAGGTTTGGGATAAGAAATCATTGCAGCCAAATCTGCTTGGCAGGGGTTCTGTGTGCTCTCTTGTTGTCTGCGTTTACCCTGATTCATTTCCCTTCGACTAAAATGTTTATAATCTTTTTGTAATAATAAATCCCCTGTGGAACGAGCTGTGTTGTGATGTCCTCATGTGTTATGGCTGCGGTTGTAACAGGAACCAAAAAAAAATATTCTATGGTATTGTTTTGAAATACAGCTTTTGAAACCTTTATTTTTAAGATTATACTGAAAGTCCTTCAGAAGTAAGAAATCTCACCCAGCTTCTTTCTCAGCATCCAGGTTACTATTACAACCAGAGAAACGAGCAGGAACAGCACAAGCGTCGATACAAGACTCATGAGCAGAATCATATCAGGCCTGTATTGATGGAGAGACATATTTGTGTTTATCATACAGAACCATTCTCACATTTAATGTGCAGCAAGTTCATCTGTTAAAGCTTTTTATAATTTAGAGATGCAATAAAAGCAAATTCATTAATATAGGCTACATGCATACTTGTTTTGCTTATCCTGGTGATGTATTTCTGTATTAATAGTCGCTGAGGCTGATGTTACAGATGGATGGGCTTCATCTCTGCAATTAAAATGAACATTACATTACTACAGTATGTTAACATGTAATAGTTTGGTATAATTTGCTATGAATGACTGAATAACAATGTTCACACTTACATGTGTGTCTCAGGTCTTAAATCAGTAATCATAACTGCTGCCAAAAACAGAAAAACATGTTTCTTAGTTTGATCAAAGTGTTATCATTAATGAAAGAAGCTGTTTGTTATGAGAGCCTCATATGGAAAAAAAGGAATGCTTTGTTAAATCATAATTACACATAAAAAGTTGACTTTGTCATAATTATGACTTTTTTTCTTATGTTATGACTTTTGACTTGTCATAATGTTCTATGTAATAAGAATACTAAAGCATGATTTTATGTTTTTCATACTTTTTAATGTCAATTAAATTAGTCATAATCATGACTTCTATCTTTAGAGATTTGTCATAATTCTGATATTTTATGTTAGAATTTCAGCTTTTTGTGTCACAAATATGACTTTTTATGTCATTAATTCTACTTTTATTTCATAATTATGATTTACTAAAGCATGATTTTTTTTTTCCTAAGTGGCTGAAATTCCCCATTGTATGCAGTGCATCTAAACAACGATTGTCTCCAGTTTTTTTTTTTTTTTTCTTTCTGATGGATTAATGTCATGTCATATCATAATTGGTATTAACACATTAAACATATTTGATCTGATTAACCCAGTTCAGCTGCTCCTTACTGTTTATGATTTCATTCACGCTTGTATGATTTCTGTTTGCAGATGTCTGAGTTGTGTCCCTACAAAACAATGTAAAAAGAGAAAGAAAAATATGAAAGTACAATCGAATCATATCATTCCAAACCTGTATGACTTTCTTTCCTCTGTGGAACATGAAAGAAAAGAACAATACTTGTATGCTCTTCTTTCTTTAAAAAATACCTAATCATTCCACATTGTGAACAAATCATTTAGAGCAGTTTTGGGAACAGGATCAACAGGTTTTCAGGGTACAAAAGTATTTAGATGCATTTGATTCCTTTAAATGGTCAGAAATTACACCTACTTGTCTGTCTCAGGGTCAGATGGTGCTGCTGTTAGAATACGTGTCACTGAAAGGAGAAAAACATGAAGATATTTATAGAGAATTAAGAGTGTCACCATTATAGCTGAACTGATGTGTGATCATCTCACCAGGTTTGGGTTTGACAGTGAGTTGAACAGGAACCTGCAGATCTCCTACTGAGCACAAGAACCATCCAGAATCACTGAGTCTCAGTCCAGTCATCAACACAGTGAAGGAGCTTCTCCCATCATCACTGATCTGGACTGATGAACTCTGGGATGTGTCAGTCCTCCCCACTGTGTAACAGCCCTTATCTTTATATCTGCACCACTGTTTGGGTTTATTCTTATATTCAGAACTGTAGAGACACCGGACACTGACATCATCACCTTCATGTCCAGATACACTGCTGCTCTTCACAGACACATCAGGAGCTGAAATCAGTCAAAAAACATTTGTCCATCAATTATCTTATTGGCTGTAAAATGTAAATAGGCCTATCTAAATTCCCTTGATTTTGATTTATTTGATATTTTAAGTGTTTACTCTTAAAATATATAAAAATATAACCGCAAAAGTTCCCAACAAAACCAAATATTGAAACACGCAACAAATAGAACAAAATGGAAATGTTTCCAGGGGACCCAAATAAGTGCCAAACCTGGCTGGGACATGCTTATTACTCGTGAGCATCCCTATGCCCTACTCCATTAGAAGGGCAGAGCCCTTGAAGATGCGGACTTTGGAGGGAGCAGAGCACTTGTGTGCCATCATGTAGACGTGTGGAACACACTTAATGAAGGGAGCAACGAAAGACATAAGCTGTGTCCCAATGTGAAGGCTGCATCCTCCGAAGGCCGTATTTGAAGGCCGATTGCGTCACCGCGGTGCGATGAAGGCTGTCCCAAATTACTTCAGCATCCTCCGAAGGCCGTATTTGAAGCATGGTTCTTCTTCTTCTTCTGTTGTTTAAATGCCGGTTGACTCGAACTTAGGCTGGTTGCATAATTGCAGCACGACAAACGCTACCCTGATTCAAAATGCAAAATGCACCCTTTCCCCAAATGGATCCAAAGCGCCCTATCCTACCCCATAAGTCATTGGGCTGGTGACAACATCATTTTTATTTATTTTAAAAAAGGGCGGCAGAGAGTTCAGTGGTGGACGGCAAATTCACACTTAAATGTAAAAGTATTATAACTCGGGGATGAAACATCCTCCCATGCAGTGTAGCCACATATAGTCACGAGAGGGCCTGGGCGTGCCTAATCTCTCACTGAATGTGTGAGAGTTGGCAGCCCTGCCTTATAGGCTTTCATTTAAGCCCAGTCCTGAATCTATCTGACAAACAGAGGTCACATGACTTCTTTAAACCAGAAATAACACACATTTTTTCACAATTTCTGCCTAAACTGTGCTTTCTTTTAACCATGTGGCATGAAAGAACACCAGGGACACAAAACTCAACAACTTCAATACTCAAGACACTCTGATGACTCAGAAAATGTATAATATACCCATACACTATTTATTTGTGAGAGCCTTAAATTAGACTTGTGCAGTCAGAAAAAGTCTTCAAAATAGAATAGAGCCAAATTAATAGAATGGACGAATAGAATAGGAAGACCCATGTCTAAGTTTAGGTTACAGAAATTAGCTTCAATTCAGCCATTTTAAAGTAGTTAAAAAATCAGACCGCTAAATGTTGTGTTCCTCATTCCTAAACCATTCCGCTTTGCAAGACTTTTCAGATTCCCACACAAATTATTCTTATAAGACAGTTCTTACTTTAGTGGATCAAAAAATCATTCCAGCGGTTTCTGATCTGATTCAATTACTAAACTCCAAGCAGACAATAAGAGGAATCAGAATCAGAACTAGTGTAACAGAATTAGCATTGATTGATTCTCAGTTAATGAAGAACAAATATAATAATATATAATAATAATAATAATAATATATATATATATATATATAATGAAAATTATTTACCTGTTAGCACTGTCAGAAACAAATAATAACTGCCAGAGCGACCAGTCTCCACAGCGCACCAGTAATAGTCAGTGTCTGACGTCTGCAGTTTGTCCCATCGCACTGTAAAAATACTCTGGTCTGGATAATCAGTGATGGAATATTTTCCTTTATTTCCTGCATATGCCAATATTAGGCAAGAGCTCCAAAATTGCCCCTTACACAAATATTTGCGGTTTTCTTTATATTGTTTATCATACACACATGGAAGAAGGACAGATGATCCAGATTTCACTGCTATCTTAAGTTCCAGTGCATTAACTCCAGCACCACCTGTAGTCAAGAATAAAGAGACAGTCAAGAGAAAACATAAAACACTCATGATGTAAATGTATAGAATTATAACTTAAAGAATTCAAGTTAAACCATTTTAACAATTTAACAACAGACTGTACAATGGTTTAGTAATACTTTTGAAACAGAATTATAATTATTATTCGTTTTGTTTTTACCTGAAGAGTAAAGTAAAACCCCAGAGAGAACCAGAAGGTAAATCATGTCTATAGCGGAGTGTGTGTGTGTGTGTGTGTGTGTGTGTGTGTGCATGAGAGGAGCTGGTCACTTCTTGAACTGTCTCTGTTTCAGAGAAGAAATGACGCCTGAAACCACAATATAAAAAGTGTCAGCAAGTGATAAAATTAGCAGCAGCCTCAAAGTAGCCACAACCCATCAACATATTACTAATGACTAATTTGATTTGTGAACTGCATCACTCCCTCCAGGAAATAAACGACACCATGGTTCGTGTTACTTACTGATGGATTTATAGCATCATCCTTCTCTCCGGCCGTCATCACATTCACCGTCAAACTACAGTATGACAATGCAAAAGATAAACACGTTCACACACAAGAAGTAAATACAAATAGGCCTACATGGGGAATACGAAAGTAACACACATAACTTACCTCGCTGGCTGCATATAGGCCTAACCAATAGGGAATGAGTTCACTTGAAATACCCGGTTCAAAAAACAAAAATGAAAAACATCTAAACTTTTTCGCTCAAACAACAAACAAACATGGATAATCACTTCCCACCAAAAGTCTGTTTTTCCTGTTGCACCTTAAAAAGTGTCTGTGTGCAATTTTGTAACCTACTTTAGTTCCTAGTTAACATCAACACTCAATATCCATGAATAGATTATACAAATATAACAAAACCATGTTAAGTAACGTAAAATATGTATGGCAATTATAAACTGGTTAAAGCCTGTTAAAATATAGAAGTGGTATAATCTAAATCAGCAGATTCTCTTGTTTCATTTGACATTTAACATTTACTCAAAATAAAAAATAAACTTTCTTTCTTTCACAACATACAGGCCTGCCAACTCGCACGTATTCAGCGCCAATTCTCACGCTTTTTGCCACACCCCCGATTTCTCACGCTGAAGTGTCAACACGGCCGGTCAATTAAAAAATTGTCAGCAAGCCACCATTTCACAAAACTGTGAAAGTGATAACACAAACTGTAAGCTTTTTATATATTTTAATCATGTGTTCAATCGTTGCGGATTTACAATAAAATGTATTTAAACGGCTACGGCTTGAGTTGGTGGAAGGGGGTTCATTAGGGGTTGGTTTAACTTTAAAATAAGCCAATTTTGTTGACAAAATAAATGCATTGCATGCACAAAATCTAAACTGTCCATGTTTAAACTGTCTTTAAAAATGTATTTAGCCTAAGTATCATTTTCAAATGTGTTGTGGCTGCATTAGTTCCTGTAGTGAGTGATGAACCTCTGAGAAAATAAAATAATAATGTGTGAATCTGCACTGAGGCTGTTAGAAACACACGAGTTAGTAAAGATGCAACACTAAACATTTAAGCAGAGACTGAAACTCCACTGACACTGTTAACCACATGGATATCAGAAATATGTGATACAGTATATGGGCAGACAAAAAAACAAAAACAAAAAAGGTTTTTGGCCTTCAAACGTAAAAAAGAAGTGCACAGAACGTTCCCCTAACGTTCCCGAATGGTCCCATGAGGTTATTTTTTTTTTCTAAGTTATTTTTTCTTTTAAATAATCCTATATATACATATTGATATTTTCTTTTCTCTTTTTTCAGCTGAAAACACCAAACGGGCCTTGTGGACTCAGTCAGCCAGTCTCAAAGTCTTAATAATTCACAAGAATTAACAAGTTGTCAAATTTGTACGATACTCATACATATTTGTATAGTACATAATCCTGCAGCTTTTACTCCTAGTGCTGTCATTGGCTACTGCCTCAATTCCTGTACATATTTATCATGGTATTTGTAATTCAGTTGCGTCCCTTCTTGGAAAGTAGTCGGGGATGTCCCTCACACTGTCAGCAAATTCATATTAATTGCATTGTATTCATTAAAATGATAACAAATTGGTCCGTCTGTTCATTTTCCAATGATAGGCTACATGATTTATCTCCTCACACCTCATAACTTACCTCTGTTTGCAAGAGTGGAAACGCTAATTTGACTTGTCACATAACATCATATATGATATATCCGATTATTTTGTCGTAATCAGATCAGTTACACTCCTGATAACTGTCCCGTTTGCATGTAAATCATGTTATATTTAAAAGAGTTCATGTGATTATTGTCATGATCCTGGTTCTTTCTCTCTTCTTTTCTTACTCTGTCTCCATCTGCTGGTCACACACACACACACCCATTATTAGTCACTCATCTTTTCCAGCTGATCCTCGTTCTCTCATCTCCTCACCTGAGGCCTCATGTATAAAACTTTGCGTAGATGTCATCCTTAAAGAGTGCGTATGCATATTTCTATGCCCATTTTGTGCGTACGCAACGTTTATACATCAGGCCCCTGGACCTGCCGCTGGAGCTTCACTCTGCCTACCAAGACTATTTTGTGAACTATCCATTTGTTAAACGGCCGTTGCGGCTTTGCCTTGTTTACATTAAAGACTGAATTACCTGCTTTACGCCTTTTGGAACTTCTTCTCCAGCTACCGTGACAATTATTCATTATTCCCACATATCAATGAATCTATTACATAAAAATGCTTTGTTTCTGATTTTTTTTTTTTTTTTTGAGCTGTTGAAAGGTTTCTTATGCAATGTTCAAGTCACAGCTGAAGACACATAACACATTAGGCTATTATTAGACATAGCATATTAGGCTGTATACACTTATTTCAGTACTTTTTGCTGCAGTCTTTAAGAAGTGAAATCAAAGAAACAACAGAAGAAATGGGTAATTTACACAAACAAATATAAAGCATGTTTTGAGGGTAGAATGTAATTTCTATCTTACCTGCAGTGTAAAGTAAAACACCAAGGAGAATCGGAGGAAGAGCCATGTGACCGTCAGAATGAGTAAAAGACAGAACCTGAAATGAAAATCTGACTTTCTGTCTCTGATAATGAGCCGTTCTTGTTTCTGTAGCTATTCATCGATGTAATGAAAACTGTTCTACACCGAAAGAAATATACACAAATATAATGTACAAAACTCTGCAGCTGAAGGAGGCCTTATATAATATCTACTATTGTGCATGGTGTGCTTCATGCATCATCTTCTGAACCAGACAGAACATCTTTCATCCTACAAACTAAAATTACAACTCCATTCTTGAATGGGTAACAAGCCCAACAAAACAACACTGACACACATTCAGACAAGAGTCAGGGATGTAATGTAAAAAGCAGGCTTAAATGTGCACTCTGGGATAAAAAAATCAAATCATACACCATATTCCATACCAAATACCTCCACGGCCACGCGCACTCTCATGTCTTCAAACAACACGGGCGAGCGCTGTTACTCTGTCTCCCTCGCGCATATAGTAAAAGGTTGGAAGACCGCAGTTTCACGTGAAGCATTTGGACATTTTCAGAGATTAGAGACTAAATGAACAACATCTCAATACTAAATTATAAAGGCCGTCTCATAGACAAGCCGGTGCATTTCGACGAAATGCCGTTTTATTATGCAATTCAAACAATGCAGTTTTGGCGCTTGTAAATGTTACACGACAGACCCCTAGCGCACGTGAACCGATCATCTCTAATAGCTAGCTGCTAATGGTAAAAGAACACGAACACTGTTGAAAGATACAGTAAGTTACAACTTACCAAAATGAATTCCTCATGCATAATATCGACCAATAATTTTTTTGAACTCTTCCCTGAACTGAAATTTAGTAGTGGGCTGTATTTTCCACACGACTGACATAAGATTCAAGTACACACAAGCCGCGCGAGTTACTCGTCTATTGCAGTTTGGCTGGTGGTTATGTTGCCCGCCCGCATACCGCCTCCCATGGCCGAAACTGGTATTACAACACCTGCCGGGCCGGGGCTAGTGATTTAGCATGCTAATTTAGGTTTATAACTCGGCAGCACTATAACTTTTTTTTTGAGTTTTTTAATGACATCATTGCACTCATTCTTTTGATGCGTGTAGCTCATTTTTTGGATATTTTTACCTCAATTATTCCATAATATGGCACCTTTAAGAATTTGTTCAGTTTCATACATTGTCAATTTCAGGGTGTTACAAACTGCCCCGAGACTTAGGGTGAAGATCCAAATGCAGCTTTAATAGAGACAATCCAGAATCATAATCCATACAGGCAAAAGGTCAAACACACGGGCAAAGAATCCAAATGAGTAACAGGGCACAAAACCCTCAGGAAACCAGGATAATGGCATCAACATACAATACTTCACTAAGTATGAGTGAATACACACGCAGGGCTTAAATAGACAAAAGTAAACAAAATAATAACACAAGATGAGTAATCAGAACATCATGATCCAGGCAATGGCTTTTGGGAAATGTAGTTCATAGCAGAATAATGGAGTGCCCTCTGGTGGAGATCACTGGTGTTTGTGACACAGTTATCACAAATTAGTCAAATTATATCAACTAAATAGATACATTTATAACATTGGCTGGCCAAAATAATTACATTTTTGTTACGTTCTTTGATGATATGATGATATGATTGTTGAACAGGTCAAGGCATCACGAATGATACATTATTTAGTATTAAATTTGTTTGATTTTCATCAGATGGTGTCACACATACAGGACAAATGTGTGTTAGGCTATATGAGCATTTAATGTCCTTATTTATCGAGCAATTACAATTAATTCAAAACTAAAAATAAATAAACTAAATAAACATTTTTTTTTTTTTAAATGAACTGTAATTAAATTACTTTCTAACAAAAATGCATTTCTGTAAGGCTACAATTTATGTAGGCCTAAATTGCACCAGCATGAAAAGAAAAATGAAGGTTTCAGCTCTTTGCTGTTGTGTCCCTTTTGTCCTCCATTTGGTCAAGAATCCATTCTGGAGTGTACCTGTGATATAAGATATAGTGAAATTAAATGCACTTGCAAGACTGGAAATAATTTTGTTTCAACTATAAAAGGCAAGTATATTTAAACACACGCGCGCACACACACAGTTTTAGCTGCACAACCTGTTAACTGTCAATGTTTCACCAATGGGATGCTTAGTGCTCTTTTTTATTACCTTTTTTTCCTGTCACATATTTTATTCTTCATCTTAAATTAGGTATCATTCGAAAGCTACGGTGGCCGAGAGAGCTCAACGTGCTGCAACTAAAATGCATGCAAATAGAAAAAAAAAAAAACCCAACAATTTAAGAAAACATCATCCATTTGACAATATAGTCTGTGCTGCAAAAACTCAAAACGCTAAATACGTGTCTGTCTCAAACTGATGATGTTTTCTTAATTTGCTGGTATTTTTTTTTTTTCTATTTGCAGCACATTGAGTGATCCTGTTCAACTCAGACATTGCCTTATGATGAAAACGGTAGTTCAGCGGTGTGCACCTCATCTCTAGGGCAGAATCTGAAATCACCCCTAAACCCTCCTTCACTATTCCCTACGTTAGTCCACTAACACTGTTCACTTGAAGGAGAGCATGAAAAGGAGTGAGCGAATTCAGACAGCCGTTGAGCGTTGTACACTCTTATTGCACTAATTGCGATGCATTATGGGATTTAATAAGTGTACTCAATAAAGACCACTATGGTTTCGGACACCACTAAAGGCTGTCCCCTAATGCCCTATTTGTGGGTATTGGGGGGGGATTTTGGATTCAGCGTAGTTAGTACTTTCTCTGCGTTCAGTTTGAGCGGCCACCTCAATATATTGTGGAAGTTTATCCTGTGTTCCTGTTGTCTGAGAATTATATTAAAGACTTTTGATCCTTTATCTTCGTGCGCTTGTTTACAACAAACAGCAACACTTAGCTATTTTTATTAGGCCTTTAGCACCCAAACTAAATCTCAAGAACCTCAGTTTTGGAGCTTGGTTAGCATGTGGTTTTGATTTAAGAGCATCTTGTTTTGTTGAGCAAGATGTTGATGAGCAAATATATATTTTCACTTAAAATAAGTTTAGTAGTCTTATTCCAAAGTGGCAGTTAACAGGTTTACACTAACTAAAAATTGAAATGGTACAAAAGAGATTTATTATTAATTTATTAGAGCAGGGTGTGTATGGATATGGATATAAACTCACAGGCTTTCAAGGTTTTTCACAGAGCTGTAGATCACAACGCTCACTGTATCCAATGACAATAAAGCCTGCGAATAAACATGATCAGCTTTAAGAATCCTGTATTACAACCATTAGTGTATAATTTCTGTGCTACAATGCCTACAGAGAGGACTTCTGCATCAGATTTAGATTATTTTCTGAAGATTTCTGAATTCCATCAGTATGTAAACTACTTACTGTAATACTGGAGGTGTTAAATTTTTCTTCTTCACTAGTGCGACCCCTCTCTGTCAGAATGAGATATGCAGATTATATATCATAATATTTTTCAGAGACACTGTTAAAAATGTCCATTCCACAAAAGTTTCTTCATAATGGAAACAAAGTTCTTTAGTTGTTTTTTTAAATGTTCTTCACAATAAGAGCAAAATAGTTATTTTAAGAACTGTTCACTAAAAAGTTCTTTGGGGAACTGTTAAATTTTGCATGTATTTTCAATATTATGAAGCTGCAGACTCGGAGCCTGCATCTACAGTCCCCCAACGAGAGTCCCGCATTCTCAGACCCCTCGTTTTTCGAACACAGCGCCTCCTGCTGTTCAAAAGATCGAATAACACCCGCACACAGAGTACAGCGCATTATCCAAATGCAATTAAAAACAAGAATAGGATGCAATATTACGGTCTTCAAATAAATTATCCAATAAATATTTGTGTTCCCTGCTTAATGCATGTGTCAAAAAAAAAAACCCTAATTGTTAGGCTACTGATGGAAGGGATACAATTAGCAGATTGAACTATCTTCAGAAAAATAGTAGGCTATATTATATTGCTACAATGTTTTTTTATTATATTTTTTTATTCAAATTCCAATTTTTCTTTCAGTTAAACCTATAATGGTCTAATTAACATTACCATGCTAACATTACAATATCTGTTTTTTTGATATTTTGAATGCGAAGCAAAACAAATCAGAATAGACAAAACACCAATAATAAACAATTATGTACTTTATTTAATAATCACCTAAACATCATCTTGCTGTAAAGAAAAAAGGAAGAAAAAACAGTGTTTTTGACTTTACTTTTCGTCTTCAATTGCATTAAAAAAACTCATTTATAAGTCCCTTTGCATAATCATAAAATGATATGTTGCTGGATTCGGCAGGGGCGACTCCATAGGACCGATAGCACATGTCTTATGATGTTTCAAAAAGAAAGAAAGAAAAAAAAGAAAAAATGTTTGCAAATGTTAGTTACTATGTTGCACTGCTCTGTTGAAGTGTCCCTTGAGATGTTTTTGAACTTTGGACAATTTTGTGGGTTTGAAATATATGGGGCACAAAATGGGCAGTGAAAATAACTGCAGCATTTAAGACATTTCTACAAAAAGTCCAAAGTTAAAGGCTAACGTAAACATAAGCTATCTAAATATTTTCGGGGAGAAGAGGACGAAAAAACATACATTAACGGCTCAAATCTTGTTTCAAACTATCTTTACAAATATTAAATGGACTATTCATATGTTTGTATCGATGAGCTAAATTAGTTTTATTAACAAAATAAATCAAACAAATAGTCTACTACGAATCGCTAAATAAAATTGAAGATTTTATTTATCTACTTCACATGTTCTTCACATGTTTATCCGATACAATTTGATAGGAGGCGCTGTCTCGAAAAACGAGGGGTCTGAGAATGCGGGACTCTGGGTGCAGGGGGACTGTAAATGCAGGTCTCCGAGTCTGCAGCTTCATACTACTCTGTATTTTTGATGTCTTTGTTCTGTGTAATGATTTGTCTTTCCTCTAGGGGGCGACAATGTTCTTGTTTGCGTCTTTGTCTTGTTAGGAACTGAACTGATTGCCTGCATCTGTGGATCGTGTAGGTTTGGGATAAGAAATCATTGCAGCCAAATCTGCTCGGCGGGGGTTCTGTGTGCTCTCTTGTTGTCTGCGTTTACCCTGATTCATTTCCCTTCGCCTAAAATGTTTATATTTTTTTGTAATAATAAATCCCCTGTGGAACGAGCTGTGTTGTGATGTCCTCAGTTGTGTTATGGCTGCGGTTGTAACAGGAACCAAAAAAAATATTCTATGGTATTGTTTTGAAATACAGCTTTTGAAACCTTTATTTTTAAGATTATACTGAAAGTCCTCCAGAAGTAAGAAAACTCACCCAGCTTCTTTCTCAGCATCCAGGTTACTATTACAACGAGAGAAACGAGCGGGAACAGCACAAGCGTCGATACAAGACTCATGAGCAGTATCATATCAGGCCTGTAGTGATAGAGAGACATATTTGTGTTTATCATACAGAACCATTCTCACATTTAATGTGCAGCAAGTTCATCTCTTAAAGCTTTTTTCTAATTTACAGTCATGCAATTAAAGCAAATTCATTAATTTACTTGCATTGCATACTTGTTTTGCTTATCCTGGCGATGTTCTCTATTAACAGTTGCTGATGGATGGGCTTCATCTCTGCAATTAAAATGAACATTACATTACTGTGTTAACATGTAATAGTTTGGTCTAATTTGCTATGAATGACTGAATAACAATGTTCACACTTACATGTGTGTCTCAGGTCTTAAATCAGTAATCATAACTGCTGCCAAAAACAGAAACAGAGAAACAAGTTTCTTAGTTTGATCAAAGTGCTATCATTAATGAAAGAAGCTGTTTGTTTACTGTAAAATAGCTCCCATTAATGTTCATCTTTTTTATATTCCCATTAATGTTCACCTTTTTTTGCACACCAGGGTGACTAGGAACATGAAATTGTCCAGTCATGACTTCTTGTTTCACAGGAGTTAAAATATGAGGAAATACAAAGGCCAAATTCCCTTAATCATCCATCACAATGAGTAAAACCAAAGAATATACTGTAGTTCTGATGTGCATCAGAAGATTGTTGAGCTTCACAAAACAGAAAGTGGCTGTAAGAAAATAGCTAAAGAATTGAAAATCCCCATTTTGACCATCAGGCCAATAATTAAGAAGTTCCAATCAACTAAAGATGTTGTGAATCTGCAATAAGAGATTCAATGGATGCTGAGGATGAAAGTTTGAGTGGCCAAAGTCACTTCAAGGATCACAGATGGAGAATTGCAGAGATTTGTTGAGTCTTGGGGTCAGAAAGCCTATTTAAAAAAATCAGACAACCCCTACATCAACACATGTTGTTTGAGAGGGTTTCAAGAAAAATCCTCCTCACTCATCCAAGAACAAACTCCAGCATATTCAGTTTCAGACACGACTGGATCTTCAAACGGCACAAGCTTCTGTGGTCAGATTATCAGCTTTTTGGCAGCAAACACGCTAGATGGGTTTGGTGAACACAAGATTAAAAAGTACCCCATGTGCACAATTTAATAAACCGTTGTATCTTTAATGTTGTGGGCATATTTTTCAGCTGGAGGTCCTAGACTTCTTATTCAGAGACATGGCATCATGGATTCTATCAAATATCAACAGATAAAAAATCTAAACCTGACGCCTTCTGCTAGAAATCTTATAATCTTATCTTGGAAAAAGGACGTTGCAAAAAGTATTTAATAAAATGGCGCCAATGATTGGGGCCAGAAAAAACAACAACAGCATTTATTTCATAATGTGATTCCCTTGTGCCGTTTGAAGATCCAGTGCAGATTTATTTTTTACAGCCAGTTTTGATCATATTTACCAGGGGTCATTCATTCTGATTCATGTTATAATTTTCTATGTAATAATTATAAATTACTGAAGCATGATTTTATACTTTTTTCATATATTGTCATGATTAATTTTTTTGCCGTAATTTATGACTTTTTATGTTATAATTTTGACTCATGTCATTCTCAGCTTCTATCTTTAGACCTTTGACAAAATTCTGATATTTTATGTTAGAATTTCAGGTTTTTGTGTCACAAATATGACTTTTTATGTCATTAAATCTACTTTTATGTCATAATTATGATTTACTAAAGCATGATTGTTTTTCATATGTGGCTGAAATGGGCTCCCATTGTATGCAGTGTAAATCTAAACAACGATTGTCTCCAGAGTATTTTTTTTTTTCTTTCTGATGGATTAATGTCATGTCATATCATAATTGGTATAACACATTAAACATATTTGATCTGATTAACCCAGTTCAGCTGCTCCTTACTGTTTATTATTTCATTCACGCTTGTAGGATTTCTGTTTGCAGATGCCTGAGTTGTGTCCCTACAAAACAATGTAAAAAGAGAAAGAAAAATATGAAAGTACAATCGAATCATATCATTCCAAACCTGTATGACTTTCTTTCCTTTGTGGGACATAAAAGAAAAGAACAATACTTGTATGCTCTTCTCCTGCACTTCTTTCCTCAGAAAATACCTAATCATTCCACATTGCACTCTAAAAAATGCTGGGTTGTTTTAACCCAATTTTGGGTCAAATATGGACAAACCCGAAATGTTGGGTTAAAAATGTTATGTAAAAATTTAACCCAATGGCTGGGTTAGTCCATATTTGACCCAAAGTTGGGTTAAAACAACCCAGCATTTTTTAGAGTGTGTGAACAAATCATTTAGAGCAGTTTTGGGAACAGGATCAACAGGTTTTCGGGGTACAAAAGTATTTAGATGCATTTGATTCTTTTAAATGGTCAGAAATTACACCTACTTGTCTGTCTCAGGGTCAGATGGTGTTGCTGTTAGAATACGTGTCACTGAAAGGAGAAAAACATGAAGATATTTATAGAGCATTAAGAGTGTCACCATTATAGCTGAACTGATGTGTGATCATCTCACCAGGTTTGGGTTTGACAGTGAGTTGAACAGGAACCTGTTGATCTCCTACTGAGCACAAGAACCATCCAGAATCACTGAGTCTCAGTCCAGTCATCAACACAGTGAAGGAGCTTCTCCCATCATCACTGATCTGGACTGATGAACTCTGGGATGTGTCAGTCCTCCCCACTGTGTAACAGTCCTTATCTTTATATCTACACCACTGTTTGAGTCTATTCTTATATTCAGAGCTGTAGAGACACTGGACACTGACATCATCACCTTCATGTCCAGATACACTGCTGTTCATCACAGACACATCAGGAACTGAAATCAGTCAAAAAAACATTTCTCCATCAATTGTCTTATTGCCTGTAAAATGTAAATAGGCCTATCTAAATTCCCTTGGCATTGATTTATTTTATATTTTTAAGTGTTTACTATACAGTTGGTAACACACTTTATTCAAAACCGCAAAAGTTTACAAGACAACTAAATTATTAGAAACGCACTACAAATAGCACAAACCACAACAGAAATGTTTCCAGGGGACCCAAATAAGTGTCGAACCTGGCTGGGACAGCAGGCTTATTGCTCATTATGATTGCTCGTGAGCATCCGTATGCCCTACTCCCTTAGAAGGGCAGAGACCTTGAAGATGGGACTTTGGAGGGAGCAGAGCAGCACTACTAACCCCCTAAAATAAATTCTGTTTTTGAAATCTGGTGTATATCTGGTTTAGGCTCATGCTAGGGATATTATCAATATTCTATAATATGGTGCTTGATATCGTTGGAAGGGTGACTCCAGAGCTGCCAGCTTGGCGTGAGACTTCTCCAATGGCAGGTAATCGCTTACCTCTCTGCCATCGTGCACGTGCGTGGTTAGGAGCTCATCTGTCTCCTATGCACGCTCGCTCCAGATTACAGGATATTTTAACTAATTTGCGGTAAAACTAGTCAATCACGACTGGCTCAACAGGTAGATACAGTAGATAAACTCATCTTTCAGGCATTTGACCGACCGGGTTGACACTTCAGCATGAGAAATCGGGGGAGTGTGAGAATTGGACTATCATAGAGACTAGATGCCCTATTGGCCGCTGCGCAGTGAGAAATCCGTCCGCCATCTTGAATCGGTCGTATTCCTATTGTGTTGCATAGCAGCAGTAGATGACAGAGCACTGTGCAGCACATTCCTGCTCAAATCAGCAGACTATCGCTCGGGAATTACTTTTCACAAGTAAGATTTAAGATTTAACATTACCGGACTATTGGTTGTATTTTGTGAATAAAATATCCCATGTGTCCTGTATCATGGCCATGGTCCTGTATGACCTTTGCAGCAAAAAAAACCCATGAGAAAATCAGGTTGGTATTTAGTGAGATATGATTCATTCAATGCGCTGACAGCTCATATCACCTGCCAAACAGATTACACTGAGCGGATGACCGGTTTAAGATGGCGGCCCCACAGCTCGTCCGTGCCAAATCTGCCAATAGGCAGTAGCGGTCGATGGGGCGTCTATATATGATGTCTATGGTTTAAAGGAACACTCCGACTTTTTGGGACTTTAGCCTATTCACCTTACCCCCCAGAGTTAGATAAGTCCATACATACCTTTTTCATCTCCGTGCGTGCTATAAGTCTGTTTGACGCACCCACCGCTAGCCTAGCTTAGCACAAAGACTGGATGTGAATGGTTGCAGCTTTCATACTAATCCAAATGAGTAACGCAAACATTTTCCTATTTACATGTTGTGATTTCTATAGTCACAGAATGTACAAATAACAAAGTCAAATGAGACACAGACATCTTTTAACCGTATAAAACCTGGGAACTATTCTCTGAAGGCGAAGCACTGCTACTTTGGCGGAGTGATAACCGCATCACCGGAGACCTACTGTAACTGTGCCATTAGCCAGATCTAATGTAACGTTAGTGACACTATTATATGATTAGGGTATGAATATGTTTTTATCTTGATGCGGTGCGGACGCGCTTGGAAAAAAAACGAGCGCGTTCACCGTGTTGAACTTGCACCCTGCGCGCGGCGCGCCTAGTAGCCTAAATTTGAAATAACCATGGAAATAACGAACTTGAGCGTGCAAAAGGGTACTACGATAGGCTGTGAGTTCATTGTGCAAAAACAATTTGTGCTATTACTTTCCCCTTATTCTATCCTATAGTAATGCAATTATACTGTATATTATATACTGTTGGATACATTTGGTTCGGCTAATAAATTGCATTTAAAATATATTGATTCCTGTAATAATAATTATTTATTCATGTAATATTTTTAAATCTGGATGCGTTTTTGGTTGGAAATCAATGAAACATGGTGTATTACCTGGTCTCCCCTGTTTATTGTCACAGCTCATACAATAAAGCAAACACCCATGATAAACTATGCTTTTCTATCTAATGTTAGTAATTGCTGACTCTTCTGAGCGAACTCTCTGCTCCTCGTCACGGTGCGTCTCAGGTGATTGTTATCACTCTGCCCAAGTAGCAGTGCTTCGCCTTCAGAAAATATAGTATTTATACGGTTAAAAGATGTCTGTGTCTCATATGGCCTTGATATTTGCACAGTCTGTGACTATACAAACCACAACATGTAAATAGGAAAACGTTTGCGTTATTTTGCCACTCATTTGGATTAGTATGAAAGCTGCAACCATTCACATCCAGTCTTTGTGCTAAGCTAGGCTAGCGGTGGGTGCGTCAAACAGACTTATAGCACGCACGGAGATGAAAAAGGTATGTATGGACTTATCTAACTCTGGGGGGTAAGGTGAATAGGCTAAAGTCCCAAAAAGTCGGAGTGTTCCTTTAAGCCCAGTCCTGAATCTGTCTGACAAACAGAGGTCACATGACTTCTTTAAACCAGAAATTAAACACTTTTTTTTTTTTCACAATTTCCGCCTAAACTGTGCTTTCTTTTAACCATGTGGCATGAAAGAACACCAGGGACACAAAACTCAACAACTTCAATACTCCAGGCACTCTGATGACTCAGAAAATGTATAATATACCCATACACTATTTATTTGTGAGAGCGTTAAATTAGAGTTGTGCAGCCAGAAAAAGTCTTCAAAATAGAATAGAGCCAAATTAATAGAATGGACGAATAGAATAGGAAGACCCATGTCTAAGTTTAGGTTACAGAAATTAGCTTCAATTCAGCCATTTTAAAGTAGTTAAAAAATCAGACCGCTAAATGTTGTGTTCCTCATTCCTAAACCATTCCGCTTTGCAAAACTTTTCAGATTCCCACACAAATTATTCTTATAAGACAGTTCTTACTTTAGTGGATCAAAAAATCATTCCAGCGGTTTCTGATCTGATTCAATTACTAAACTCCAAGCAGACAATAAGAGGAATCAGAATCAGAACTAGTGTAACAGAATTAGCATTTGATTCTCAGTTAATGAAGAACAAATATAATAATACATAATAATAATAATAATAATATATATATATATATATATATATATATATATATATATATATATAATGAAACATATCAGCAATTCTAAGTAGTTGGTGTCACATGGGTGGGTTCTTCAGTTAACATGTTCTCTTTTTACTTGTTTTTACATGTGTGTACAGAAATGAATATTATAACCCAACATCACTTACATTTTACATTATTTAACGTTATTTAGAGTTTAATATTATTTTTGAACTGCTTATTTATTTTATATTATATTTTAATAAATATCATTGTCAGAAAAAAAAAACGAAATTTGGAAAAAAAAAATATTTACCTGTTAGCACCGTCAGATACAAATAATAACTGATGTCATAGCCACCAATCTCCACAGCGCACCAGTAATATCCAGAGTCTGACTTCAGCAGATTGTCCCATCGCACTGTAAAAATACTCTGGTCTGGATAATCAGGGATGGAATATCTTCCTGTCTGTCCTGCATATGCCAATATTAGGCAAGTGCTCCGAAATTGTCCCTTACACAAATATTTGCGGTTTTCTTTATATTGTTTATCATACACACATGGAAGAATGACAGATGATCCAGATTTCACTGCTATATTAAGTTCCAGTGCATTAACTCCAGCAACACCTGTAGTCAAGAATAAATGGAGAAAACACTCATGATGTAAATGAATATAGTAGAATTAGAACTTAAAGAATTCAAGTTAAACCATTTTAACAACAGACTGTACAATGGTATAGAAATGCTTTTGAAACAGAATTATAATTATTATTCGTTTTGTTTTTACCTGAGACGTAAAGTAAAACCCCAGAGAGAACCAGAAGGTAAATCATGTCTATAGCGGAGTGTGTGTGTGTGTGCATGAGAGGAGCTGGTCACTTCTTGAACTGTTTCTGTTTCAGAGCAGAAATGACACCTGAAACCACAATATAAAAAGTGTCAGCAAGTGATAAAAGCAGCAGCCAAGTAGCCACAACCCATCAACATATTACTAATGGCTAATTTGATTTGTGAACTGGATCACTCCCTCCAGGAAATAAACGACACCATGGTTCTGGTTATGGATTTATTGCACTTGTCATCCTTCTCTCCGTCGTCACATTCACCGTCAAACTACAGTATGACAATGTAAAGATAAACATGTTCACACACACTATGAGGTAAATACAAATGCACTTGGGGAATACAAACGTATAACACACACCTCGCTGGCTGCATATAGGCCTAACCAAGGCATATAACCAGGAATGAGTTCAGTTGAAATACCCTGTAAAAAAACAAACAAAAATGAAAAATATCTTTACTTCTTCGCTAAAAAACAAACAAACAAACAAAAACAAAAAAAAAACAAATGAGTAACGTTAACTCTTCTACTCCACACACGGAGAATCACTTCTCACCAAAAGTCTGTTTTTCCTGTTGCACCTTAAAAAGTGTCTGTGTGCAACACAATTTTGTAACCTACTTTAGTTCCTAGTTAACATCAACACTCAATATCCATGAATTGATTGAACAAATATAACAAAACCATGTTAAATAACAGAAATAATGTATGGCAGTTATAAACTGGTTAAAGCCTGTTAAAATATATTGGTATAGGTTAATCTAAATCAGCAGATTCTCTTGTTTAATTTGATATAAAACATTTACTCAAAATGAAAAATAAAACACTTTCTTCACACATAACTGAACAACATAAAGGGCTGCCAACTCTCACGTATTCAGCTGAAAGACTCACGCAATTGAGCCAATTCTCACGCTCTCACGACGCCACACCCTCGATTTCTCACTCTGAAGTGTCAACCTGGTCGGTCAAAAGCCTGAAAGATGAGTTTATCTATAGATCTGCCTGTTGACCCACTCGTGATCGACTAGTTTTACTGCAAATTAGTTCAAATATCCAATCCTCCACAGTGTCTCATATTTCCTTAAAATGATTCCCAGGTATGTTTTAAAAATGTATTAAAGTTTCAAATGTGTTGTGGCTGCATTAGTACCTGTAGTGAGTGCTGAACCTCTGAGCAAGTCAAATAATAATGTGTGAATCTGCACTGAGGCTGTTAGAAAAACACGAGGAAGTAAAGATGCAACACTTAAACATTCAAGCAGAGACTGAAACTCCACTGACACTGTTCACCACATGGACATCAGCTACAGTGTGATACGTACAGTATATGGGCAGACAAAAACGTAACGTGTGGCCATTCAAACGTAAAAAAAGTAGTGTATAACCTGAATATATATCATATGCACCAACCAAGAGTGAATTTTTTTACATCTCGGTCTTTTTTTTTAGCCAGTGCGTTCAAACTGTGTGTCAAGAACTAGTTACAAATGTCAGCTAAATGACATGGCTGTTATAGAAAACTGTGTGGCTTAGTTTCAAACACTATAGTGAAATGTTACAATACACGCATAGTCCGGGAAGTTGAAACACCATGTAACATTGTGATATCCGCTTGGGGGATATGTTAGGACATTTATAAAAATAAATAAATAAAAATGAAAGTTTATCATCCAACACAAGCTTTTAACATAATTTGTTTGTGTGTACAGTATATGTGGCTGTGTAACAAAACTGAATAAAATGAGCAAATATGCACCAGCTTCAACAATTATTTGTGTGTGTTGTTCCTGCAGAGAAATGAAGCGTTACAATTAACATATCCACTCTCCCCTACACATTAGAAAAGACAGGACAATAAAACATGAAGCCAAAGGACAACAAAACAAAAAACACACACGTTAGGTTTCAGTATCTTTGGCCCTGTTCACACCTGTATTAAGATGTGTTTTGGTCACACATCTTTGGTCATGTTTTGGTAGGATCACAAGTAGACGAGGGAGACACACACACGTTTACACCTTTTGTCCACTCTCAACCACTTCTGTCCTGATTTCTTCAAGGAGAGGGTCTACGGGCGGATAAATGTGTGGACTTTTCCAGATCTTTCGATCTAAAGGATGAAATAAGCTCACGAAATTTACATATGAACATGACCGGAGAAAACTGAAAAACACACAGAGAGCAGTAGCTTTCGTTTCTTCTCTGACAGCCGCAAGACCAGCCGAAAGTGTTGAGCAGAAATCAAGAATTGGGAGAGAATATTGAGTTTGGTATGTTTTTCTTCTTCAAACCAAACTTGGGTCTCTCAGCCAAACTTTAAATCCCCTCTGCCTAGCGTGTGTCCCATATTTGATTATTATGTCAGTATACGGTGGAGACGGTCAGTTGAACAAGCGTCTGGATGCAGTCTCAGGATAAAGACTTGATGCTTCTGTGAGTCAATGGTGTTAAAGTTGCAATTAATTTGATGATGATGAACTTGAAATGTTAGTTTGACTCTGTTGGTTGAGGAAGTAACACACGTCTTAATGTGTTGAGGCCTGTGTCTTGATGCTGATGTGAGATCACACTCGAACAGCAACCAGAAGACACAGAGAAGAGAGAAGGACAGAGGTCACTCCGACAGTGGCCTTCAACTCCTTTAACAATAACTTAACTCATCTCAGAAAACTAAATGCATTTTTGCATTATCAATGTCAATATTGTACACAATTTTCTATCTTAGTGGGGACATTTGGTCCTCTTGCTGTAGATTAAACAAGAACGAAAACACACACACACACACACATAGGTTTCCATGTGTTATCGGGAGTTTCTACATAATAATTTTTATACCCCTAATAATAATTTAATAATTTCTATCCCCTTACCCAAAACAATCCACATCTAATAAAACTTTCTGCATTTTTACATATTCAAAAGACATAATTTAGTGTGATTTATAAGCTTTTACTCATGGGGTTAAAAAAATTAAATTAAATTAAAATTAAAACAGAGGAAAGGAGTCAAATGATTTTATGAACTACAAAATAATTTTATTTAATTTTAAAAATGTGCATGTTTGTAAAAATTCAAATGGAAATAGAAACAGAATACTGTACAATAAACAAAGTGGAGAAATGAAACAGACACAAATATATAACTACAAAATATAAATACTAATACTCTAATTCATTTACAGTCCGTATAACTGTCATAGGTCATAGGGTCCTTTTGAAAAATGGGGGATCAAGCAAACGTAAAGTTAACTTTAATGCATTTGTATCTGTGGATCTGTTAGATGTTCATGTAAAGCAAGCCTAAAAAACTACAAAAATAATCTAAATAGTCCAAAAATAGGGCAAAATATTCTCTTCTGTTTCTGTGTAATCCTCACTGTTGCTGTTAGTGTGGAGCCACAGTGCTGTATATTGTTCCTCCTGCTGGAGGCTTCTGGAAGTGCGAGATCATTCTCAATAAACTGCCAGCAGTACAATAAATACATTAAATAATATATTTCTGTAAAACTTACTGCTTCACTCCCAGGAGGAGCATCACCAATAACACTGTAGGTTACGTCCTTGTTGGGATCCTGTGGAGAAAGGAATCGCAATTGAAAATGATATATTCATGAAATCTTACTCTTAAAATGTCATATTTCTGAGCCATTGTGTTAGAGGTATGTCTGGTTTACTTACTCCTGGGCGTTCATCATCTATAGTGTTGTATATCACAGGATCTTCTTCAGGTTTAGAGTAGATCTGCATCAAACACAAACACACAGAAAAAGAAATATCAAGAAATCAACACGTGACTTAACAGGTTGCATGGCTAACCTAATGTATTGATTATTGATTATGAGGCATACGTGGCTAGAAATTCATGACAAATTCCTGACATTAAACTGATTGCCCCACTCTATATGGACATTCCCGTCCAATAAGGACAGCTTCTAGCGGTAGACACAAGGTGTTCCCAATCAAACAGTGAAGATGGAAGCATATGAGCTGTCCTTTTCTGTTCACCATATAAGAACTTCACATGTAGGAAATGTGTAAAGAAGACATGTAAATGAATTTTCATTTTACATGAACGAAAATAAATAGGTGCGTTCACACCATGTCGTAATTACCACATGATTTACAAAAAAAAAAAAAAAGCGTTCACATTCTGGTAGAGCTCTTACTTGTAAGATGTGAGTTGTCTGAGAGCTCCTTCTCGTACCACCTGACCGCTGCAGATTAATTTAGGTTGACTTCTAGTCCACATGCTGTATGAAGTCCAAACTGCTATTTTATATGTTAACATAAACAATATTCTTCGAAGATGAAGATCCCAAACGAAAGTGAAAAACTGAATCCCTTCATGAAGGGCCCTTCCACAAGTCTGTTAGCAAAGGGTAGCGAACTGTTGTGATGATCACTTCAAGGAAGTATGGTCAGTGGTTTATGGTCATGTGACCCAGGGTGACAAGTCCTTGTGCACGACTAGAAATGGCGGGGGAGTTGGAGTTAATTCATAAAACAGAATAATTCTTTTTTTTTTTTTTTTTTTTTTGATATATTACACATATTTGTACCATATTTCATATTAGGTTTTAAAAAGTTCCAAGTTCTTCTTTTGAAAAGTTATATAAATATAACTTTTCAAAAGAAGAACTTGGAACTTTTTAAAACCTAATATGAAATATGGTACAAATATGTGTAATATATCAAAAAAAAAAAAAAAGAATTATTCTGCAAATTTGCTGTCATCTCCCATGAACACTTCTGCTTGTGAGATAACGGAAATATGAATAGGGTCCATTATGGGAACATTAGAACATTTGAATTAATTCAATGAATGGTGTATAAATAACATTTTTGAGTAAAAGTGTTGAGAACATTATTAAAGAATATTAACATTCTATTAACATAATGTAAGAATGTTTGTTTATAACTTTGAGTGAACTTTGCCAGAACATTAGCCGAAGAATGTTCAAAACTTTTTTTCTCCAGTAAATGTGTGACTATACTGTTTACTATCTGTATTCAGCTCAGTGTGATACACAATAGCCCCCAGCTAGACAAAAATGACATAGTAAAAAGAAGTGTGTGAACAGCATAAAAAGGCAAAAAAAAAAAAAAAACTGTATACACTGATATTGTCACATGAATATTTTTCATAAATGCTTGTAAATTAAAGGACTTACTGCGTCAATGGTTCTGCTGTCGTTTCTCTCTCTGTTTTGATGTTTATCTTGCTCTTTATTTTGAAAAGGGGGAACAATAATATGACATTAACATCATTTATGTATATTTACTGTTGAAATAAATGATAACATGGCATGAAATGAACTTTAAAAAGAATTAAGAAAGGAGTGCAGGTCAAACTGACTGTGTGTCCGTCTCCAGGTGAAAACAGCGAGCAGAATCAACAGCAGCAGAAGAGCAGCTGAAACTGGAAGCCACACACTCAGACGAACTTTATCTCTGTGGGAAATGAGAAAACACGTTTAAATCTGTCCATTCAAAAAGCTCAGAGAGAGTTCTGGATCTAATTCAGCTGAATAAAAGCACCAGAAAACAAACCATCTGAACTAAATATCCACCAGGCCATTAAACTTTAGTGCATTTCAGGCTAAAAATCTTAGAATCAGTTTAAGCTTCTTTTTGTTTTTTAAAGTATACAGATGTATTACTGTTTTTCTTCAATGCTTTCAGCTTCATTATTATTCTTGTTTCCTGTTTCTCTTCTGCAAACATAGACAAAAAGAAAGAAAAATCACTAGTAAAATGAGGAAATGATTCAAACAAAGAAATTGAGGAAATAAAGCATTGATGACAAAACAGCCAAATATAGAATAATTCTATGAAGATTTAAATGAGAAATATTTCAATACTAACACGTCTCTCGGATTGTCTGTGGTCGTGTTTACTGTCAAAAGTAGAAAGCAAAGCAATTTTAGTTGGGTTTTATTTAAAATATAGTAGAAACATATTTATTAATTAAAAATTGTACCCGAAACTGCCTCGGTTACAGTGAGTTGAACAGGATTCAGTGCCTCTCCAGCAGAGCAGAAGTACCATCCAGAATCACTGAGTCTCAGTCCAGTCATCAACACAGTGAAGGAGCTTCTCCCATCATCACTGATCTGGACTGATGAACTCTGGGATGTGTCAGTCCTCCCCACTGTGTAACAGCTCTTATCTTTATATCTGCACCACTGTTTGGGTTTATTCTTATATCCAGAAGTGTAGAAACACTGGACACTGACATTATCACCTTCACGTCCAGATACACTGCTGTTCATCACAGACACATCAGGAGCTGAACACACAGAGTCGTTTGAGATTATTAAATACATACAGAACTGTGTGTGAAGTCAGAGAATTTGACATTATAATGTGATTAATATAATTACAAAATATCATACCAGACTGAACCTTGAGATGAAGCTCAAATGTGACTGTTGGTTTTCCTTCATTCTCTACAGCACAGGAATAATCCCCATTATGTTTGTTCTCCAGGTTTCTCATAGTCACAGTGAAGAGACTCTGATCAGGATGATCAATTACTGACAGATTCTCCTCTGTTGTGTTTGTGTAGTTAGAAGATCGATCAATAACTGAGTACCAGTATTTCTTCTGCGGTGGGTTTTTCTCATCATAATGACATGGGATGGTGACAGATCCTCCAGTCTTAATAGTTACGATATGATTTGACCCACCAAAGCATTCAACCCCTAAACAAACACACAAACCGTTTTTTTTTTTCTTCACATAAAACACATTAAAAGCATCATGGATAGCTGAGAATAAAATCAGTTATTGCAAATTGATAAACAGGATCCACTAGAAACAAAGACAGCACAACATTTAATTCTCACCTAAAATGAGCCAAAACCCGACTGAAATGTAGATCATTTTTTCCTTTGCGAATGTGGCCATCGTTTAAGTTTCTCTTCCTGTATCTTGAGTTGTCAAACTGTGTTTGACTGCTGCACTTCCTTGATTGGCTCTGTTGTCTTTCATAGGCATATGAGACAGAACGTTGTGTAGTTGGTAGGAAGGATTATGTCACTTAAAAACAGGAAAAGCTGTTTCACAGAGCCTTCAATATAGTGCACACAGAGGCGAACAAACACTGAGTGGGGGCCCCAGGCAAAATATTATATATGTGTGTGTGTGTGTGTGTGTGTATTTATTTTATATATGATATAAACGTTTTTTTCTTCGAAGATCTTCATTTTTATATCAGAAGATACAATACAATACAACAATCTTCAAGATAGATTAAATCTTCAAATGTGTAACAGATTGTCACCTTAAAAAGGTCATTTGCGTGGTGGAACAATGCTTGAGAATGAGGAGTCACATGCCGATTTGGGCGGGGTCTAAACCGGTCGGCCATGATGGTAGGAGACGCAATCGGTTACCAGCGGCAACGCCTCACAGAGACGCAACTAAACAATCAGAGCTCTTTAATTTTCGTGCATTTATTAATTTCGCGCATTTATTATTTTGGCAGGACAGAGACGGATCTAAGAATACAAGAAAAAAGGAAGAAAGTAAAGCAATGCAAAAAGATAAGGCGAAAGAAAAGGGACCTTACAGGAACAATTTCACACAAAGATAGACAGTAAAAGAAATGTACACAGCGACCCCGTTGATTTCAAGGGAGAGAGTTGAAGCTCAACATGGGCACTCACTTCATGATAGCCAAGCGTTCTGCGCAGGCTCAAACTGAGCTTGATGACGTAGATGTCACGTGAGCAAACTGACTGACAGTTGTAAATCGTCTAGTATCAAATTTTAATCGAGCACAGAAACGGCGAACCGCGCCCAGGAACAACTATTGGTAAGTATTCTAATTAATTATTTTGTCATTTTGCTTCTATTTATGCCATGGACTGACTTTAGACAGTAAACGATTGCCTGCGAGGCTGTGCGAGCTTCTCCTCCTGTTTATACGGTAACTTCTCTACTGTGCGACGGACAGTCGAGTGGTTATGACGCAATTTTTAGCCTATTTTTACAAGAACGGCTTCTACGGGCCCATAACGTAACATACAAACTGGAGCCTTTTATACATTGTTGTGTTTCTTTAGAAATAAGTAATGGATAAATGGAGTCTTTGGACGCCTCAGATGTAAAGTTATTCGCTGTCAAAGTGACGCCAAAATGAATGGGAGTCAATGGGATGCTAACAGCAGGTGATACCGCAATTAACTCGATAAATATGGCAGGTAAGTTACCGTTTTTTGGAGAAATTATCCATTCAGAACATAGCTCCATATATGAGCTCAGCTGACTGCAGTGAGTTAGAGTGCTGATCCCGAATTGCTTTCTCATCCTCATACTTGGGCATTGTCAACTATCTTGCTTATGGTATAAGCGCATATAACGTTAGCAGTGAACAATTTAAAAACTATACATCTCTTAAAGCCCGCGGACATTTCACCAAGTTACTTGTTATTTGACTGACTGAAAGTTTTTCCAGTTGGATTCATATCTAAATATTATAAAATCACAATTATAACAATAAAAATTACTTTTAGTCAAAGTTTAGCATTTTTGTTTCGAAAATAATAATAATAAATCAATCATATTACATTATGATTAGAATCAAGCCTGAAAAAGATATTACAAAGACAGAGTTTATCATTTATTTCAATATAAAAAATTGTATTTTTCCAAAATCTGTATCTACACGTCATTACATATTGAGTACAAATACATGACGTGAACATCAAAATGCAATGAACTGAAAATTACCCCATGATTTACTAGCCATCCTATGTTTATATGAGATGAATACAATCTGAGTTATATTAAAAATGTCCTGGCTCTTCCAAACTTTGAAGTCCATCAAAGTGCATCCATCCATGATAACAGTGCTCCACACGGCTCTGGCGGGTTAATAAAGGCCTTCTGAAGCGAAGCGATGTGTTCGTGTGAGAAAAATATCCATTAAAACTTTATAAAGTAAAATAACTCATCAAACAAACATGGATTTGACTTAAGTGTAAAGTGTAACTTATGCGAGTATGAGACGTACTGTCATGACGCACTACGCTACTTTTGACGCCATAAGTTGCATAAGTTACGCTTTAGACGCAAGTACACTCTGTATATTCGTTTGGCCAGAAGCTAGAACTTTACTCTGTAACGTTAAATATGAATTATTTTTTTACACAAACTCATCGCCTTGCCTCAAAAGGCCTTTATTAACACCTGGAGCCGTGTGGAGTTTGTTTATGATGGATGGATGCACTTTTTTAAGCTTCAAAACTGATGGTTGCAAACTGCCATTATAAAGCTTGGAAGCGTCAGAGTGTTTTTTTAATATAACTCTATAATATAACTCTTTTTAATATAAAAGAGTGTCATATACACCCAGGATGGCTTGAGGGTGAGTAAATCATGGGCTAATTTTCATTTTAAAGTGAACTACCCTTCTTAAGTATTGGTAAACGATTGTTAGCAATTGTAAAAAAAAAATAATAATAATAAAAAATAAAAACTGTACAGATTCAGACAGTATGGTAAAATCAATACATTAACAAATTAACCAATTAACAATCAAAAGGTTAAGACAATTAACCTTTGTATTTATACAGTACATCTATTTTTGTATTTATGTGTTATATAATTTATGTAAACTGAAAATTCATAGTTGCATTTTTACACTATACCACACATTCCTCTTATTGCTCTTCCACAACAATTCGAGCATTTAGCCAAAGCAATTGAGAAAAGCTGTAATATGAATGTGACTGTGAGTTGACCATGGTTCAGTTCCTGTCCAGCAGAGCGAGTTGCTGTTAGTGTGGAGCCACAGTGCTGTATATCCCTCCTCCTGCTGGAGGCTTCTGGAAGTGCGAGATCTTTTTCTCAATATACTGCCAGCAGTACAATAAACACATTAAATAATATATTTCTGTAAAACTTACTGCTTCACTCCCAGGAACATCACAAATAGTAGAGTAGGTTATGTTTTTGTTGGCATCCTGTGGAGAAAGGGATCGTAATTACACATCATTTTGAAATCTTACTCTTAATTTGTCAGATTTCTGAGCCATTGTGTTAATGGTGTGGTGTGTGTGGTTTACTTACATGTGAGAATTCATCATTTATAGTGCTGTATATCACAGGTTCTTGAGGTTCACAGTAGATCTGCATTTTACAAGGAAAAAGATGCATCAAAAAATGGTTAACCCAATGTATGATCTCGAGAAGTTAGCTTGGAAAAAAAAAACTAACACGCTTTAAAATGTTTTTGATTGGTCTGGAGATTAACCTGTGTAAACCAGAAGACGGAAACAAAGACTTTGGCAATTCTACACTCTAAAAAATGCTGGGTTGTTTTAACCCAACTTTGGGTCAAATATGGACTAACCCAGCCGTTGGGTTAAATTTTTACATTACATTTTTAACCCAACATTTCGGGTTTGTCCATATTTGACCCAAAATTGGGTTAAAACAACCCAGCATTTTTTAGAGTGTATAATTCAACTTTACACAGTAAGTTATAAAATGTTATTTCTGAAGGTTTTCTAAACGTTCAAAACATCCAGTTTAGTAAGTCTTTTAGGGGACATTGCATATTGTCATTATGTACATTATTGGAACGTTAATTTTGAATGATTGAAAACAAATCACCATTTAAGGACTGTTTTAAAAATAAAACTTTCAATGAACGATGTATAAATAATGTTTTTGTGCTAACATTTTGAGGAATCTGAATGAATGTTCTATTAAAGGGTTAGTTCACCCAAAAATGAAAATTCTGTCAGTATTTACTCACCCTCATGTTGTTCCAACCCCGTAAGACCTTCGTTCATCTTCGGAACACAAATTAAGATATTTAAGATATTAAGATCGCTCCTGCATACAGTCCATAGGCTTCTTGAGGGACTGGCTCTTGCTGTCCTCGAAAAGTCATTAAAGACATCGTTAAAATAGTCCAAGTGACTACAGGGGCTCAATCTTAAGTTTATCAAACGACGAGAACACTTTTGTGCGCAAAAAAACAACAAAAATAACGACTTTATTTCAACTATTCGTTTATTTCTCCCTCTGCGCGAGTCAGGTTACTAGTTTAATAGCGTAAGCTTCTGTTATTGTACGTCACACGCATCACACACACATGACCAGCGTCGGCCAATAGTGAGCCTACGTGTGACGTAGCTCTACGCAATCACACTACGTTAACTGACTTACAGGCTCATGGAGAAGGAAGTGAATAGTTGAAATAAAGTCGTTATTTTTGTTTTTTTTGCGCACAAAAGTGTTCACGTCGTTTGATAAACTTAAGATTGAGCCACTGTAGTCACTTGGACTATTTTAACGATGTCTTTAATGACTTTTCGAGGACAGCAAGAGCCAGTCCCTCAAGAAGCCTATGGACTGTATGCAGGAGCGATCTTAATATCTTGAATATCTTAATTTGTGTTCCGAAGATGAACGAAGGTCTTACGGGGTTGAAACAACATGAGGGTGAGTAAATACTGACAGAATTTTCATTTTTGGGTGAATTAACCCTTTAACAGTATTGTGAGAATGTTTGTTCATGACTTTGAGAGAATCTTGCCAGAATGTGAGCCACAGTTCTGAGAACGTTCCTTGTTAGCTGGGATAATAATCCAAAATGTACCTATACATTTTGAAAAAAAAAAAAAAAAAAAAAAAAACCGCACAAGCAGAAAAAAAAAAAAAAAAAAAAAAACACAAGCATGTTATAACTGTGTGTTCTACGTATGTCATAGATCAAAACATGAAAATATTTAGTGGCTTTGTTCACCACAGACCTTATTTCAGGCGATTTAGCAAAATCCCATTAAAAAACCATTGACTTTAGAGCAAGGGAACCGGAAGTGCTCAAATGCTAACTCCCTTCCGCGTTTGGCCCACAAAGTGGCGCCATAAGAATGAATTGAATGTTTTGAGCAAGTTACAACATTTTGCAGACATGCGTGTTGTGGTTTCCCATAAAAACATAATGGTAGGACTAAAACTTAGCCAATGTAATTGAGGAAACTGTATCAATACACAGATAGCTACTATCATTCTGTCACGGGTTCTGAGGGAGAGGCTAAACACACAACGAAGATTAAAGGATAATTCCGGTATTTAACACCTTGAGTCTATTTTGTAGTTTGTTTTGAATGAAATAGAGTGGTGGACTTGGGTCGTTTCGTGTCTTAGGCCATCAATGTGTACTTACATTTATGAGTCATTAAATCATGTTTAATTTTGACTTCTCTGTGCATGCTCTTTTTGGTGGACCCCCTTAGCCTCCAGTGTATGACTGATAGACAACAACGGTTTGACTGAAAAATGTCAAAATTGAAACTACTGTGGAAACAAAGACACTTACATCTTGGATGCCCTTGAGGTAGCTAAAACATATCAAAAATTAATTTCAAAGTGAACTATCCCTTTAAGGGTTGTTTTATGGACATGTTTGTGCATGCCCATAGACAGTCTAAAGCTGCACAAGCAATTCTAAAAAAGTCAAAAACTCGAGATCGGACCCATTGTCAAAATTTCTAAGTCCACCACTCTATTTCATTCAAAACAAACTACAAAATAGACTCAAGGTGTTAAATACCGGAATTATCCTTTAATGATAAAATCAAATCAGTGACCAAGATGACAAACAAGGCAAGGAGAAACGGTGACCGAAAACTTTGATGGTGTGACACATACAGTATATAACATTTTCATAACCCAGAATTTAAAGGACTTACTGCGTCAATGCTGTCGTTTCTCTCTCTGTTTTGGTGTTTATCTTGCTCTTTAGTTTAAAAATGGGGAACAATAATATGACATTAACGTACAAACCGAATTCCATAAAAGTTGGGACACTGTACAAATTGTGAATAAAAACAGAATGCAATGATGTGGAAGTTTCAAATTTCAATATTATATTTAGAATACAACATAGATGACATATCAAATGTTTAAACTGAGGAAATGCATAATTTTAAGGGAAACATAAGTTGATTTGAAATTTCATGGCATCAACACATCTCAAAAAAGTTGGGACAAGGCCATTTTTACCACTGTGTGGCATCCCCTCTTCTTTTAATAACAGTCTGCAAACGTCTGGGGACTGAGGAGACAAGTTGCTCAAGTTTAGGAATAGGAATGTTGTCCCATTCTTGTCTAATAAAGGCTTCTAGCTGCTCAACTGTCTTAGGTCTTCTTTGTTGCATCTTCCTCTTTATGATGCGCCAAATGTTTTCTATGGGTGAAAGATCTGGACTGCAGGCTGGCCATTTCAGTACCCGGATCCTGCTTCTACGCAGCCATGATGTTGTAATTGATGCAGTATGTGGTTTGGCATTGTCCTGTTGGAAAATACAAGGTCTTCCCTGAAAGAGACGATGTCTGGATGGGAGCATATGTTGTTCTAGAACTTGGATATACCTTTCAGCATTGATGGTGCCTTTCCAGATGTGTAAGCTGCCCATGCCACACGCACTCATGCAACCCCATACCATCAGAGATGCAGGCTTCTGAACTGAGCGCTGATAACAACTTGGGTTGTCCTTGTCCTCTTTAGTCCGGATGACATGGCGTCCCAGTTTTCCAAAAAGAACTTCACATTTTGATTCGTCTGACCACAGAACAGTTTTCCACTTTGCTAGAGTCCACTTTAAATGAGCCTTGGCCCAGAGAAAACGCCTGCGCTTCTGGTTCCCGTTTAGATATGGCTTCTTTTTTGACCTATAGAGCTTTAGCCGGCAACGGTGAATGGCACGGTGGATTGTGTTCACTGACAATGTTTTCTGGAAGTATTCTTGAGCCCTTGTTGTGATTTCCATTACAGTAGCATTCCTGTGTGTGATGCAGTGCCGTCTAAGGGCCCGAAGCTCACGGGCATTCAGTATGGTTTTCCGGCCTTGACCCTTATGCACAGAGATTGTTCCAGGTTCTCTGAATCTTTGGATGATATTATGCACTGTAGATGATGATAACTTCAAACTCTTTGCAATTTTTCTCTGAGAAACTCCTTTCTGATATTGCTCCACTATTTTTTGCCTCAGCATTGGGGGAATTGGTGATCCTCTGCCCATCTTGACTTCTGAGAGACACTGCCACTCTGAGAGGCTCTTTTTATACCCAATCATGTTGCCAATTGACCTAATAAGTTGCAAATTGGTCCTCCAGCTGTTCCTTTTATGTACATTTAACTTTTCTGGCCTCTTATTGCTACCTGTCCCAACTTTTTTGGAATTTGTAGCTCTCATGAAATCCAAAAGGAGCCAATATTTGGCATGGCAATTCAAAATGTCTCACTTTCAACATTTGATATGTCATCTATGTTGTATTCTAAATATAAAATTGAAATTTGAAACTTCCACATCATTGCATTCTGTTTTTATTCACAATTTGTACAGTGTCACAACTTTTATGGAATTGGGTTTGTAATTGATGTATATGTACCGTTGAAATAAATGATAACATGGCATGAAATTAACTTTAAAAAGAATTAAGAAAGGAGTGCAGGTCATACTCACCGGGTCTCTGTCTCCAGGTGAAAACAGCGAGCAGAATCAACAGCAGCAGAAGAGCAGCTGAAACTAGAAGCCACACACTCGGAAGAACTCTACGGGAAATAAGAAAACACGTTTAAATCGGTCCATTCAAAAAGCTCAGAAGAAAAGGTGTATGATTAAGTCACCTGAAAGTGTCTGGTGCTTTTATTCAGGTGACTTACACACCTTTACTTCTGACCTTTTTGAATGGACAGATTCAAAATAATTCAGATAAGGCGTATCTGAATTAAAACTTTCATCAGATCTTTATTAAACTTTGTTAATGCACTTCAGCATAGAATTTAAAGCTTTATTTAATTTACAGGAGAAGTATGTATTTGGTTCGTCTGTGTCATTATTATTGTTTTTCTGTTTCACTTCTGCAAAGATAGAAAAAAGCAAGAAAAACAAGGCAAAAAGGAAATGATTATGTGAACAATAAAGACAAATAAATTGGGGAAATTGATGACAAAACATCGAAATATAGAATAACTCTAGGAAGATTATTCATTTGAATGAGAACCATTTGAATACTAACAAGTCTCTCATATTGTCTGTGTCTCCGATTTCTGTCAAAAGTAGAAAGCAAAGAAATTTTAGTTGTGTTTTATTTTTAATATTTTAAGCAAAATATTTAATTATTGAGAAAGAATTGTAGCCTACCTGGTTGTGTCTCGGTTACAGTGAGTTGAACAGGATTCAGTGCCTCTCCAGCAGAGCAGAAGTACCATCCAGAATCACTGAGTCTCAGTCCAGTCATCAACACAGTGAAGGAGCTTCTCCCATCATCACTGATCTGGACTGATGAATTCTGGGATATGTCAGTCCTCCCCACTGTGTAACAGCTCTGATCTTTATATCTGCACCACTGTTTGTGTTTATCCTGATATCCAGAAGTGTAGAAACACTGGACACTGACATTATCACCTTCACGTCCAGATACACTGCTGTTCATCACAGACACATCAGGAGCTGAACACACAGACACAAGTCATCTGATTATAAAATACATGTGTGTGAAGTCAGAGAATTATTCATTAGAATGTGATTAAAACCATTATAAAAATCTCATACCAGACTGAACTTTGATATAAAGATCCAATCTAGTACTCTCCTGTCCATCAGTCTCCACTACACAACAATAGCGTCCAGTGTTTTTGTTCTGCAGGTTTCTCATAGTCAGAGTAAAGAGACTCTGATCAGGATGATCAATTACTGACAGATTCTCCTCTGTTGTGTTTGTGTATATATTAGATCGATCCCTATCCGAGTACCAGTATTTCTTCTGCGGTGGGTTTTTCTCATCATAATGACATGGGATGGTGACAGATCCTCCAGGCTTAATAGTTAGGATATAATTTGACTCAATAAAGCATTCAACCCCTAAACAACACACGAACCATTATAATATCCAGGATTAACAATAATTAACTCTTCACATAAAACACATAAGCATCATGAACAGCTGAGCATAAAATCTGTCATTCCAAACTGATAAACATAGATCCGTTAGAAACAAAGACAGCACAACATTTAATTCTCACCTAAAATGAGCCAAAACGCGACTGAAATGTAGATCATTTTTTCCTTTGCGTATGTGGTCATTGTGAAAGTCTCTATTCCTGTATCTTGAGTTGTCTAACTGCGTGACTGCTGCACTTCCCTTGTCACCCTTCATATAACACTCACACGTCTTCTGCCATCTGACGAAATGCAATAAGGATAGACTCTAGATTTCAAGTTAAGTTTTTTTCTGGTCACACATTCATTTGTATAGTATCTGTTTCAATAGGGTGTCTTGGCCTGGGGGGTAATTACATTTCAATCACAAATTATCTATGATGACACCCAGCAAACAAAAATATGTTCTAAAGTCATTCTGCTAATGTTCCCATAAAGTAATGAAAATATTATTCCTGAATGTTCTCTCAACTTTAAATGTTAAGGGAACAATCAATTTAACCATTTTGCGAACATAATTTTGCAATATTCTCCAAACATACTAAAACAAGTAGTAACTGATTTTGAGGTTCAATTTAGCATATATTCAATATTCTTCTCATGCTGTCAGCAGTTCTCTATGCATTAACAATTTGTTTGAATGTCACTATACAGCTATGCATCTCCAGTCATTGGTTAACTCCCGCCATGCTTGCCTGTTATTAGCCAAGTAAGAAAAAATAGAAAGAACTGCATGAGGGTTTGGTCGTGACTCGTGATGCGTCATCTGCACTATAATCTGGTATCAACTTCCTCTTGTCTTCTGTGAATTATGACATCCCACACAAAGGTCTTAAAGAAATATCAGTCTATTACAGGCCTATTTGCATTACATATACGGCTTTGAAGTAAGGCTGGCCACCACAGAGACCATGTATGTCATAAAATATGTACTTTCAATATTTTCATGTTGTTAAAATATGTGCGTGTGTGCATATGTATTATATTATATTATGTATTAAGTCAAGGCACCTTCTTTTATATAGTGCTTTTAAAAATATATATATTTTTTTAAAAACAATTTTACAGTGATAATAGAAAGTAAAGTAACAGAGATTGTTTTGGCTTTACAGCAGCTCTAGAATATTTCACAACCTGCTCAGTTACTGGGATTTTCACGCGCAACCATTTCTAGGGTTTACAAAGAATGGTGTGAAAAGGGAAAAACATCCAGTATGCGTCAGTTCTGTGGGCGAAAATGCCTTGTTGGTGCTCGAGGTCAGAGGAGAATGGGCCGACTGATTCAAGCTGATAGAAGAGCAACTTTGACTGAAATAACCACTTGTTACAACCGAGGTATGCAGCAAAGCATCTGTGAAGCCACAACACACACAATTTTGAGGCGGATGGGCTACAACAGCAGAAGACCCCACCGGGTACCACTCATCTCCACTACACATAGGAAAAAGAGGCGACAATTTGCAAGAGATCACCAAAATTGGACAGTTGAAGACTGGAAAAATGTTGCCTGGTCTGATGAGTCTCAATTTCTGTTGAGACATTCAGATGGTAGAGTCAGAATTTGGCGTAAACAGAATGAGAACATGGATCCATCATGCCTTGTTCCCACTGTTCAGGCTGGTGGTGGTGGTGTAATGGTGTGAGGGATGTTTTCTTGGCACACTTTAGGCCCCTTAGTGCCAATTGGGCATCGTTTAAATGCCACGGCCTACCTGAGCATTGTTTCTGACCATGTCCATCCCTTTATGGCCACCATGTCCCCATCCTCTGATGGCTACTTCCAGCAGGATAATGCACCTTGTCACAAAGCTCGAATCATTTCAAATTGGTTTCTTGAACATGACAATGAGTTCACTGTACTAAAATGGCCCCCACAGTCACCAGATCTCAACCCAATAGAGCATCTCTGGGATGTGGTGGAACGGGAGCTTCGTGCCCTGGATGTGCATCCCACAAATCTCCATCAACTGCAAGATGCTATCCTATCAATATGGGCCAATATTTTTAAAGAATGCTTTCAGCACCTTGTTGAATCAATGCCACGTACAATTAAGGCTGTTATGAAGGCGAAAGGGGGTCAAACACAGTATTAGTATGGTGTTCCTAATAATGCTTTAGGTGAGTGTATGTACAGGTGTGTATCTTTCTTTACAAATCGACTCCAACCTATTACTTGTCTGGCCTTAAAAATTCATAATACAGAATATTTTGTTGCATGTGAACTGGAATCATTTTCACAATGTTTTATATGTACAGAAGTGAAGGAAACCAAGATATTGCGTTATATTTCCAGGTAAATTGCAACATAATCAATTTTGAAGATCTTGGGCTTGACTAGTCCAGAAGACTCAGCAACCCCCACTACTCTTTTCTAGGACGTTTTCTCTCTCAAACACACCCCTCATCAGTCAGATGCTTTTATTATAACTGCTTGATTTACAATGGTGGTGTGGTATTTGATTGTAAATGTTGCATATATAGTAAATGACAAACATGCCATTTGGTCTAAAAGTCTAAAATAGTTATTAACTTACATTTTGAATGAGAGTTGTGTTTGATGTAGTCAATGTCAAAACGGTTCTTTCTCATGTTTTGTGGTATTGTCATGTTCCCTTTTTGTAGTTTTGCAATATGGGCTGGGAGTACTGCAATTAGTTATTTTGGGTCTGTTTTACACATGTAAGAAAAAAATAGCCTACAGGCTTAAATGGAAACACAAAACAAATTGTATCTGCAGATTTTATTATGAAATCTCCATAGGCCTCTATTGCAGAATCTGTTTTTTACTGTATTGAGACACTATGAAGTATTGTCATTATGGTGGCCTGATTTTTGCTACGTCCTCTATCAGGGTATGGAAATATTGCAAGCCGGCGCTTTATGGGGCTTGTAAGCAGAGATGTACAGTAACGAAGTAGAACTACTTAAGTACTAAAATGCTGTATAGAGTATTGTTTTTTCTCATACTTCTACTTTTACTTCAGTAGATATTTTCGATGAATTTAATACTTTTACTTCAATATTTTTTTAATGTTCTGCTAGTTACTCGTTACAATTATAAAAATTTTACAAATCATTCATTGCAAGTTGGCTTTCATGCTGCCTAAATCACACACCAGTTGTATAGGGTAATGGTATTGATTGACGTAAACATTGACAACTAATGCAGGGGTGGTCCTGCAACTTTTGACTGCTTTCTTTACTAATTAGCTAAATGACACAATACTTGTACATTTACTTTTAGTACTTAAGTAGTGAATTTTAAAATAAACTACTTGCAATACTTAAGTACAAAAAATGTTGAATACTTAGCCCCACACCAAAACGACAGCATAACAAGGGTCCCTACATTCAAACCGAAGCATTGAGAACTTTGTCAGTGTCCATACAGTTTAATAAGAAGTTATTTTATACACACAGTCAACTTCGCGAATACAGGAAGAAGCCATCTTTGAAAAATAGTCTCTACCAGTCGATCTACGAACGCCGATCCAAGTGCGCTGAACTGTGCAGAATCTTATATGGTCCATTGTTTCCAGTAGAAACACGAATACAAACCGTTTTCTTCTCTTCAATATGTACACGTAGCCTACTGTTCGCGCTCACCTTATTCACATCTCACCAGCGCACTTGGATCGGCGTTCGTAGATCGACTGGTAGAGACTATTTTTCCAAGATGGCTTCTTCCTGAATTCGCGAAGTTGACTGTGTGTATAAAATATCTTCTTATTAAACTGTTTGGACACTGACAAAGTTCTCAATGCTTCGGTTTGAATGTAGGGACCCTTTTTATGCCGTCGTGTTACTGTGGGGCTATTTTGAGCCTTTTTAGTTGTAATAACAAGCGATTTTTATTTGTCATTACTCTATGCCCAATATACTAGCATTATACTAGCGTTGTAGGCTAAACTGTTTTTAGAGATAAAACTATTTACATTCGGCAATCATGAAAACAAATCTCAGATAACGGTTGACTAGGTAACAATGTGTAATTAGACTAAAGGTTTATTTTGCGCCGGAGTTGTCCTTTAAAGAGAACTTCAACTTCTACTCAAGTCACTTTTTTTGATAGAGTACTTGTACTTTTACTCAAGTCCGGGTTTCTAGTACTTTATAGACCATTTCACAAGATGTAAACAACACTGGTCCAGAAGCACTTCCTGTTTCAGTTTTTTAACACTACATAAAAGCTGGGATAAAATACAACCAACAGAAGATTTAAAACTGAATCAAAAAGTTAAACAAACATCTTTAAGATGTTTTCTTTACATGTGAAATAAAGAAAACGGTTCCAAACTGAAACAGGAAGTGCTTCTGGACCAGTGTTGTTTACATCTTGTGAAATGGTCTATACATCTCTGCTTGTAAGTGGTTATAACGTTTCTGTCTATGGGTTGATCAGAAAGATTTCAGATTTCATCAAAAAAATATCTTAATTTGTGTTCTGAAGATGAACGAAGGTCTTACGGGCTTGGAACGACTTGAGGGTGAGTAATTAATGACAGAAAGTCCATAGATAGTGTGGGTTAAGCATACGGCTCATGGCATTTTTCAGACCAAGGACGGTCTTGCACACTCACTTCCTGTCGCATGCACACACTATCAAGTGGCCAAGACCACAAGTGTGGGTATTTCTATTTACACATCTTCACACGAGGCCTGTCTAAATATTCAACAATAACCCACCCCCATGACATAGACCTATGCTTTAGTCATTATTTTTTTGTATATCTTACAAAACATTTCTATAAGATATAACCCTTATTAGACTACTGCTAAATAAAATTGCAAAACACATTAAGGAACAATAGCCTATAGCAGATATAATATGCCACAGTTTTGTTTATTTTATTATCACACTTAAAGCAAGCACATTACAACTTTGCAAATATATTATGAATGCTTTATGCTTTTTACATTCAACAATTTACACATCTATTCCTAAATAACGCTTATACGGTGAAATGCTTTAACTGAATTTTCATAGACAAGTTGCATTAACGTGTATTTACATTGTGCCACCACAAGGGGCTGTACATTATAAAGGATGATATAATTAAATTCATATAATTTTATCCTGAATTGAGACTTTGCTCGCTTTGCATCGTAATGATGCAAGTTGTTGTGTTCATATTTTCTGAGGAACATGCACCTGTGATTAAAAGATTGAACAATGAGATGAAATCACAAATTCAGTGTCTGTGTAAAACATGTGATATTAACATCAACAAACCTGTCACTTCTCACTGTTTGTGCACAGAGCTGTAGGTCACCTCGTCCTCCGCTGATACTAGGCTAAACTGGAGATATGAAAGATGATTAAGAACAATACTGACAATTACATTACGACACTCTCAGAAAAAAAGGTACAAAAGCTGTCACTGGGGCTGTACCTTTTCAAAAGGTAAACTTTTGTCCATTTTAGGTGCTAATATTACATTTTAAGTGTTAATATGTACATTTTAGGTGCTAATAAGTACATTTTATGTTTTAATATGTACATTTTAGGTGCTAATATGTACATTTTATGTTCTAGTAAGTACATTTTAGGTGTTAATATGTACATTTTAGGTGCTAATATGTACATTTCAGGAGCTAATATGTCCATTTTAGGTCCTAATATGTACATTTTAGGTGTTAATATGTAAATTTTAGGTGCTAATATGTACCAATATGCAGCCTTTGGGTACAAAACGTACCTTTTGAAAAGGTATAGCCCCAGTGACAGCTTTTGTACCTTTTTTTCTGAGAGTGCAAGACAAATCTCTGTGCACGTTCTTGTGAATTCACTCACTGCTTTAGTTTTAGGTCGTATTGTCACGGAGCTGTAAGTCACATCATTCTCTGCAACCGCTGGTGATGAACAGACGCCGTTTCCCTGTGAATAATTATAAACAAATCTGATTGTAATGAGTCTCTCAGTTATGAGTCTGAACTCAAATAGTTGTCAGCTCAAACCTACTGCGTCACTGTCTCCATCTCGGTTCACCTCTGTAGTCTGGGTGTTATTTATGTCTGTTAGTGAGAAAACAAATGATGTTATCAGTCTTTCCATTGCACATCAAGTTTATAAGCACATGGGGTCAGTAAGACTTTTTTAAAGAAGTCTCGTATTCTACCAATGCTGCATTTATTTGATGAAAAATATAGTAAAAACTGTAATACTTCATAAATCATTATAATATGCTGATCTTTGCTCAAGACACATTTCTGATTATAATCAGTGTTGAAAATAGTTGTGTTGCTTCATGTTTTGTGGAAACTACTAAAAAAAAATTAAAAGAAAGTTCAAAACAGTAGCATTTTAGAAATGAATATTTGACTTCTGATTAATTTCAAATTTTCAATTATTTTTTGCAGGAGAAACCTTTAAAAAAAATCAAACACTGAATGGCTGATGGATATTGTCATATAATAAGAAAGGTAAATCAATACTGACTGTTCTTCTTTCTCAGTTTTACAGCTGATAGGCCTACGACGGTCACCAACAGCAGAAACAACACAACCGCAGGAATCCACACCTCCAGATACCCATAATGCCTGTCAGAATAAACAATACAAATGGTTCATATATATGCATATAATATTACCACACTTATTGTCATGACAATATTATTTTTTTGCTGAAACTAAATTAGTTCTAATTACTCCATTAGTTTGACATTTATTTTGTGATTGTGGCATTTGTTCTGTTGACATCACATTTGATTTTTAATTCAAAATGCTGCAAATATTATTGCTTTAAATTTATTTCAAATGTTCGTTTTTTGCTGTTCAAATTCTCTTAAAGAGATAGTTCACCCATAAATGAAAGATATGTGTTATCATTTACTCATCCTCAGTTTGTTCCAAACCTGTATGAGTTTCTTTGTTCTGCTGAACACATAGGAAGATCATTTGTAGAATATGGGAAACCAAACAGTTGATGGACCCCATTGACTTCGATAGTGTGGAAGAAAATACTATTGAAGTCAATGGGGTCCATCAACTATTTGGTAACACACATTCTTCAAATATATTCTTTTGTGTTCAGAAAAAAAGAAAATCATAGAGGTTTGGACAAACTGAGGTTGAGTAAGTGATGACAGAATTTTACATTTCTGGGTGAACTATCCCTTTAACAACCATTTAGTTTTAGTTTTATACCATTTCACAAGCGCCATTTTGCAAAGCTAAAATGGAAGTAGGTTATAACAGTGCATGAAAAAGAGGAAGATGGCCTCACTGAAGCAGTTGCTGTTTTACTATACACACCAGTTACAGTCATGATATATATATATATATATATATATATATATATATAGAAAACAATTAACCTTAAAAACTTAAAATCACAATTGCATACATTCTGGGTACTTAAAAGTTATGAAAAGTTACTTATTCTGCTGCTCTTTGCTGATTGATGTTGTATTGCTGTTGCTAAAGAAGAGAGAGAAATAATATGAACTTTAATAATTAACTCAAACAGATCTGACTAGAAAATTAAAAGGAAAAGACTACACAGAGAAATAGACTAAATATTAAGAAAGAAAATCCAACTATATACTAGTAAAATAAGCATCGTATTAGGTCAATGATACATTATCAATCTTATATTTATGCAATATTTGAGATTGATTCATATGTTAATTAGGTACTAACCCATTTTTGTCAAATTCGTCTGTGGTCACAACTGCTGTTGAATAAAATAGCAGAAATTTAAAAAAAAAAAAGGGGGGGGGGGTCAACCTGTCACTCACATCAGATCCACCAATAGCAATCCACAACCATGCAAACACCCCATTAAAAAAAAAATCAAGTACCGCCATACATTTACTGGAATTGGGAAGCCATTTCACTTTGATATACGAGTAAACAGGAACGTGTGAAGACATAAAAAGATGAAAACAATTTTTTGTTTTTCTTATCAAGAACTCCTGTGTAGGTCTAAGTATAATGGGTTTTTACCAGTGACAGTGAGATGAACAGAAACCTGCAGATTTCCAGCAGAGCAGAAGTACCATCCAGAATCATTGAGTCTCAGTCCAGTCATCAACACAGTGAAGGAGCTTCTCCCATCATCACTGATCTGGACTGATGAATTCTGGGATGTGTCAGTCCTCCCCACTGTGTAACAGCTCTGATCTTTATATCTGCACCACTGTTTGGGTTTATCCTGATATCCAGAAGTGTAGAAACACTGGACACTGACATTATCACCTTCACGTCCAGATACACTGCTGTTCATCACAGACACATCAGGAGCTGAACACACAGACACAAGTCATTTGAGATTAATTAGGAATCAGGATCAGAATTATTCATCTGAATGTGAAACTCATGTCAAACCTGATTGAACTTTGAGGTGAAGCTTCTCTGTTTCATCTCTTTGAAGTTTTCCTCCAATCTCCTCAGCACACCAGTAAGATCCAGTGTCTTCACGCTGCAGGTTTCTCATGGTCACAGTAAAGAAACTCTGATCTGGATGATCCATTACTGACACTCTTCCTTTGGTTTCATTAGCATATGCCAGAATAGTACAGTAAACATATACCGAATTTGCATGAAAGCACCAGTATTTCCTGTGTTCGGTGTATTTCCTGTCATAATAACACGGAATAACGACAGATCCTCCGGTCTGAACCGTTAACTCTCTGCTTGCTGATCCTGCAGGACCTGAGCAAAGAAAAGATCAACTTTAGTTTGACTTTTATGTAGAGGTAAATGTATAAAAGAATTACAAAATGCATGTCATAGGTTACAGCAGGATATGTAAACTACTCGTATGAGTAAAATGAATTGTAAGCAAACGGAGAACACTTGCCTGTTATGAGCCAAAGGAAAAATACAATGAACTTCATCAAACTGACTGTCGGTGGGACGAAAAGTTGCAATGTTTCTCCTGTCTCTGTCTTCATCATTTCCACGCAAGTTTACATTTATACTATAGACACAGCTTCTCTCTCAAGGAGACGTGCATAACGTCTAAAGTCATCATATTTCTACGGTCTTTCTCATTTCCTGCATTCGTTGTTTCTTGTTGCTTGTCAAAAAGCCTCTGTGAAGGTTGCATCAAAAGTTAAAATGTGTAACCTGGTGAAATGAGAAGTATTTATGTGTAATGCAGTGAATGTTAAAGCTGTTCCTCTCCTGGATTCACAGGCTTCCTTCTCTAGTTCTCATTTTTATAGGTACAGTATGTCACCTCAGAAACTGGTTATTTTTAGTCTGTTTTGTGGTTGGGTCAACACATTTAAGCAAAGAAATATAAGACCAAAAAAAAAAAAACATCAACAGAATTTAATATGACTTGAAAACAAGATGTGAAAGTATAGAAATGGAGCACGTTTTAGTCATCAATGGAGAAAAAGAAAAATCCATATAATGGACTTCAATGGGAACCGGATGGTTCAAGGTCCAAAAGACAGTTAATAACAGTTTCAGATGCAGCTTCAAATGTCTTTAAACGACACCAGACGATGAATAAGGGTCTTATCGTGCGAAACGATCGGTTATTTCAATGCTTATTCCAAAAATTTAACTTTTCTAAGGACAAATGCTAGCCATGCTCTATTCTCTGAGGCGCGTTTGTAACGTCACGTATTACGTAATTACGTTCAAAAGGTCACGGGCGACGTAGCCGAAAGTACAGAGTCAGTGTTTACAAGTTGAACGCATAGGTTGAACGTGCAAACTAACTCAAACACCGTTTAAAAAAAAAGGAATTAAAAGGAAAAACAACGATGTCGGACGATTTTGATTCTGTACTTTCGGCTACGTCGCCCGTGACCTTTTGAACGTAATTACGTATTACGTGACGTTACAAACGCGCCTCAGAGAATAGAGCAAGGCTAGCATTTGTCCTTAGAAAAGTTACATTTTTGGAATAAGTTTTGAAATAACCGATCGTTTCGCATGATAAGACCCTTATTCATCGTCTGGTGTCGTTTAAAGACATTTGAAGCTGCATCTGAAACTGTTATTAACCGTCTTTTGGCCCTTGAACCATCCGGTTCCCATTGAAGTCCATTATATGGAGAAAAATCCTGGAATGTTTTCATCAAAAACCTTAATTTCTTTTCGACTGAGGAAAGAAAGACATGGACATCTTGGATGACATGGGGGTGAGGAAATTATCAGCAAAAGTTTTCAAAAGTGAACTAATCCTTTAATACATCGTCTACTTCAACATCTGGACAGAATTATGCCTGACTTCTCTTTATTGACTTTAGTTCTGCTTTTAATTCGATTCAGCATCACCGGGTGATAAAGAAACTACAGAGAATGCAAGTCCCATCATCTCTAATATATATTTGATCCATAAATTTCTTTCTAATAGACCCCAAGTGGTTAAAGTGGACAGTGCAGTATCACCAACCATTGTCCTTAATACTGGCGCCCCTCAGGGGTGCGTACTCAGCCCATTCCTTTTTATTCTCTACACAAATGACTGTTAGAGTCCATTTACAATGACTCATTATTTTAAATATGCAGATGATACAGCCATTCTTGCTCTGCTTAATGACTTTTTTTGGACCATCAACCTTCTACAGCACATTTTATAAAGTGGTGTGAGGAAAACTTTCTGCTCTTCAATATTTTAAAGACTATAAGGAACTGGTCTTTAGCAGCCCAAAAACACAGATCCATGCTTCTATCGTTATTATTGATGGCGAGAAAGCATTTAAAATATCTTGGCATTATTTTGGATCAAAATCTCTATTTTAACCAGCATACTCTAGAAGTTTACAAATACTGTCAACAAAGACTGACATCTATTCGTAAACTTGGGCACTTGTCTGTTCAGCCACGTCTTCTGCTTCTGTATCGCAGTATTATCGAGCCGGTCCTTACTTACTTATGGCGCCATTTGTTTATTTCATATGCTTATAGTTACTAACAAGAACAAATTCTTAAAGATAGCTAATTTAGCAAGTAAAATTATTGGTGTCTACCCCCAATTTATCGGATAGTGTCTCGCACAGAGTATGGGTAGGTTTAGGTCTGGGGAAAAGTTAGGGTTAGACCACTAGGAGGCGCCTTCTGCCCCATATACAGTATATCTGCGTCTCATATTGACGCTAAAGGGTGCCATGTGCGTTGGATGTATTCGCATTGTCAAAAGCGTCAGTATATGACGCCTTGGGATGAGAACGGGCTGGATCTGCACGTCCATCCGACCTCCAATTTTAGTGGGAACAATTCTAATGACATCATTATGCACTTCAGCCTCTCCTCAGATTGTCTGTCCAATCAAATGCGCTAGAACCTGAAGTTTTTATTTGCATCTCTTTGAGATTAATATATATATATATATATTATCCATATGCAATATGTTTATTTTATAAGCTTTATTGATGCTTTAAGCCAAATCTATTTCATCTGTGTGTTGTTGGTTATTTAACATGATGACAGATGCAAATACTGTCACTGGCTAAAATTACATTATTGACTGATATCATATTGATATAAAAAATGGCCAAATGGAAAACATGTTTTTTTTTTAATTTTATAGTTTTATTTGGTATGTTCCTCATTTATAATTCACTCTTGATAAAAGAAAAATACATTTGCAGAAAAATAGTGAGAAAAGATACATTGCAGACAGGCATTTAGCAAATGTAGACGTCTAATACATTATTCTACACACAGATCTTTAATCTGATATGACTGTGTAAAGCAAAAGCAGTTTTCTTTCAGCTCAGTGGAGAAAACTAGTTCTGTGACAGACAGAAACGCCATCTGAAAGAAAAGACAATATCACACTATCAAGAGGCATCTGAATATGTTTCTCTGTCACATTAATTAAGCCCTCACTTTACAGAAAATATTTTTATTCACATATTGTTTTCAGAAGGAAGACTGGAAATTGATTATGTAAAGTTATAGACATGTGAAGTATAGATATTGCTAAAGAATAAGCCACAATAATGAGAATTTGTTTCTTACTTGTCCTTCTCAGCGCCGGTGTCTGTGGACGAAACAAAAGGTTTTTTTTCTAACAGCAAAATTTGATTGTAATAATTATGGATTGAGTTTTAACTTTTTAAAAACAGTATTAAACATGTTTTACCTGGTTGTGCCTCGGTTACAGTGAGTTGAACAGGATTCAGTGCCTCTCCAGCAGAGCAGAAGTACCATCCAGAATCACTGAGTCTCAGTCCAGTCATCAACACAGTGAAGGAGCTTCTCCCATCATCACTGATCTGGACTGATGAACTCTGGGATGTGTCAGTCCTCCCCACTGTGTAACAGCTCTGATCTTTATATCTGCACCACTGTTTGAGTCTATACTGATATCCAGAAGTGTAGAAACACTGGACACTGACATCATCACCTTCATGTCCAGATACACTGCTGCTCTTCACAGACACATCAGGAGCTGAACACACAGAGTTGTTTGAGATTATTAAACAGCCTACATACACCGTGTGTGTGTGTGTGTGTGTGTATGAAGTCAGATAATTTGACATTAGAGTGTGATTAAAATAATTACAAAATCTCATACCAGACTGAACCATGAGATAAAGCTCATATGTGACAGTCAGTTTTCCATCAGTCTCCACAACACAGGAATAATCCCCATTATGTTTGTTCTGCAGGTTTCTCATAGTCACAGTAAAGAGACTCTGATCAGGATGATCAATTACTGACAGATTCTCCTCTCTTGTGTTTGTGTATATCTTAGATTGATCAATATCTGAGTGCCAGTATTTCTTCTGCGGTGGGTTTTTCTCATCATAATGACATGGGATGGTGACGGATCCTCCAGTCTTAATAGTTACGATATTTGACCCACCGCTATAGCATTCAACCCCTAAAACAAACAACACACGCTGTTATGTGCAGGATTAACAATAATTCAGTCATTCATTTGTTCTATCTTCACATAAAACACATTAAAAGCATCATGAACAGCTGGGCATACATGTGTCATTACAAAATCATAAACTGGATAGGCTATATTCGAAACAAAAACAAAACAACATTTAATATTCACCTAAAATGAGCCAAAACCCGATTGAAATGTAGAATATTTTTGCCTTCTCGTACGCGGCCATTGCGTTTGCTCCTGCTTATGAGTCCTGTATGAGGTTTTCACTGAAGCACAACAGCTCATCTTCTGCTTTCTGCCCTCATACTATCACAGACGGAGGAGGAAATGCTCTTAAATGTCTTCGACCACGTCCACGTGTATAAGGGGTGAACAGATTATTCCACATTGCAAAATAAGGTGGAAAGTATCCGTCTCAGGAAACTACACAGAGGGAAGCGCAGGCAGAGAGAGTAAAGCTGGCTTTTAATTGTGCTCACTATTTAATTATTGCAGTAATTGATTTCACATAACCCCACCCCTAAATGGCTTAATCAAACTGAACTGTGGTTGGTCACTTGTGTTGGTGTGTCACTTCCTGTCTGCGTGGGTGGATCATGGCTACCAGCCGACTTGCACAACTTTTTTTTTTATGCTTTACTTCCAACAAATGGCGTGTAGCCTATAAGGTATTACATCAGAAGACTTTCACAACTACTTCCACAAACTTATTATTAACTCAGAAGTTTACGATAAGCATTCAGCGCATGCGTTAACATGAATTATCTTGAAATGTCCCAATAAATACATTTTCTTCCCAACTGAGCATTCGATAGTAAATAAATATTTCCCCACTAACCTTTAGCCGTCCAGTGCTCATCTTCGTTCTCATTAACAGTGTTTTTATCTCTTATTGATATTATTTAATTCCTGTGGAGTTTACATTTTTAAATTAATTTTATTTGACTGATAAAAAGCACGAGCTTGTGTGCGATGGTGTGCAGTACGTGCCATAAATTTAATGATGTTAATTTAAGCTATAATCTCAATCTAATAATTCAGCATTTTGGGCATAAACATGTAAATTACATTACATATTACATGATTTAATTAAAATATGTACTGATGTTATTCATCAGGTCTCACATATTAGTTTAGACAAGCACTGACACCATGTGGTGAAATAATCGCATGTGTTTAACATGGTTTCAATCATACACTGTAAAAAAATATTGATGGTTTAACTTAAAAAAGTAAATAGCCTTAAAATTTTAAGTTCATTGAACTGGAAAAAGTGAGTTAATACAATGAAGGAGATTAATTTAACCATCAGAAACTCAAAATTATGTTATCTGAACTAAATAAATTATTTAAGTTGATTTGACAAAAGAAAAAATGTCGTGATAAACTCAGTGCAAGAAGTCCATGAGGACAAATCTGCTAACAGTAGCAAATACAAATCTAATGAGTTTCACAAAACCTGTTATTTATCTGGACACAAAGGAAAGATTTGACAACAGCACAAAGATGAGCACATGAGTGCTGAACAAGACACATCATGTAGATTTGGGGCACATAAAAAAGTAAACTATGTATGTTTATAAAGAACATTTTATTATTTTGATGCACTTTTATTACCTGGTTTTGGAAAACTAAAGAAAAGGCAACACCACGTGCAAAAATAGCCTAGACAAAATGTTTAACTTTGATAGTCCACTTTTGCATTCTACCAACTATGAGTAATTTCAGTACATGTCAACTAACTCTCATCTGAGTATTAGTAGATTATATGTTTAGGGTTATGATTATAGGATTATGAGGAGTAGAATAAGTTGACATAGTTGCAAAGTGAGTCAGTATATTGTCTGTTAGGGGAAAACTCTTGAGAAATCAAGAAAATGTTATAATTATTCTTAATAATTATAGTATTATAGTATATGCCATTTTAATTAATATTAAAATAATATAAAAAAAATCAATGGAAACTGTCTTTTGAAAAGTTATTGGGGCTTGCTTTACATGTGCACAGCCTTTTTTTTAAAAAAAGCCTGAAATTAAGCCTTTTAAACGCTATTTGAGCAGAAACCATATTTATGATAGTTTTTGTCAGATTTTATTGGTGATTTCAAATATGAAATTTAATAAACTTGGTGAATTGGATTTTTCCCATTCAAAGCGATAGGAGCTGCACTTGCATGACTGATGAAGTTACCAGAGAGGCTCCAGTACATGTTTGTGACTGCCTACATTGCTCAACACCGCAAAAACAGGCTGCAAAGAAACCTTTGACACTCTCCAGAAAGCAAACACAAATACATGTCAAATCTGTTTCACCAATTCGCTATTATTACAGTTTCAACTGAGGGTGCAGAATTTAGCACCCAAGGACTAGCTATACTTTAGGGCTTTTCACACTTGAAATGGCAATATCCGCAATTTCATAGCGGTTAGCAACAGCAAGTTAGCTTTGAAGAGATTAGTTCCTGATCTCCTTTTGCAACTTTCCTCTCTTCAGCCCGACATACAGTGCTTAGTATCAGTGTTGAAGATTACTTTTGAAAGTAATGCATTATATTGCTTTAGTCCCTAAAAATGTAGATTAGATTTTACAGTAAAGTTTTGAGATATATATATGTTCATATGCAATTTTTTAAATTTAGCTTTGATGCCTCAGAATTAAAACCCAAATCTCTTTTGTCTGTATGTTGTTGGTTAACATGACAGATGCAAATACTGTCACTGGCTAAAATTACATTACTGTGTCTGTGAGGTCTGTATATCATATTGATATAAAAGGTGATGCCTAAATTGAGGGGGAAAAAAACGATTTATTTATCATTTTTGTAGTTTTATTTGGAATGTTCCTATTTAGTAAGTCACTTAAAATAAATTTGAAGAAAACTTTGAAGAAAAAGTTGCTTTTGGTAAAAAGAAAATAACATTTGAAGAAAAATGCTAAGAAAAAATACATTGCAAACATTTAGGCATTTAGCAAATGTAGATCTTTAATCTGCTGACTGAGTGTTAAGCAAAAGCAGAATCAGCGGTTTTGATCTTTCTGGTCACACAACTAGCATAAATGAGTACATCTAAAGTAAAAGATCAAGTATAGTATACAAATTATTTTAAGTTATATGAACTCTTTTGTAAGTGTACACTACTAGACATGCACTTGTTAATACTACATATTATTCCTATTTCACTTTACTCAGTTTATTAAGTGCGATCAGTTTGCATGCTTTTTTCAAGTAAGCTGTACTAACAGTGCAATGGAGAAAACTAATTCTGTGACAGACAGAAACGCCATCTGAAAGATAAAACAAAATAGCACACAATCAAATATTCCAACTGAACATTTCTCTCTAGTTTATGTATAATTCAGACACATTAAATAAAATATTTTTTTAAGAGGAAAGACTTGAATAACCATTTTATAGCATTAAATAATTAATCACAATAATGAAAATTTACTTACTTGTTCTTCTCAGTGGCAGTGCTGGTGTCTGTGGTCACCCATACTGTCAAAATAACAAAACAACAATTATGGATTGAGTTTTACCTTTTCAGTTTTTAATTACAGTAATATGTTTTTACCTGGTTCTACAGTGAGTTGAACAGGATTCAGTGCCTCTCCAGCAGAGCAGAAGTACCATCCAGAATCACTGAGTCTCAGTCCAGTCATCAACACAGTGAAGGAGCTTCTCCCATCATCACTGATCTGGACTGATGAACTCTGGGATGTGTCAGTCCTCCCCACTGTGTAACAGCTCTGATCTTTATATCTGCACCACTGTTTGGGTTTATCCTGATATCCAGAAGTGTAGAAACACTGGACACTGACATTATCACCTTCGCGTCCAGATACACTGCTGCTCTTCACAGACACATCAGGAGCTGAACACACAGAGTTGTTTGAGATTATTAAATACACACAGTGTGTGTGAAGTCAGATAATTTGACATTAGAATGTGAAATAAAAACACAATCTCATACCAGACTGAACCATGAGATGAAGCTCATATGTGACAGTCAGTTTTCCATCAGTCTCCACAGCACAGGAATAACCCCCATTATGTGTTTTGATCTGCAGGTTTCTCATAGTCACAGTAAAGAGACTCTGATCAGGATGATCAATTACTGACAGATTCTCCTCTGTTGTGTTTGTGTATATTTTAGATTTATCAATATCTGAGTACCAGTATTTCTTCTGCGGTGGGTTTTTCTCATCATAATGACATGGGATGGTGACAGATCCTCCAGCCTTAATAGTTACGGTATCATCTGTCCCACCGCTAAAGCATTCAACCCCTAAACAAACAACACTGTTATTATGTGCAAGATTAACAATAATTCACTCATTCATTTGTTCTATCTTCACATTAAACACATTAAAAGCATCATGAACAGCTGAGCATAAAATCAGTTATTGCAAAATCATAAACTGGATAGGCTATATTTGAAACAAAAACAGCACAACATTTAATACTCGCCTAAAATGAGCCAAAACCCGATTGAAATGTAGAATATTTTTGCCTTCTCGTACGCGGCCATTGCGTTTGCTCCTGCTTATGAGTCCTCTATGAGGTTTTCACTGAAGCACAACAGCTCATCTTCTGCTTTCTGCCCTCATATTATCACATTGTCAGGAAATGCTATCTTGCACCACGTGGATAAGGAGTGAACAAACAATACATATCGATAAAATGCAGAGCAATCAAGATTTCTTCCATTGTTTGATGATGGGTGTTCAGTATCAGTTATCACAAGTATCACAAGTTTCAATTTGTGGTAGTTAATGCTTCAGCTTTCTAAGAACGAACAACAATGTTTCAACGTTTGAATTGATATTAATTTCTGCATACACTAATACACAAGTTGTGTAAATTAACCTTAATGAATTAACTATGAACAAATGTATATTTATACATAAAATAAACCTTAATTATTAAAAAAAAATACATTTTTAAAAATCAATATATCACTCATACAGTAATGGATTAACTAATTGTAACGAACTGAAAGTTACTGTAAAGCAGGGGTCGGCAACCTAAGGCATGTGTGTGTTCATCACTGTGCCACAACGCATATGGGTTATGACAAAAAGTTTGCCAACCCTCGCTGTAAAGTGTTACCACGTGGTCTGGGGTGTTCACTGATATGCTCACACAAAAATCAATGCAAAAGATGCTTTCAAACAGGTTTTATCGTAGTTTTTGTACCAAGTCAAGTCAATGGAGTCGGACAAAAACTACGATAAAACCTGTTGGAAAGCATCTTTTTGGTTTAGTTGAGTCAGTAAACTAGAAAAACTTTCCACTTGGCATTTATTGACAGCCCAGCAAGCAATTATTTACAAAGTTGTTTGGCGTAGTATATAGTCCATAGTTCATTATCCGAGGGTAGCGGATCTGTATTTTCAGCCCTGCATTTCCTGAGTAAGAAGCCAAACTCAAACATGCGTAAGTACTGATCTTTTATACAGCGAGTATATGGACATGATTGGATAGATGTGAAGGTAATAAGGGCCGTAGTAATTCAGTCTTCCTGGCAGAACTTAAAGCTTTCATTTCTGTGACAGACAGAAATGCTCCATCACGTGCCTTCTGAAAGAGAGACTATAGAAAGATATGACAAAAGCACAAAGATGAACATATGAGTGGTAAACAAGACGCATCATGTAGGTTTAGGTCACATTTATTTTTTTTAAATTGCTCATACTGCATTTCAATAAATTTGATATATAATAACCATGGTAATACTAACGTGCTCCTCTCGGTGTCTGTGCTTACAGTTGCTGTCAGAAAAAAAAGTGGGAATAAAGCAATAAAGCACACAATATTTAATGGTTTTCATGGGCTTTTTTTGGTTGTAAAGGGAATTATAGTGGTCTCTGTGGGTCTCTGATCTGTTGGAGGGGCATTAAATTGAATAATTTTTATTTCTTTTCATTTTCTTTTCCTCTTCAGAACATGGTCATTGATAACAGAGCATATTTAAACAAAAATAATAAAAACAAAATCTCAGCATGTTCAAAAGAGAAGAAAAAGAATATGAAGAGTTCAGATGCAAAAGCCTCTAAATGCCATTTGAAATTTTCTTCTTTAATGATGATTTTTATCAGAGTAATTTCACTTAAATGGCAATGATAATTACCTATTAATTGTTATTTAAGTGAAATTACTGAACTTAAATATACAAGTTTGATAAAAATCATCATGAAAGATGAACATTTCAAATGGCATTTAGAGGCTTTTGCATCTGAACTCTTCATATAGAAAAAAAAGGAGAAGGAAGAAGCTAACTTATATTTACTTCCCCTTTTACAAATCTAGATTTGAAACGGCTACTGTTTTCTCTTTACAAAATATCATAATTTATCCTTTTTAGAAACAACAACAACAAAAAAAAAACTTCATCATTTGCAGTACATTTTATCTAAAAATAAGTCACACAATACAATTATAATATAAAAAACAAAAACAAAAATAATAAATAAACAAAAAACACAAAATGTACTGATCCCAACGCATTCTCACCCCAAGGCGTCACCAATCCTAATGGAATATAACCCACTACAAAAAAAGAATTGTGTAGTGGTTTAAATGGTAAAAATGGTAACCAGGTAATATAAGTGCATCAAATAATGGTAAAAATTGAGCCAGATATTAAGCAGAGAGAGAGAGAGAGTCTACTAATACTCTAATGATGATTGCTAATTGACATGTACACTGTAAAAAAAAATATTGTTGGTTTAACTTAAAAAAGTAAGTAACCTGGATGCCTTAAAATTTTAAGTTGATTGAAATGGAAAAAGTGAGTTAATACAATGAAGGAGATTGATTTAATCATCAGAAACTCAAAATAATAAGTTATCTCAACTAAATAAATGATTTAAGTTGATTTGACAAAAAAAATGTTGTGATAACAAATCTTGAAAATATTTTTTTTTTTCAGTGTATAGTTGCAATGTAAGAATATCTAAAGTGGAGTATCAAAAGTGTTACCAATACATCTAATCATATAATCAGGCCATAAATCCTGATTAATATTTCACAATGCTGGTTGCTCTCAAATATTCACGTGATTACATGCCATCAAATAATAAAATAATATAATTATGTATTATGAATTTATCATAACAACAAATAAGAGTATTACCTGGTATTAGTTCAGTGATAGTGAGAACAGGAACATGTGGATCTTCAAGAGAGCGGTCTGAATGCAGAAAAAGATGCAAATGTATTTTAGCATTTTCCCCTTAATTGTCCTGCAGGGAAACTTGTGTAGATTTGATGATTGGATGGGTTTTTACCAGTGACCGTGAGTTGAACAGAAACCTGCAGATTTCCAGCAGAGCAGAAGTACCATCCAGAATCACTGAGTCTCAGTCCAGTCATCAACACAGTGAAGGAGCTTCTCCCATCATCACTGATCTGGACTGATGAATTCTGGGATGTGTCAGTCCTCCCCACTGTGTAACAGTCCTTATCTTTATATCTGCACCACTGTTTGAGTTTATCCTGATATCCAGAAGTGTAGAAACACTGGACACTGACATCATCACCTTCACGTCCAGATACACTGCTGTTCATCACAGACACATCAGGAGCTGAACACACAGACACAAATTTGAGATTAATTAGGAATCAGGATCAGAATTATTCATCTGAATGTGAAACTCATGTCAAACCTGATTGAACTGTGAGGTGAAGCTTCTCTGTTTCATCTCTTTGAAGTTTTCCTCCAATCTCCTCAACACACCAGTAAGATCCAGTGTCTTCACGCTGCAGGTTTCTCATGGTCACAGTAAAGAAACTCTGATCTGGATGATCCATTACTGACACTCTTCCTTTGGTTTCATTAGCATATGCCAGAATAGAGCAGTAAATATATGCCGATTTTGCATGAAAGCACCAGTATTTCCTGTGTTCGGTGTAATTCCTGTCATAATAACACGGAATAACGACAGATCCTCCAGTCTGAACCGTTAACTCTCTGCTTGCTGATCCTGCAGGACCTGAGCGAAGAAAAGATCAAAAATCATCACTAAAAACATAAAGAGTCATTGTAATTTTTTGTCAAAGCTTATGAATGTAGGATGCATGCCTGTAACATTTATGTTTATATTTTTAAAAACCTTCATATTCATGAAAAATATGAATAAATTAAAAACAGAAAGAGAGAACACTTGCCTCTTATGAGCCAAAGAAAAATCCAAATGAACTGCATGATGGTGAGAATCCGCTTGTGTCGTGATGATGTTTGTTCACTGCACATCTAAAACACTGAACTCTAAAATAATAAACTTCCTCTTGTTTTCACAGAAGTGGCTACATGGTTTTCACAACACAGAGGAGGGGATACGTCACTGACTACACATAAGCCTATACATCAGTTTACGGTAAAAAAAAATGGTGCAGGTATTGTGCCGAATTTCAACTCCCTGCCCAATTATTACCCCCCTCATTGAAGTCAGGTACTAACCCCTAACCAGATCGCCTAATCCTAACTCCACCCCTAATCCTAACCCCATCCCTCGCAACTGATCCTAAACCTACCAATACGGGGGTAATAATTTGGCAGGGATCAGAATTTGGCACAACACTGGCATTTTTTTCAAGGACCAGTGGATTGAGGCCAGATTGACCGATGGGGAGAATATTGTTCACTCCCTTAAGGGCAAGTCTCTTAGGCCGTGTGTCCACCAAAGCGTTTTTCCACGCCCCTGGCGTATGTTTTCAATTGTTTTCAATGGGAGCGCCGCGTTTTTTAAACGCCATGAGCATAACGAGGCGCTGAGCGCTTTTTTCACGCTGAAGCGCCGAGCACCCAACGTTTTTACTGGTCGCTGGGAGTTGAAAAATGTTCAACTTTGGATAAAACGCAGCGCTCATCACGGTCACTTTTTACCCAGCCGTCCAATCACAGTGGAGGAGGGGCGGGACTAAACCACACCGACCAACTGTCACAACATTCAAACTGCTGCATATATTCTGTATCATAGCAACGAAACGTCTCAACAGAAAAAGCGCTGCCAAAACGCTCTCAAGCGCCCAAAGCATGGCGTCTTCAGCAGAGCGTCTAGCGTTTTCAGCTGGCTAAAAACGCTTTGGTGGACACACGGCCTTAGCCTATACTACTATTTTCTAGAGTAGCTACCTAAATTCACAGAACTAAATCAATATTTTCAAAGTGAAAAGGGGGTGATTCATTAATTGAAGAGCAAGGTATGTGAAACCTCCACAGATCCTCTTCTCACCTTCATGAGAGCGCCGCGTTTTTTTAAACGCCATGAGCGTACAGAGGCAATGAGCGTTTTTTTCACGCTGAAGCGCCGAGCGCCCAGCGTTTTTACTGGTCGCTGGGAGTTGAAAAATGTTCAACTTTGGATAAAACGCAGCGCACATCACGGTCACATTTTACCCAGCCGTCCAATCACAGTGGAGGAGGGGTGGGACTAAACCACACCGACCAACTGTCACAACATTCAAACTGCTGCATATATTCTGTATCATAGCAACGAAACGTCTCAACGGAAAAAACGCTGCGCTGCCAAAACGCTCTCAAGCGCCCAAAGCACGGCGTCTTCAGCAGAGCATCTAGTTTCAGCTGGCTAAAAACGCTTTGGTGGACACACGGCCTATGTTCTGCGCACTGCATTGAATCAGATCGACATAAAGCTCAGACCACCAAACATACGCTGTACTCGACCCAAATCGTGTGCCTCTCCCCTGCCGCTGCGACTGATGCCAAGACATGAGCTGAGCATCCGTCTTTGCTTCCCCTCATGATACAAGTGCCACGGTTGATTGACATGACAGACTTTTTTTTTTTTCAGAAAAGAGTTTACAAGTTGGAATCTCGTAATTACGATATTTCCAACATGCCATGAATCCACTTTTATTTACAGACAGATAAACATACAATATACAGTACACAACATGAAAAATGCATTGAAATGAAAGATTATGCCTTATATTTAACTGTTAAATGTAAAGAAATGTCTCGATTCTGAGGGTCTTTTATTGAGTTGTTAAAAAGACTTGAGTCATAGTGTCCATCAGTTCACTTTAAATTCTCCATCATCAGAATGTCCATGAGTTTTTTTCCATAAGTTAGAGCATTTGGACCTGCTGAGCTGGAGTGTTCAGGAAAATCACTGAGGTGTTCTTATAGTCTCCTTCTGTCCATGGACACATCTGGAAACGAGTGAAATACTATCAAATAACGCATCCGGAAGAACTTGTCATCACCAATTCGTATCATTAAACCTACACTGGTCATCATAGATATCCTTAATAAAGGATAGATGTCTTGTCCGCGCTGCCGGCCAATGGAGGTTGAAGTCCGCACCTGGCGGCCATCTTGTCACAGGCAGCTCGCTCAATCGCAACATTGTTTTAAAGGTGCATGTACTTATTAAATAACCATAACTTGCTCAATTTTCTACCGATTTTCAAAAGGTTTGGTTTGTTATAAACGTCAGAGATGTAGTTATGACACTACTTATGAATAATAAGTGTATAAATAAATAATCATCTAGAATTATAGCCACTTTGATAATGTTTAAGAAACCAAACCGTTTGTAAATCCATCAAGATTTCAGCCATAGACATATACACTAGACGTCACCTTGGCTACGGCAGTTCATTGGAACGAATGCGTCAATAGAGCCGCCATCTTGAAACAGGGGAGCCCCTCCACTTTAATGCATCAGCATCAATGTAGTAGACACAGGTCTAACGGAAATAAAATCACCATAAATCATCATGAATGCGATTTTTCTTGTTTTTTTGGTTTGTTCCAACGGTCAGACATGTATTTATCATTGATTCCAGAAAGAAAAAATTTTTTTTTTTTCAAAAACATTCTTCCTATTTCAGATTTCATCCGTGAACATCATACACTGCACAAAAGACCGTCACCATCAATGAATTCGACGTAAAGGCGGAGATAGCAGCGTTACCTAGCTACTTCCTATGACAAGACCCCTGTTCCAAGATGGCGGCGGTTTTGACGCATGCTTAGAACCCCAAGGTGAGGTCTGTGGATTTCAGCGAGATAAGAGTATTTGTGTTCGTGCTGATCGCCTATCTCACATCAGGAACCACAGAGCCCATCAGAAAGCTTGCCTGTGACAAGATGGCCGCCGGTGATGACGATAGAGACTCCGCTGTAAGACATCTAGCCTTTATTATGGATACCTATGCTGGTCACCACTACATCTTTATAAAAAGCTTTATAACCTCCATTACATCAATGCAGCTATGATTAGTAAGCAGTCAAGTGTTCTGATTGGTGCAGGAGGAGTGGGCGGAGACTAATGCCACCAATAAGAGAGCGATCAAGGCTGTAGCAGTTTTTAATGAAAGAGAAGGATCCAGATTTGCTTCCAAGACCATAATTTCATATTTAATGGTCTGGAACTAATTGAAACATGCTTTATTTATAAACAAGCAAGTATTTAATAACTACAATAGTTATTTCAGTCTCCACAAATAACCAAACTGACACATTTTTTGGTATTAATTATTGGAATAACATATGGAAGATTGTTACCATGGAATAAAAAGTAAAAGAAATAATTGCAACTTTTAATCTCACAACTGTCAAAAAAATAAATAAATCATAATTGTGATTTTGCATGCGAGAAAAGTCAGAATTGTCAGTTTATACCTTTTAAACGGTTTTATTCTCAGAATTGTGAGATATAAACTCGACATTGTGAGAAATTGTCACTGTTGTGAGATAAAAAGTGGCAATTTTTTTATTTCTTATCCCATTTTGATAATAAAATGCACAAATGCATCATCCTCATATAGACAAGGTAACACACATGTAGAAAGTAAATTGGGAATTTTGTCTTAGACAACAGAGATAAATTGCACTGACTGTGAGATTCTCGTTCGTTTGTCCGATCATCGTTGTCCTTTGATGCTTCTGCTTTTTCTCTGCAAAAATTAAACCAAAAACAGTTGTGAAACATTAGTCACAGAAAAATGAGAACACAATCTCAAGCTAAACGAGGTTAAAACAGGTAGTCAAATCCAGAGACATTGTTTAAGCTTACAAATCAGAATAGACTAAAGTTGCAGATGAGTTTGTCAGTAACCAATAACATTTCAAGCCACTAAAAACACAAAAAACATACTATACTGTTTCCGCAACTTCCAAAGTGCCAGAGACACAGTCATAACCAGAAGTACTATCCCACACACCACGAGAGGAGACTCCCAAACAGGAGGACGACTGAAAACAGACATGATGTGTTAATCGAATACCTGTTGGTCAAAAATCAGGTTCACTTTAATTTGATGGTCCCTTTAACACATTCTGTTGACTATAAATAACGCCCCTACATGTCTACTAACTCTCATTGAGTTTATACACTTGTGTTTATACACCTATTGTTCATCAATGTCAATAGACAACTGTAATTTTTACAGATCTTTGCATCGCTCACTGCTGAAAGCTTTTTATCCCCTCATGTGAAAACAGTCATGAGGAAATATACAGAGTTTACCTGTGAGGGTCATTTGTGCCCATTACAGACGGAGCCCGGACTGTAGTCTCCAGATGCTGGACAGGAGACACTGTGGCCCCTGGCACAAGGACACACAACAAATGTGACAAAATTCAGTAAGAGTTTAACTTCAGATCAGTTTCCACCACGTTAAAAAAAAAACGTGTTCTCACAAACAATTCTGACTTTTCATCTGTAACTGCTGGACCAATTAGACATTATTTACTGCAGAACAACTTAAAACTTAGTAAATTGATTCCTTTAAGTGTTTTTAAGTTGAGAATGAGAAGTTTTGAGTTGGACTCCCTCACGTCAATGTTTTCGTTGAGATTTCATTTGTAAGTGCATAATCGGCTTTTATTTGTGTGTCTTTGTACGCATGTAATGATGTGATGTAATTTTGCTGCCTATCTTGGCCAGGTCTCCCTTGCAAAAGAGATTTTTAATCTCAATGGGTTTTTACCTGGTTAAATAAAGGATAAATAAAATAAAATAAACAAAAAAAATTTTTATATTCTTTAAAACACCTTAAACACCCAGGCATGAAAGCATATTTACCATTTAGCCACTTAAAAATTGTGAGATAGAAAGCTCATTGGAATTGGAAAAACTTTTTTCTGACTTTTTTCTTGCAATTGCAAGTTTACATCTCACAACCTTGACTTTATTTCTCACACCTGCAACTTAATTCTCAAAATTCAGGTGTTGTCTTGCAATTCTGAATTTACATCTAAACTCACAGTCATAACTAAAGTCTGAATTGCGAAATAAAGTTACAATGACCTTTTAAACATTCAACATCCTGTTTTGCATGCACTTTCAACAACAACAAAAAAATGTAAGCATGTAGAGATGTTAGCAATAGGCTTTTACTAGGTGTGCAACATACGTGTTGTGGCTTGTGGTGTAACTAACACATGAACAAGGCTGTTCTGCTGACCGGAACCACACCAGTACCAGCCCGAGTCTCTCATCTCCAGCTGCGTTAGGGTCACAGTGAACATGCTGTTCTTGTCATCGTGGATGAGCACGTTTCTTCTGCTGAATGTTCCTCCAGAATCCGTCACCATGCAGGACTTCCAGTTCCCACTCCGACACCACTGTTTCTCGCTGGACCTGCAGTGATTTAAAAAACGCAATTGTAGAAAGTTAGGCATACGCACAACCGGCGCTGCATCATAGAATGTCTCTGAGTAGGTCCCCGCCCCCTTTTGGGGGAAAACAAACTAGACTGCCCATTGACTTCAATACAAAATAACCAACGTCCGTACACAGCCGACAGGCGTAAATAACTTAAGAAATCACTTATATAAAACATGTCAAGTAATTATATGTCCACCCTGCCTGCCATAGAGCGTGAAAGATGCATACACAAACTGAAACTTAATTTGGCCAATTTAAAAACATGTCCCTTTATCCCAGGGTCAAATTGGTGTAACAACCCCACCCAGTGGGCAGTAAGCCAGTGAATGATTTTATTTCGTTTTTTAAAGTAAAAAAAACCTTCATGAATGTATGATGATGATGATAACGGGCATGAAAAATGTATCTTTCACGCTCTATGGCAGGCAGGGTGGACATATTTACTTGACATGTTTTATATAAGTGATTTCTTAAGTTATTTACGCCTGTCAGGCTGTGTACGGACGTTGTTTTTTGCCGTTATTTTGTATTGAAGTCTATGGGGAGTCTAGTTTGACAAAAAATTGACAGTTAAGTTCCCGGATGTGCCGGTTGCGTGTTAAGACAAAATTTGAATTAGCCTACATTTGCATACAGCAATGAGAATTTAGTGCCTCGTGAACATAAACAATTAAAAATATAAATGTGTTTGCTGAGGTTACCTGAGGTTCTTACTATAGAGACACTGAACAGTGACACTACTGCCTTCTTCTCCACTCACCATACTGTTCACCACTGACACACCTGCAACAAAACCACCACTGACTACATGACACCTTCACACACGCTTCAGTGGTTTATAGATCTCATGTATAGATAGACCGCATATCAATATGAGAAGCAATCATTTTAAATCAATACAGTCAGCAGAAAAACTCGCATTTCAAAATGGCGCACACACGTATATATACTTAGACGTCATATAACTGACGTTGTAGCAGCCCTTCAACTTGGAATAAACAGGCTTGGGAGTGTTTCCATACGGGTGCACTTTTATTCCGACAAGTGTGCATAGCATCAACACCGTGAAAACTTAAAAGGAAAATAACAAAGGCAGTTTAGCTTGATACAAATAATCCTTTGACAAATGCACATATGCTAGAAAGCTAGCATCAGATAGATAACAGCAAAGCAGGCAACAATCATCACAAAATGAAGCTCATTTCCATTTACATAAACATATTAAATGAATTAGTATGCAAATGTACATTACAATGAACCACATACCTCGCTCCGCATATCAAAGGGTGCTAATAGTGATCCAGGGGGGTTTCTGCCACCATTTAACTTAAACTTGGACAAACTTCGTGAATTAGCTTTACTGCCAAACAAAGGAATAACACTTAACATTTTATTTTAAGATTACATTAATATTTTTCGACCTCAGACATGCATTGTTTCATATCATACCTTCCCGCGTTTACACCGTTCATGAGTGAGCGTGTGAGTGTGCGAACACAGAGAAAATATAGTCCCCCCTACAGATAGCATGTCAAAATAAAAGTCTCATAAAATAGAATATAAAAAACAGGATAATCATAATAAAACACTGATACTGGCCAACTACACTCCCACCACTCATGTTATGAAGAGTGAAGAAAAGGATCAACCTGGCTGAACGGCTCATACTTGAGTCTTAAATCTGTATCAGTGTTTCTAGATATGTGCAGATAAGTACTACTTGGCTCTGAGAGTAACCTATGTCACGAGGGGATAAAGGTGTAAACAGTAAGACTGATCAATCACTCTCGAGGAGGAGAACTAGTTTCTGAATGGGCCTTTCTATTATCAAAGGTTTAGTAGGGCGATCTTGTTTCACTGACGTCCTTTCTCCTACTAACACCTTGACACGACGCACTAGTCCATCACTCTCCTGTGTGGCTTCAACCACTCGTCCCAGGTGCCACTGATTTCTAGGGGTATCTTCCTTTATAATGACCAAGTCATCTACCTTAAGGTTCCGTCGAGTCGTATGCCACTTTTGGCGTGTGGAGATGTTCATGAGATATTCTCTTTTCCACCGGCTCCAGAACTGTTCGACGAGGTACTGGACTCTTCGCCACCTTTTAGCTGCATAGACATCCTCCTTCTCAAATTTGCCAGGCGGTGGAAGGGCAATCTTGGACTTCATCAGTATGAGGTGGTTTGGAGTTAATGGCTCGAGCGAGGTAGGATCATTTACCCCATTTACAGTTAATGGACGGCTGTTCACAATGGCCATTGCTTCATAAAACAGAGTTCGAAGGGAAGAGTCATCGAGTCTGCCTGAGTATTGACATAATGTGACATTTAGGACATTACGGACAGTCCGAATCTGGCGCTCCCAGACGCCGCCAGCGTGACTTGCTGAGGGAGCATTGAAGATGAACTCACATTGGCTTTCTGCGAGGAAGCTCTCGATAGTTTTAGTGTCACACTGCTTCAGTGCTTCTTTGAATTCATTTTTAGCTCCCACAAAATTAGTTCCATGATCGCAATGGAGTTGACGAACGGCTCCTCTGAGGCTGATGAAGCATCTTAAGGCATTGATAAATGAATCTGTGGATAAGTCCTCAAGCATCTCAATGTGAACAGATCGAGAGGCAAGGCAAGTGAAGATTAAGCCATAGCGCTTTTGCTCTTTGCGGGCTTTCTTAGTGATGAATGGGCCGAAGCAATCGATGCCGCAGTATGTAAAGGGAGCAGAGGCATCTACCCGTTCCCTAGGAAGCTCTGCCATGCGTTGTTCTTCCACAGGCCGCCTGAGTCTTCTGCATTTCACACATCTGTGTATCAGCTTAGCAACAGACTTACTTCCACCGATGACCCAAAACCCATTGGCTCGAAGTTCTGTTAGAGTTTGATTCCGTCCTTGGTGACAGATCCTCTCGTGGTAGTGAGTCAAGATCAGCTTGGTAATATGTCCTCCTTTGGGTAGAATCAAAGGATGTTTGACTTCAAGGCTTAAGGATGACTGACCTAGTCTCCCACCAACACGAAGTGCTCCGCCTTCTAAGATGGGATCCAAGTGAAACAGAGGGCTGGAATTTTGAAGACCCTTTCCCTTCTGAAGTATCTTAATCTCTTGGGAGAATGCTTCTTCTTGTACAAGCCTCATTACTGATTCGGCAGCTCTCTCACGCTCTTCCACACTTACAGGTTCACCAGGACGAGTTTGCTTTGAATTCAGCCTCTTGATTCTTGCAATGACTTTCAGGAGTTTTGACCAAGAGGAGAATCGATTTAGACGGCTGAGAAAGTCAGACTTAGAAGGTTCTACTTTAGTTGTAAACGCCTGCATTGACCTGACCTCAGGATCACCAACAAGCAACTCAGGAGTGAGCTGAAACTCTGGACGTATTTCTTGTTCCCACAGGAATTTGGGTCCTGGTAGCCAGTTTGTTGTGGAGATGTCTACTGCATTGAGACCCCTCGACGCGTGGTCAGCAGGGTTTTCTATTGTGTCTATGTAATGCCACTGGCTGGGGCTGGTGTGTTCTCTGATCATTTGCACACGATTGGCAACGAAGACATGGAACCTTCTGGCTTCATTGTTAATATAAGCCAGGACAACTTGCGAGTCAGTCCAGAAAAATTCTGCATTGATTGGCATATCCAGCTCGTTTCTCAGCATGACACTTGATCTTGCAGCGACCACTGCTGCTGAAAGTTCCAATCTCGGAATGCTTGTAAGTTTTGTAGGTGCAACTCTAGCCTTTGCCATCACAAGGCTGCAGTGAACTTCACCAACTTCATTCTTGCTCCTCAGATAGGAACACGAGCCATATCCTATATTGCTGGCATCTGAGAAGTGGTGTAGTTCCCTCGAGACAATTCTGCAAAAACCTTGCGGTTGGTAGCATCTTGGTATTGAGACTTCATTAAGCCTTTGTAGGTCGCTCTTCCATCTCTCCCACCGTGGGCTTAAGTCTTCGGGAAGTGGGTCATCCCACCCAATGTCTCGACGGCACAGCTCCTGGAGGATGCACTTTCCGGTTAAGATAAACGGAGCTACGAATCCGACTGGATCGTACAAAGAAGCAATGACAGATAATATGCCGCGACGTGTGGGGGGCCTGGTCTGTGGATTTACATTGAAGCCGAAGGTGTCATGTTCAAGGGACCACTGGATACCAAGAGCACGTTCTGCTGGAGCTGCATTTAGGTCCAGATCGAGGGGTTCAGATGTGACTGCTCTCTCAGTTAGGTCCACAGAGTCCAGAACTGACCTTTCGTTTGAATTGAACTTATGTAGACGCAAACCTCCTCTCTTGCACAGCTCTCGTGCTTCAGCGATCAACTTCTTTGCTTCTTCTACGGAGGGGACGCTGATAAGCCCATCATCGACGTAGAAGTTCTTTTCAATGAAGGCTGATGCTAATGGATACTCTTCCTTGTGTTGGCGTGCCAGGTACTTCAGACCAAAGTTGGCGCATCCGGGTGACGAAGCGGCGCCAAATAGGTGCACAGCCATTTGATACTCTTGAGGCTCTGCTTCAAGGTCTCCATCCTCCCACCAGAGAAACCGTAAGTAGTTCCGTAGTTCAGGTGAAACGTAAAACTGATGGAACATTTTCTCTAGGTCACAAATTATGGCTACAGCCTCTTTCCTGAAACGACAGAGCACTCCAAGGAGAGAGTTGATCAGGTCAGGACCTGTTAGAAGTGTATCATTTAGTGAGACACCACGGAACTTCGCTGAACAATCAAATACGACCCGTAGCTTCTCTGGCTTCTTGGGGTGGAACACCCCATGGTGTGGTATGTACCACGTAGTCTGCTGTCCTGTTGCAGGAGAGGCTGGCTCTGCGTCACCTTTCTCTATCATATCTTTCATGAAGGCCTTGTACTGTTCTTTATATCGCTCGTTATTTTTCAATCTTTTCTTTAGATGCTGCAGTCGAACTGTTGCAAGCTTCTTATTGTCTGGTAACAGAGGAGGCTCTGTGCTCTTGAAAGGGAGGGGCATTTCATAGTGTCCATCTTTCCTTTGAGTTATGTTGTTACTCAGGAGCTGAATGAAGCGAATGTCATCTTGTGACACATACTTGTCTTTATCTGCATGCTTCCCTTCATTGAAGTCTGATTCCAAGACCTTCAGCAGGTCAATGGTTGATGGCGCTGGTATTTCCTTCACTGTCACTCGATGGACGAACCTCTGGTTTCCCTGGCGATCCAGATGTGGATTGGATGAGCCTATGATGCTCCAACCGAGTTCCGTTCTCTGAGCAAAAGGATCGTTTTCGCCTCCTATGACGACTTCCTGGGGGGCTAACGCCAAAGGGCAATCACTTCCAATTAACAGTCCTACCTCACAGTCCTTCAACAGCGGGAGTTTGTTTGCTAAATGCTTTAAATGAGGCCACAGCAGCGCTGTTTCTGAAGTTGGGATGTAGGACTTGTCGACCGGAATGAAGCCACGAGTGTAGGCTTGGCGTAGCAGAATCTGTTTTCCAGACTGTAGTCCTCGAACTTGTAGACCGCAGACACTTTTACTTGCGATGGGTGTGTCAACAGCTGTCATGGTGCTCAGTTTGAGTCGTACTGGTTTAGTCTCCACGTTCAGTTCTTCTAGAAGGTCTTCCAAGACGAATGTAGAATCACTCTGCGTATCTAGAAGAGCATACGTTATAACTTCTTTCTCTGGTTCATTTGCAGATGACATAAACACAGGGACGATGCTTGATGTGGCAAAGATGCGCTGTGTCACTGCATGGGACGTCACCTTGATCTCCTCCTGACTAGTGCCTTTATCTGTGGAAGTGTACTGTTTCTCCTTTGCTTCCACAGACCGGTTCTCTCTCTCTTCATGTAGACAGGTGGGGTGACGTCTGCTGCATATGCCACAAGAATGTCGCGTTTTGCAATCCTTACTGTTATGTCCCTTTCTCAAACATCCGTAGCACAAATTGTTTTCCCGTATGAAGGTCTTCTTATCTTCCAGAGATTTTGCTGCAAAGGTAGGGCACTTTACGACGCCGTGCATCTCATCTTTGCAGATAGGACAAGGTGGCCTTGACTTGGTGCTGAACACTCTCTCAACCTTTTCCGTGGGATAACTCCCTTTAATGTTTGTGTGAAGTGCTCTAGCTCTCTTGGGCTGTCTGTCATCTGTGGCCTTGATCAGAAGTGGAGAGGCGACAGGGTTACAGGCTATCCGAGCCTCCTTCTGGATGAACCTTGTAAAACAGGAAAAGCTTGGATAATCACCGGATTCGTCCAGTCTTTCCGTGACGACTCTGCTCCATCTTCGTGTGATCCAGTCTGGTAATTTCTTCAGCAATTTGTGGTTCTCTTCACAGTCATCCAAGATGGATAATCCTTTCACATGAGGCATCGCTTCAACGCATCCTTGCAGAAAGTCAGCAAACTCTCGAAGTGCAGCAGGATCACTGGGACCAACCTTGGGCCATTTCATGAGCTTGTCTCTAAAGGCCTTCTGCACAATGAAGTGGTTTCCGTATCTTTCCTCCAGGACTCTTAAGGCCCCCTGATATGCTTCTTCTGAGTTTCTAAAGAAGAATCCCTCTACAGCCTTACGTGCTTCTCCACTCAGATAGTTTTTTAAATAGAACATTTTTTCATGAGCTGGGAGAGGCTGGTGGTCTATGAGGGCCATGAAGGACATCTTCCAGTCTACATACTTTAGGGCTTCGCCAGAGAACTTTGGTGGCTCAGGAGCAGGCAGGCGGTTCATACTGAGTGAGTTAATGAGTGCTCGAGTGAGGTCATCTTTCTCAGGAGATGCTAGCACATTAGCATGTGCTTGAGGAGGCTGGTATGCGATGGCTTTTGGATTAAGCTGGCTTTTGAATCCAACTGTGAGATCCGTCTCCTTTGGCCATTCTCTGGAATCATGTTCAAGGCTCTCGTATGCGTTTACTCTAGCCTCTGCTATTCTTACTTCTGACTCTGCTTGAATTTGCAGTAATCTCCTTTTCTCCTGACGCATGTTTGTCTCTATTCTTTTAAGAGCTACTTGCCTTTCTTCTTCCAACCTTTTAAGAACCAGCTGCTTCTCTTCTTCTAACTTGCTAAGAACTTCTTCTTGAGCTTGTATTTGGTATACAGCTTTAACCTTCTCTTGTTGCGCTGCGAGTTCTGCTTCCGCATCTACATGTTTGCTTGAGCCCTGTGAGTGGATTGAATTTTCTGGAGAGAGCACAGTGTCTGTTTTTGTGTGTCCGAAAACGGATCCATACTCATCCTTCTTAAGCGCCATCCTCACTCGTAGTTTCTCAAGTTCTGGATTGAAGACCTCATCTACAGTTTTTAGCCGTATTTCTATTATTTCACTGATCTCTACCGTGAGTGCTATACAAGCATCCATTTTCGGTACAATGTCCGGGGTGGCATTGTGGTTGCGTTGAATGGGCTCATAACATTCACTTACTGCACTGTGTCGAATTTGGATTTCTTCTCTCATTTATTTAGTTCATCTTTAGAACAGAATGATTTTAATGTGGTCCTAACCTTTCCTGCCACCTCTTTCCAGGAGCCATAAGCTCTCATGAATTCCTTCTTGTGTTTAATAGCTTCCTGTTTGCGAAACTCTAATCCTTTTTCTGTAAATGTTCTTTCGCGTGAACTAGACCTGACGGCCTGTGGGTTATTGGTTTTCATGGGTAGGTCATGTGTGCTAGCTGCTTCTTCTTCATTAAGTGACATCTTGTTGAAGTTGTGATGCTGTTTGGTTAAATTGAACTACTGGTTTATAGTTTAATTACTGAAATATAGCTCAATAACTCAACCAATGTTAAATATCAAACACGCACTGGGCGATTATCATTAATAAAAATGTAGGCTAACACAAACAGCTTAGCAATGAATGCTATCAAAAAGGATTTACCCAGGAATGAATTAACAGGTGCAGTTAGTTCAATAACTCTCCTTTTTCTCTTTTAATTAAATTACCCTTCTGTATCTTTATATTCACCTTTCACGTGTATGGTTACATCAAAACATCAAACATTTACAGTATCTATAAAAGGTGACTTCAGTCCATTAAATAAACATCACTGTTCGCAGTCAAAGAGTCCCTGTGATTTTATGCAGCAATCAGCAAACGAAATAGACCGATCTTGCCTGGGTACCGGTTGACGTGACAGCGTTTGAACAGCAGGTGGCAGCCTTGTCCACAGAATGGCGGGTGGCAGTCCTTCTAACGTCAAGTTGAATTTCACTCCACATCCAGCGACGAGTTTTCACTGTAGCAGCCCTTCAACTTGGAATAAACAGGCTTGGGAGTGTTTCCATACGGGTGCACTTTTATTCCGACAAGTGTGCATAGCATCAACACCGTGAAAACTTAAAAGGAAAATAACAAAGGCAGTTTAGCTTGATACAAATAATCCTTTGACAAATGCACATATGCTAGAAAGCTAGCATCAGATAGATAACAGCAAAGCAGGCAACAATCATCACAAAATGAATCTCATTTCCATTTACATAAACATATTAAATGAATTAGTATGCAAATGTACATTACAATGAACCACATACCTCGCTCCGCATATCAAAGGGTGCTAATAGTGATCCAGGGGGGTTTCTGCCACCATTTAACTTAAACTTGGACAAACTTCGTGAATTAGCTTTACTGCCAAACAAAGGAATAACACTTAACATTTTATTTTAAGATTACATTAATATTTTTCGACCTCAGACATGCATTGTTTCATATCATACCTTCCCGCGTTTACACCGTTCATGAGTGAGCGTGTGAGTGTGCGAACACAGAGAAAATATAGTCCCCCCTACAGATAGCATGTCAAAATAAAAGTCTCATAAAATAGAATATAAAAAACAGGATAATCATAATAAAACACTGATACTGGCCAACTACAGACGTCTTGGGACGTCTTTTGACCATATATCAACATCCGCCTTTTTAGGGTACCCTTAAACGTCGGTTGACGTTATCGGATCCTAATCCTACCCCAGACCTAAACCTACCCCGTCACTTAACTGACGTTAAAGGTAAAGCGTCAGTTGTATGACGGCCCGGGATCGTCATGTAACCTACGTTTGGGTACCCTAAAAAGGCGGATGTTGACGTATGGTCAAAAGTTCTATGACTTCATGGGATGAGACTGCCCAGATAGCAAACTGACATTGAATCAACGTGGAAATATGACATAGAAACAACGTTGATCTGACATTGTTTTGCTCATCGAATTAACGTTGAACCAACGTCAGACGCGTCATTCTTTCAAAACTAACGGAAAATCAACTTGAAATCAACGCGTTGTTTCAACGTTATGAAAGCAAACCAATTTTCGATTTTCATTTAGCTTTGAAGAATGCCGCGTCTGACGTTGGTTCAACGTTAATTCGATGAGCAAAATCAACGTTGTTTCAATGTCATGAGAGACGTCGTTTCCACGTTGATTCAATGTCAGTTTGCTGTCTGGGTGTGTTATAAAGATATGGTGTCTAAGATTTTTTTTGTCTTTCACAAACTAGAAAAAGTATTCGATCAAAAACACAGTAAAAACAGTAAAATGCCGTTTCTTCATGTGATCGTTATTACGCCAGTCTTTAGTGTCACATGATCCTTCAGAAATCATTCTATGCTGATTTGCTTGTCAAGAAACATTTCTTATTATTATTATCAATGTTGGGAAAGAAAAACAGCTGTGCTGCATCATGTTTTGAATGAGTATTTTAGGAAAACCAGGATTTTTTTTAAATCCCCTTCAAATCGTCGACCTAATTTTAAATTAGCATAAATTAAAAGGATGTACCCAAAAATATTGGAATGATGAATAAAATGTCAATATGTCATTTATAAAATATTTTAAAAGTATAAATAAATGTTTCCACTGTGCAGAGATTGTTCTGCATTCATACAAATACAGAAGGAAATGTGGTGTTAAAACAATAGTCTCAATGCAAACCTCCTATGTTTTTTTGGAGTTTGGATGTGTGTGGGATGGGGCATTTTCAAGTTGTTTAATTCACTAGCATTAAAATAACTGCCATCTATTTTATAGGCAAATATTCTATATATCAGTATAACATAAACCAACCTCTGCTAATTAGCTTTGATAAAAAAATAAAATATTTTCATGATGTAAGATTGAGTAGTGTCCTGGATTTAGCATAGCCAACTCACACGATTTAATGATTTTCTTAAAGCTTTAACTCACCTTGAATGACGTTGATATGAAGGGAGGCAGTGCTGTCAGAAACCCACATCCCTCCGAGCTCCACCCCACACCAGTACCACCCCGAATCCCCCACCGTCAGGTCCTGCATGCTCACGGTGAACACATGCTGCGAGGGGTCATCCGCGATCGTCACCCTTCCCCTGGCGTTAGGGGCTGATGTGGGGTCATCGGTGCGTGCCAAGCTGGAACAGAAGTCCTTCATCCGGCCGGAGCACCAGTACTTCACATTGCTGATATACTGCGGGTTATAGTGACACGGGACAGTGATGGACTGACCCTCCAGCACAGTCTGGTCTCCTACAGTGGTCAGGGTGCAGTAGGAACCTAAAAACAGATCCAACCAGATAATGAAAAGCCCCAAGATTTCATGATACCATTTGAATGGATGAATCTGTGCTTTCACAAGATAATGCTTTACAGTGAACTCTGATGAATGATGAAATTTATCAGTAAAAAAAATGCCTTACAACCTCTGCCACACCAGATATGACTTAATTTACTGCCAAGTGCCAAATTATTGACACTATTAGATGAGAGCTGAACTGAGCTGGACGATGACACCATTGTTTTCCCCAGAGCTGCTTAGGTGATTAGAACTTTACAGTAATAGAAACAAAATGAATCAACAAGTCACTAAACAGATTTCAATTGAATAATGAATGCTTACTATTATACTTTTAGAGCTGCTTTAAAACAGAATTGAACTCTGTTTGCATCATAGAATTGTTATTTTCCTATTTATCCCCGATGGTTCATCTATATTGTATAAAGCGCTAGATAAAGGTGACGAGACACACACCTATAGGTCTAAAATATAAACACTTATAATAGACCTTATTCAGAGCAGTGCCATGATGACAGGTATGAAAGGCTGTGAGGGATAGACTTACCGTGTTTGCCATCCGCTGTAAAAAGCTGAATAAAGCGGCTAGATTACTTACAATTTTCCACAGCTTACATTGTCGGGAGTTTTTTTGTCAACTGACATTTCTTTGAAAGATATTTTCCAGTGTTTCATGAGCAGAACAATCCGAAAACACATTAAATAACAGTACAGCCCATTGAAGAGATGCAAGTCTATCCCTCAGAGCCTCGCTTTCATTACAATTAAAAATCAAAGATGGCGCTGCCGTAAATAAGGCGCTAAGGCTTCACCATAGCGGATCAGGGGCAAGAAAAACACACCTTTTGGAAGAAGTACCGAACGATGATGCATTGACTCGTTCACATTTTGTTAATTTTAAACAAAAAATGTACTTTCAAATAATGTTAACATACCACTTTTGATCTTAAAATCTTATTAGTAAATGCAGACTATAGATTAATCAAAACTGTAGATGTCTTGTTTATTGTTAATCTTAAGTATTTTAATCTTAAATGAAACCTTGTAGTTGTAAAGTGTTACCGATATTACAAATAAAAGTATTATATAACAGCAATAAATTAAAAAAACGAGTTCATGGCAATTCATATATGTTCTTTAATATAAATATATCATATAAACTTGTTTCTTGCCCTTAAAAGAACCAAAATGTCTCTACAGTGATACACATACTTTTTGTCTTTGAATGGACAGAGTGAATGGCTTTTAAATCATTAGTACATATTCAAATTACTGTTGATTATTAATCATTTATGTAACATTGGTGGATTGCACACTGATCCCTGTAAAAAAAAAAAAAAAATACATTGTTTCACTAATGCCAAAATTCGTATTTACACTCATAAAAGCAAAAAAAAAAAAAAAAAAAAAAAAAAAATCATTGCAAGTTCTCAATAAAGCTAAAACTTATTTTTTAGAAATGTTAAATAATTGAAAATTGTAAATATTTTACAATGGCTGCATAAAATGGCCGTTTGTTACTGTGGCCAATATGCCCGTTTTCAGTCCTTTTTTTTTAATTTCACTTTTTCATTTAACTTATGAAATTCAAAACATCCAAAAACTGTTGACCATCAATCTTCCAAAAACTACTATCAAGCATAAAAGAAAAAAAAAAAAGTTTGGAAGAGCTAGACGACGCTTCCAAAATACTTGGAATTGGGGTCACAGCTTTATCCTTCATATGAAAACTCAACTAGTTGATACTAGGAACACTTTACAATTCTGGGTTTTAAAACTGCTTAAAGTTCAATATAATATTCCAAAGAGGAAGTTTAAACCCATGACCAATTTTAGCTGCAGAATGGCTTTCCAAACTCTGCTCAAAATGAACAGTTATGGAAAATGGTTTCAATGGCTTTTCAACGTTTGTTTTTGCAAAAGGAATGATAAAAGCTCACCTGACAGTTCACCAAGAACAAGAATGGTTAGAAGTAGCGGAAGAGTCATCGTGTGAAACCATCGGAGTCCCTCTTTAATACTGACAGCTGTTGTGAGAAGGAATGCGTTTACTCTCACTTCCTTCTGCCTAAACCATGCCCAGATGTGGGAGATTAACCTTTTGTGTACCACTCTGCAATTGTGCAACGCTAATATAGACTGTGGCCTATAATCCTTACACAAAATGTGTTGTTTTTTCACACTGATGTCTGCAAAAAGTGAATTGCTTCATTGTTTGTAACTTTAACAATTATGTCAGAATGATTCTGGCTTCATTTAGACTCAAAATAATAGGCTTGTTCAATTTTTATATATATTCTAAAACCATCTTAAACACAAAGATTCAGATGCGAGTACCTAGACACACCACAGGATCACTGAATTGTTTTTAAGGCATTTATTTTCGTTCAATAACTTTCAGAAAGTTTTACAAAAGTAGAAAAATTAAGGAACAGGACAAGAACTGATCATGAATGACAATTCTGTCAAAACATATATTAACATTGAGAGATCCACAGACTGTTGTGTTTGTAGTTGTTCTGCAGGATTCGGTCTTCATATCTGTGAAGAAATAACAAATATAATTCATTAAACGTGGTCTACCAGACCAGTTCATCTTGAGAATCCAAGTTACATGTCAAGCATCAGACATAAAACATCAGGCACAAACTTTTATGTTAGATGTGATTAATTGATTTGACAGCACTAATAAAAAATACATTAACAGACAATCTTTTGAGATGATTTCTTCCTAAAGCTCCAGTAGTTTATCCTATCATGAACATGTATCATTATGATCACTTTAAACTGAACTTTTACATTTTTCTAAATTAACGAATGTTAACTGAAATCCTCATCGAACGAACATGAACCATTGGTTTGGCTCATTTCTTGAAACAGAAATTACTAGAGCCCGACCGATAAAGGATTTTGTCCGATACCGATACAAATATTTATTGGTTTTAAAATCCGATATTTCGGCCGATATTTTTTTTTTTATTATTATTTCAGAAACGCGCAACAAATTGTAAAACATACATTTTCAATATAACAGGCCAAGGAGAGATGACACGTCTCATTGCTATACTGTAACTGTCACGCGCTATTAAAGAATACTTCAGTCATATTGTCAAAAGTTAAAAGGACTACACTATAACAACATAACGCAACTATTACTAGCTAATTCTGCTTCACTCTCGGCTTAACAGCAGCAAAACTGGACATAATAGTCACAAATTTTGTCATGCTTATTTGATTTAGGAGAACTGATGTGGATGTTCTTTCAATTGTTATTCAAGCAATGTATGTATCGTTCCCAACTCAATGAGTGTTCCCAACAGGGACTGTGTAGAGTGTTGGAGTTGTATAGTTTGTCCACCAGAGGGCACTCATGACATGGTTGAAGCGTGTTTTCTCCGTTTTTTATTTTATTTTCAACCTGACATAATGACTTTTGCGTAAACATATACGCCACTTTCGAGCCAGGTGGCGTGGTATCTCCAGGCATTTTGAGCTATCCGCGTGTATCCGCGTGTATGCGTATATGTCTACGCCATTAACGTCCGCGTCATTCCGCGTGTCTGATCATGCAGTCAAATCTCCAGTCATAAATCCCATTAACCCCAGTGACGGTTAAGTTTAGGGACGGGGTTGAGGTAAGTCATATATTTATATAACGTTAAGTCAACGGCGTTCATAAACACGCTGAAAGGCGATTATGCGTCTTGATAGCACGCCAAAAATGGAAATACGAATTGGCGTCTCATACACACGCTACTTCATGAGATCAGTCTGTTATTTTTGAAATATCCATTTATCGGCCATAATACCTGCCGATACCGATAGTTTGGTAAATGCCTAATATCGGCCGATAATATCGGTCTGGCTCTAGAAATTACATTCTCAAAACTCTAAGATCATATGGCAAAACAGTCTTACAGTTCAGCACAACACCATAGCTCACTTGCAAAAGCTCATACCTCTCCCAAAACAGTTCACTCATATGGCAAAACTAAATTTCTTTCTCAATTAAAGGTGGAATACCTAAGATTTTAAGCCACTAGAGGGCGCTACATTCAAAATAACAACAATGGCTTTGCTTGATGACCGTGGAGGAACGCGGAATGATGGGAACTGTTGTTTTCAACTCCACCGTGGATAAATCAGTCAGACGGGAATCGAAAAGTAGTTGTCATGGATGAGGTAAAGTTCGATTTCTATAAATGTTACGTTTAATGACATGTTTTTCATTAAACTGAAATAACCGCAAGAAAAGTCAGGTTTAAAAGTAAATTAGTTCGTTAAATTAATTAGTTTAAAGGTATTCCACCTTTAAATAGTCAGTGCCAACAAAATGCTTAGTCCCTTTGGCATTGTGTAAGCCAAAATGTGTAGGTGTTTTGTCACTATGGCAGAGGACCATTGAAATATCCCTCATGTCCATCTTTCAGTCTTAGCAATTGACGATAGTTACTGTACTGTTTTTTTGTCTAGCTAAGAGAATAAAATTGTGTATAAAACTGATTTTTTTTTTTTTTTGGAATTTAGGGTAAGAGTAGCCTCCAAGATTTGACATCACACATTGCACTCATACTGCCATTATCATTCACACACATAATGTAACTTCCATACATCAGAGGTAAAAGAAAATACATTCTCAAAACAACATGGACACACCTCCAATTACACAGGAATGTTCTCCACAAGTTCAATAATATACTGCTGGCCACTCCAGTGGTTCCAAACCTGGGGTACATGTACTACAGAGGGTATTTGACAGAAATGGGTATTTTGTCTGCCGTAGCTCGCCTTAAAAGCAAATATTTCCCTTTGCTTTGAACTTTGAGTGCTGTAACTTTGCAGATGTTGTTTACGCTCAAACAGCAATATTACACACTAACTAAAGTTAGAAAAGTGCAATCATAATCAACCACCCCTTTAAGTTCAATTCAACTCAGCATGTACTGTCGTATTAATCTAAAAATCTTGACACTCGCCCTCGTGTGTGAAGTAGTCTGGCGTAAAATGATTTGCGCAAATATATAACACTTTAACAACCTTTTTCTTCATAAATGAAATTCAACAACTTTGTCCTCAGTGACAGTGACTCAGATGTTGAGAGTCTATTGAGATGTTCAGTAGTACATCCAGTAACAGAATTGGCTTAGCAAGCAAGCAGTCTAGAGTGTAGTTTAAAAGGATCAGGATACATATCTGCAATTTTGTTGCTTTGTTTTCTGGTTTCTGAGCTATGAGACCTCATATAACAATGGAACCGAATCACACACAGATTTGACTAAATATAGTTTAAAGATTATGCACATGAAAAGTGATTTTGAATCATTCTTAAAATGCAACCATCTGCTGTACACACACCTGCTGTAAGACGCTCTCATTCAGCCAACAAAGTTGATGACCACTAGATGCAGAACAGTGTGAGCGAAGAGGAAGTCAGCGAAAGCTCTCTCAGGAGAGACGGTCAGGAAATCTCCTTTATTCTGAGGGTTGATCTGGATCCGAAGACATACTGAAGACAGAAGAACACAAAGACATTAATAATCAATTAATTATAATTTACTACTACAGCACTAAACACACATACAAGACCTGGATATATCAACATTGTTTGGTGGTTATTTAAGTGGTTAAGGATTAGAAAACATGGGATGTTTTTATTTTGGGACCGATACCAATTTTTTTATATATATATATTTATCTGTCCGATTGTCATCTAATAATCTTAATAAATAATCTTTAAATAATCACATTAAATAAATAAAGATAAAACAATGAAATATAATTAATATTTATTTTATATTATAATATGCTGATATTTTTAATATTAAGTTGTTTTACCATCTAAATGGGGTGTGTTTATGTACATTATATATATATAAAACACTACAGACTGAAAATAATAGCTGAACAATTTACATTTTAACATACATTAAAAAACATTAAAAAGTTATTTTAAATTGCATGAATATTTCACAATTGTACTGCATTTTTGATCAGATAAATTCTGCCTTGTTGAGCAAAATGTACTTGTATATATATATATATATATATATATATATATATATATATATATATATATATATATTAAATTATTGCAAACTTTTTTTGAACCCGTAGTGTATGCACGTGTGCATAATATATTATATACTGAAATCATAAAGACAGTTTTTTAAAAAGCATAAAAAATAAAGTTTTAAATGACCGTCGTTTGCCCTTTTGGTGTTTTTATATTATAATATGCTATTATTTTATAATATTAAGTTGTTTTACCATCTAAATGGTGTGTGTGTGTGTGTGTACATTATAACACTACAGACTGAAAATAATAGCTGAACAATTTACATTTTAACATACATTAAAAACAAACAAGTTATTTTAAATTGCATGAATATTTAACAATTTTACTGTATTTTTGATCAGATAAATTCAGCCTGGTTGAGCATAATATACTTATTTCAAAAGCATTTTTTTTTATTATTGCAAACTTTTTTTTAAACCTGTAGTGTATGCATGTGTGTGCATAATATATACTGAAATCATAAAGACAGTTCATAAAAAAAATAAATTTTACATGACCGTCGTTTGCCTTTTAGGTAATAATAATTAGCATTGTACAGGCATACATATATAAACTGGAAAAAGATACAAAATAAGCCCTTTAAACAATAACTTTTGATTCTATTTATATATGATAAAATAAGCGTAAATACCAGCCAGAATGAAGCATCCCACACATGAAATGAATCCAGATAAGAAGCTGTTGAAGGGAAACGTTCCCACCAGCACACAGTACAGGAACTGAAACACTCCTGTCAGCAAAATATACAGCATATACGCGTCGATCATCTTCAGCTTATTCGGTGTGCTGCTCCTGTACTCCTCCACAAAACGCGCCAAGACAGAAAATACAGAGTTAGACATGATTTCTCCTCAACACGAGAACAGTATGCCTAGAAATCAAGCAGCAAGAAGGAAATGAATGACGTGTAAGCAGAGAGAGACAGATGTGCGTCCACTAAATGTTCCCCATTGAAACTGCAGGTGAATTTTAGTTCCGATGCTCGTGAAGCGTCAGTGAAGCGTTCGTGTTCAAGAAAACAAACAGGTAACTTACATTCCATAATCATATTAACATAAACTTTGAACATTGATATTTATTGAAGAAAATAATGATGTTAAACCCAATTCCTTTAACACTATAAAAAGACTGACACTCATATCACATTTAAAACAGTAATATTATTTTTTTTAATATAAAGCATAATACAATTTAGCCAAATGACATTCTATATACAATTTCCTTAGATTGTAAAATACATGTCTAAAACAAAATAGCACATCAAATACATCAATTAAAACTACAAAAACAAATTTTCTATTAGTAGGCCTAATTTTCCAAATCCACTCTGAATAACTAGAGACGATTGTGAAAATAAATAATAATTGTCTGGAAAAAAAAAATCCAGAAAACAGAGTTATCCAGATAAATTCGTTGTATTGCATATATTAATTATACGAAATTCCAATGTCAAGAAAATGCTACAGGAAATGGATCAGAGCTAAGATTATTCCTTATCTTATAATCTCATTACTACAGCAATGTTTAAAACATAAAAATTTCCGATAACTTTATATAGAAATATGTTCACGACAGTGCGTTTCATGCCATTTCATATTTATTTTATTTCTATGATGCGGCTCCTTTAAATGCTCTGACGTCAGTGTTACAAAACACAAACACTGGCCTTTAAAGCGACTGAATGTGACAGGTCCGGTAGTGAACATACCAACCTGGAGTATAACATTCTTTCGTCCTGAATTGTTCTTGTATTATGCTTTATAATGTCTCCTGCAAACGCCACAATGCAAGACGAGACTGACATAGAGTGAGTACCCTGATATTTTAATAAACACAATCATATTACACAATATGAGTCGCTCATGTAACATGAAGTGTCCTTCCGTTATGTAACACTGTATGTTTAACATTTCACTATTTTCAGGATCCCTGCCGTGAATGTCTGAAATGAAGTAATAGAATAAATCATACATGCTGGTATGACTTGTGTTGGATGATTTCATAAGGTTATGCAAAGTCATGCTGAGTTATTAGCCTACGTCACAGTACATAGCTCAGTTTTTCAACCAGATAACAATATAGAATATTTTACAGCTTAATTGTTTTGTTGTATTATCTCATAAGCATATTTATTTTTAAATTTAAGACTTAAAATGTAAAAGTTAATATCACCTTCTATTCATATGATAAATATAAATAAATAGAAAATATTTAATAATGAAGTGATGTTACTAACATAATTCTGTCTGTAAGACTAAAAATTTAAGTGTGAATGGCACATTTTATTTATATGATAAACCATTAAAAAAAGTATTTCATAATAAAGTGATACTTATAAAATAATTTACTTCTAAAGTTTTTAGTGTTATTATTGGCATAGGAATATTAATGTTTAAATGTAAGAAGAAAATGTAAATGTTAATGGGACCTTTAGCTCATATGATGTACAGCAGACTATAAATAGAAAATATTGAATAATGAAGTGATGCTACTAACATAACCTAACTTTTCTCTATTGTTTGCTCATGGGAGCATTATTTTTTAATGTAAGACTAAAATTTAAATTTAAATGATAAAGGTACCTTTTATTCATATGATGTACAGAACATATATATATATTTATATATATATGAATGAATAAAATGTAATGTTCCTAAAATAATTAACTTCTAACGTTGTCTGTCTTATTATTTTTTATTGAAGTAATAATGTTTAAATGTTAGGTGAACATTTAATTTACATGACAATTCAGAGTAGACCATAAATTAAAATATTTACAATAATAAAGTGTTTATTTAAAAAAAAAAAGTGTGCTTGCGAATGAATTGTACCCACAAAGCATTATTAATACAGGGTTTATTGGCAGCAGGTGACAGGCTTGTACTGTGTATAAAGGCAGATGACGTAATGCAGTATGTACACAGGCGTGGACAGTCTCTTGCTCTCACCCCTCCAGTCACTTCACATGTATCTGTCTTTCTAGGCCGACCTCTGGGAACTGGTCCTGGTGGCCCTCTTGGAGACCCACATCCATGTCCTTATTGAAAACTGCCGAGGCAAAAATTATTGCCTGTAAGATCCTCACTGATCCATTTTAATATTTAGAATTTGTATAAGATACATTGGTTACACTTTACAATAAGGTTCATTAGTTAATGTATTCTTTTGTTACGTATGTATTCATCTTAACTAATGTAAGATAATACAAATAATGTTAACAAATACAACTTTTGATTTTAATAAGGTATTAGTACATTTTTCAATTCATTTTAACTAAGAATAATGAAGTATTGTTCATTCTAAGTTCATGTTAACCCTATTGTAAAGTTTTACCTGTTTATTCCAGGTATAAAGAATAACGTTTGGTCCAGATTTGTGACTTTGCCAGATCAAAACAGAATATGGACCCTTAAAGTCACCAATAAGACCGCTCTCAAACATAAAGACCAAGGTAGAGTTTCTAATCTTCATTTACAGTTGCTGCAAAATTATTTAGCAAAAGTCTGACTGTGTCCGGTTCTCTCTCTAGCCGCCCAGACGCCCCTCGTGATGGTCCACGGGTTTGGAGGGGGGGTCGGCCTCTGGATCCGTAACTTGGACGCGTTGTGTCATTCTCGACCCGTCTACGCCATTGACCTGCTGGGCTTCGGGCGCAGTTCTCGCCCCTCATTCCCATCTGAAGCCTCATTGGCTGAAGAGCAGTTCGTTAATTCAATAGAGCAATGGAGACAATCTATGGGGCTGGAACGCATGATCCTATTGGGCCACAGCCTGGGTGGTTACCTAGCAACGTCCTATACCATTCAACATCCAGAAAGGTATCAAAGAAAGCTTATGTAGTCAATTATATAGTAATAGTTTACAATAAGAGCTGTCAGCTACTCACTATTTTATTTATTTATTTATTTGATAGGGACAATGCACATTAATGAACATCTGAATTGAGACAACAAAACAGACGCAAACATTCCGGATTATAGCCACAGGGCTAATTTACATCTGTAATTTCTATTATTTCATTTTAGTATTTCATTTTCACTATTATTTCATTTTAAACCCATATCTAATTTCTGAAACACAAATGTTACTGATCCCTTTTATAGTTGCTTTAAAATGTTTATACATGTTATGAAAGTGAGTTTCCCTTTAAAGGGTTAGTTCACCCAAAAATGAAAATTAAGTCATTAATTACTCACCCCCATGCTGTACCAACCCCGTAAGACCTTCGTTCATCTTCTGAACACAAATAAAGATATTTTTGATTGAATCTGAGAGCTGGATCACTTTTCCATAGACAGCCTGAGGGACTGCCTCTTGACGGCCCAGAAAGTCATTAAAAGAAAAGGTTTAAATATTCCATGTGCCTACAGCGGCTCAACTATAACTTTATCAAGCGACGAGACTACTTTTTGTGCGAAAAAAAAACGTAAATAACGACTTTATTCGACTTTCCATTACTTCCTTATGGGCGCATGCGCGAGAACTGAGACGAGACCGTTCTTCTTCGACTACTTTTTGTTACCGGCTGCTCACCGCTTAGGAGTTTTACCGCCCCCTACCGTATAAGATGACGTACTGATATAGCCGGAGGCGCAAAACGTTCTGTTTACAAGCAGTACGTCATCTTATACGGTAGGGGGCGCTAATACTCCTAAGCGGTGAGCAGCCGGTAACAAAAAGTAGTCGAAGAAGAACGGTCTCGTCTCAGTTCTCGCGCATGCGCCCATAAGGAAGTAATGGAAAGTCGAATAAAGTCGTTATTTACGTTTTTTTTTTCGCACAAAAAGTAGTCTCGTCGCTTGATAAAGTTATAGTTGAGCCGCTGTAGGCACATGGAATATTTAAACCTTTTCTTTTAATGACTTTCTGGGCCGTCAAGAGGCAGTCCCTCAGGCTGTCTATGGAAAAGTGATCCAGCTCTCAGATTCAATCAAAAATATCTTTATTTGTGTTCCGAAGATGAACGAAGGTCTTACGGGGTTGGTACAGCATGGGGGTGAGTAATTAATGACTTAATTTTCATTTTTGGGTGAACTAACCCTTTAATATACTGACCTACACAACCCTGAGACCAGTCGTGTTTTTGTCCACTAGAGTCAGTCACCTGATCCTGGTGGACGCGTGGGGTTTCCCTGAGAGACCCCAGCCTCAGCCACAGGAGTCAGGAGGTCAAGGGTCAGAGCTGAAAAGGGTATCGCCACCTCGCTGGGTGAAGGCTCTTGCTTCAGTGTTCAGCCTCTTCAACCCACTAGCCGTCATCAGAGCAGCTGGACCCTGGGGTGAGTGTGAGAACTGTGACCATGATGCTCTGAATCTCCTACAGAGGGAACATCACGTTACTGATCTGGAACTATGCAGACGCATGGTTGTTTATCACACAAATATTCAAACACACCTTTTTGTTTTTCCTAGCAAATTAACAATAATGAACGATTTGTAACTGATAGCCGGATGTAAGATTGTGGCCAAAACTGGTACTACAATGACTTTCAAATTACTGTTCATTTCCACTTAGAGAAAATACACATTAGCTCACATCACGTCTTCATCTGCAGGTCCGGGGCTGGTGAACAGATTCCGTCCTGACTTCAAGAGGAAGTTTGAGGATCTGTTTGATGACGACACCATGACACAATACATTTACCACTGTAACGCCCAGAGCCCGAGGTACAGTCGTTTTAAAGAATACCTATTAAGCTGTTTCACATTTTCACCTTTCTTTAGTGTTTAAAGGGGCGCTCGAAAACACCCTTCTGAACAGGGGCGGCTCGCCCATAGAGGGCACTGGGGCGCCGCCCTCCCTCCGACCTGTCTGTCTGTTTTTTTAATATATATTATAATTTATCATTTTGAAAAATAATCTGTGTTAATTATATGCTAATAATGGTTTTACTTTGAAAAGTGTTTTGAACTCACCAGAATGATATTTGCATTCACTTTCGTTACTTTTATCATGTTGGTGTAGTAGTATAGCCAATAGGCTGTCTTCTCAGGGCGCCAGTTCGCTCAGCCCCACAGTGCTGGAATTTAAGCCAATGGTTCCCCGGTTGCTATGCAAAAAAGTTTATATTTCGCCAATCAGCGTTGTATTAAAGGCTCATTCAGTCGGGACTTTTATTCTGAAACCGTAGTCATGGTAACCTGCAGAACTGTGTACAGTCGTCAGTTCAATTGCCGCTATCTGCTGAGTGCATGTAATCTGTGAGAGCTGTCAGCTGTAAAGTTGATTCCCGTTCATTCAGGGTGATTGGTGCAACTCTAATATTGTGATGTTAGTCATTGCCCTCAAAGTAAGTCACTTTTATTATATTTAGGTTGATTTTGAGTTGTGTAACTTGATCTGAATAGAGTTAAGCGTCCGTGACATAAGTGCATGTCCGGACATGTCCTGTATAGATCGTTCTGTGTTATTCAGATCGACTATGTACATCATTGAATATACAGTTGTGGCCTATCCATCTATCTACAATACACCAAATTAATCTGACCAACTGTCTCCTCATTATTTGTGCTCTTACCGGCACCCAGAAGGGTTTACTCATCCATTACCTAATCCAAACCTAACAGTCCAAAGCCTCTCCAACAAGCGTCGTCAAATTTTATGGTTTGGGGGGGCTGAAAATATCGCCCACAGTATCAGATTAGGGGAGTGCACCGTGCACGCGCACCACGGGACATTTTTTTTTTAATAATAATAATAATAATAATAGATTTTATTTATAACGCACTTTTCATTCCAAAGAATCCCAAAGTGCTACATAAAAGAACAACAATAATAGCTACAGGATACTAAAACAATAAAACAATAAGACAATCAGCAATATAAATTAAAAGCCTTTCTAAATAAAAAAGTCTTCAGTTCTGCCTTAAAGGCGTCCAGGCTCTGTACTTCTCTCAGATCACTCGGGAGGTGGTTCCAAAGCCGGGGTGCAGCTGAGCAGAAAGCTCGGTCCCCCATGGTACGGAGTCTGGTAGTCGGGGCCTGAAGAAGCAGGTGACCTGATGATCTGAGAGTGCGGGAGGAGGATTTCAGGGTGGTGAGTTCTTGTAAGTATGGTGGTGCATGTCCAGTGATACATTTGTGTGTGTATAGCAGAATTTTGAAATCGATCCGGAATGCAACAGGGAGCCAGTGGAGTGAGTGTAGGATGGGAGTCTCATGAGGAGACTCTCATGAGGACTCTGGCAGCGCTATTTTGGATGTATTGTAGCCTTCTGCATGTTTCTGGCAGAGATTCCAGTGAAGAGCCCGTTACAATAATCCAACCTGGTGGAAATAAAAGCATGGACAAGTTTCTCTGCATCCGAAAAGGTTAAAAAAGGACGTAGCTTGGAGATATTGCGAAGATGGTTGAAGGAGGTTTTGCAAATATATTTTATGTGTTCGTTGAAAGTCAGCTGGGGGTCAAACCTAACCCCAAGGTTTGTAACTGTGGAGGAGAAATTGATGGCTTGGTTGTCCACAATGAGTTGAGATACGGGAGAGGAGTGGATCTGGTGTGAGGTTCCAACAAGTAATGCCTCCGTTTTACCGGAGTTTAGCTGGAGGAAGTTGCTTGCCAGCCATTCCTTTATCTCCAGGAGACAAGTGTTGAGTTGCGACAGAATTGCGGAGGAGCTTGGAGGAGTTTTAATATAAAGTTGCAAATCATCTGCATAACAATGAAAGGATAGACCATGTCTGCTGATGACAGAACCGAGGGGAAGCAGGTATAGGATAAAAAGGATAGGGCCAAGAACCGACCCTTGCGGAACACCACACGTAACAGGGAACAGCCTGGACTCACATTCTCCCAAAATTAATCGTTCAGTCCTGCCAGAGAGGTACGACTGAAACCACTGCAATGCTGTTCCTGATAGTCCAACTATATTGTGGAGGCGGTCCTGAAGGATGGTATGATCGACCGTGTCGAATGCCGCTGTGAGGTCGCGTAAGATGAGCAGTGATGGTGATCCTGAGTCAGCTGCCATGAGAAGGTCATTTGTCACCCTTAGCAGAGCTGTTTCGGTGCTGTGGGACGAACGAAAACCTGATTGAAAAACCTCATATAAGTTATTGTGTTCTAGATGGTTGTGAAGCTGAAAGGCAACTTCCTTCTCAAGAACCTTTGACAGGAAGGTGAGGTTGGAGATTGGTCTATAGTTTCCCAGGACCTCTGGGTCAAGGGTTGGTTTCTTCAGTATCGGACGAATGACAGCAGCTTTAAGGGCAGGTGGAACAACGCCTGTTTTTAGTGAAAGGTTAATAAAGTCAGTGATGATTGGGCTGACAGTGGGAATGAGTGACTTGAGCAGGACAGTCGGGATGGGATCCAAGATGCAGGCGGACGGCTTCATTTTATTGATGATTTCCTCAACATGGCTCTGCTGGACCTCAGTAAAGTACGGAAGTGTCATCAATCCATCAGACAAGGGGTTGGAGGAGGATGGAAACAGTGATGAAGAGCCGGATAATGAAGTGCGGATGTTATTGACTTTGGATCTAAAGAAGTCCATGAAGCTGTTGCATCGCTCCACTGTGGCCTCAGTGGATATAGATGATTTCGGCTTCAGGAGGTTGTTTACTGTAGAAAAGAGCTGTTTTGAATTTCCAGTGTTCTTATTGATGAGGTTGGAATAAAATTTTGCACGTGCACCCTTCAAGGACTTAAGATGAGCGGCAGCAGGTACGTTGCAAAGCACCCAGCCAAAAAGATTGTTGTAGTACAGAGAGGTAGGAAACTTGCAAGGGGCATAAGAGCATCCAATTAAAACCACTTTCTTAAAATACACTAAATTAATATCTGAATGGAGAAGCGGCGAACAGACAGCACCAGCGTCCTCTCCCTCGTCCTGATTGATCACTACCGTTGGTTTCAGCTTTGGTTTCACACCCTCTCTTTCTCTAGTATCAACACATTGTTATCCATTATCCAATTGTCAATTTGTCAAAAATATGTAGTCTACAGCTGGGGATTGATTAAACTAGATTGTTGTATTACCTATTATTTTTTGTATTACCTATATTATAATTTATCAATATTATGCGTTTGCACTTTTTCTGTCAGCACACAGAGCATAATAAACATGCAACTTGTTCATTATCATTAACTGTCAAACTGTTATTATTATTATTGTATTATTTGACCGTTGTTATTGACTGGTTTAAGTTATTTTATTGGTATAGGTAAGGGCATGGCCTAAGGCCTAAAATGCACCAGAATGCAGGAAATCACATCTACTAAATTCAAAATTTTCTTGGGGGGGGGGGGGGGGGGGGTATATAGATATAATTATAATTATAAATTATATAATTATTAATTATAATTTATAAAAAATAGTATATTTTTTTTCCTACTATGGAAGTCAATGAGACCAGAAACTGTCTGGTTATTGATATTCTTCTAAATATCAGAAAATTGGCTGAATGCATTGGAAAACGGTAAAACTCAACTGTTTTACTCTGGGGGAGTGGTAAAATGAGCCTATTTCCAAAAAAAGCGGAGTATCCCCTTAATGGAAACACGCACGCAGCAGCCATTGTAAAGGCCATTGCACACTGAGCACGAAATATTCGTATGCGTATTTTCGTGTTCGTCAGCTTAAAAATTCGTCACGCATAGAAACCTTGCACACCGAGTCCGTTGCGTATTTCTTAAACCTTTGCGGGAAAAAACGCAAAAATACCAAATGGATTCGTCAAGCAGTGAGGATGATTTTTGCCCTCTCTGAAAAGGGAAGAAAGAGAAAATATTACGTCCATCCAATCCTGAAATTGCGCCGAGAGGAAGGAGAGTTCCTTATCAAGGAGTTGCGAATTTATCCCGAGCGATTCAAAATTTACCTCAGAATGTCAGTGGGACAGTTCGATGCTTTGCTAGCGATTCTGGAGCCACATATTAAAAACAAGACCACCAATTTCCGTGAACCAATCGATTCTGAACGGAGACTGGCAGTGTGTCTGAAATGGACCAGGTATGGACACACGGACAAACACACACACACCCGCGCGCGGCCCGTTGGAAGCGCTGGGCAGACAGAACAGCTAGGCTGTTATTGTGTATATTGTGCCCAAATAATACATTAGTTATCGAATAGGCTGCTCAATCACACCTTATTCGATCCTAAATTTCAATCTGATTGAAAGGGGAGGTTTATTAATTTCATAATCCAATATAGAGAAGAGAACATAAACACTTGATCGAATTGAAAACCGAAACTGAAAGCACGGCGCATATGTGCAATGATTTGAGGACGAGCTCCCCCGGCCCTGAATTGTCAAAAGACCTCTCAAAATGCTGGCTCTGGATGCGAAAAACGCAGAAAATCGAACCCGATCCGATTAATTTTATGACGGACGAAAGTTTCGGAGGCGGTGTGCAAGCGTGGCTGACATAACGTGAGGTCGAATTTTTTTTTTAACGTGCGAAAATTTCGGATGCGAATTTCGGACTCGGTGTGCAATGGCCTTAAGTCCACAAGAACGTGAGTGCATATGGCGTGTGCCATTTGGGACAGGGCATTAGTAGTGTGTTGAAACTCTTTATGGTAAGGGGCGGGGCATTTTCCCAAACACGCTCGAAGCCTTTGACCAATCACAACACACTGCTCCAGCCAACCAATCAGAGCACAGTGTGGTTTTCAGAAGGAGGGGCTTCATAGAGACAGGAACTAAACAGAGCGTTACTGAAAGACTGGGGAGATTGTAGCTGCAACAATGTCAAATATGTGAAAAATAATGTGTTTTTTAAACATTTAAGCTTGAAAAATATTGTGGTAGACCACAGAAACAAAATCAAGACTTTGTAAAAGGGTATAACATAGGCTGTTGAACACTGACTTTCTAGATGTAGAAGCAATAGTGTATTTTCTTCTGTTTTCCTCTCAGTGGTGAGGTGGGTTTCAAAGCCATGTCTGAGTCTCTGGGCTGGGCCAAAAGACCCATGGTTCAGCGTGTGAACCTGCTGCCACCATCGACACCCGTCAGCATGCTATACGGATCGCTCTCCTGGGTGGACAGCTCGACTGGAGACACCGTCGCTCAGATCAGAGGCAAAAGCTTCACCAGTGTCACGGTGAGTGAGAAATTGCAGCGATTGCACGTTTTCATGGAGAAACAAAAATGTGTAATTGTTGTTGGTTTTTCTCTGCAGATGATTGAAGACGCTTCCCATCACGTCTACGCCGATCAGCCCGACGAGTTCAACCGAGTGGTTGAGAATATCTGTAACACGGTAGACTGAATATGGTCAGACAGGATGGACACTGATTTGTGTGTTGGCATTTCTATCTTTGAAAGGGGTCTGTCCTGTGTTTGTGGGATGATCAGATTGATAGAAACATGTAAAGGCAAAGCTGTTCTCAGACCTTGTCACTTCATAATCAAATCGTATTGTTTGTGGCCTTTACCGTGAAAAAGCTCAATGACTGTACTGCAGAATTTAATGGAAGCTGGTTGTGTTTGTATTTTCTATATAAAAATATTTTATTCAGATTTCTTTTTTAGCATGCACTGAGAAAGTTGTGCTACCTGTGCCATGAATGCATCGACAATGTTTGGACGGTCATATTGACTAAGAGATGTTTCATAATTATTTCATTCTGCATTATAAACGGTTGTCTGTATTTTATAACGTGCATATCTCAATACAAGGCTGTACCTTTAACACAGTGTGTCTGTATTTGTTTCTCTTTATTTATTTTTAAACGTGTTTCTGGAAGCAGTTCTCATTCCTCTTGTGATTACAATTAAGTTACACTAAGTGGTGCTAGATTCAAAGTTTTGCTTTTGTGGGGTAGAATAATGCAGCTGATTTCAATGAGCTCATTGCAGACTATTTACTGTATATTTCCTGCTATTGTAAAAATGGCATGTAAATCAGTTTGCAGTGTGCAAAAATAAACAGCTCTAGCATGATCTCACTGTATCACAAATATGATTTTGTATCGTTTACTGAGTTTGGTGAAATGATAACATTAGGGAATAGGGATAGCCGTTTTAGTAAAAGTGGCCACAAACGTTTTGGCGTTTTGCATCGTGGACGATTATTTGATAATTATCGACTATATCAGACTAGAATCTTTCTAATCGAGTGGAAAACCTAGGACTAGTTCGCAAAAGTAGATTTTTCGGAAAAGCCAAAAATACACCAAAAATTTGCCGGTGACGAATCAGAGATCCATTAAGAGCCATACCTTACTGTCTATGCCTGGCCATTACCGACTTCTGATCGTTGTAGCGCCACAATCAGGCCGATTGGAGCGAGCCTTGGTGAGGGGTACTCCCATCCCTCAAAGTTTCAAGTCTCTACGATATGGTTGCCTGATCACTTTTAGGGGAAAGTGCTGATCCTTGGAAATTTTGGCTGTCATCTCGGCTTTGTCCAATAAAGTATTATTTTAATTTCTGGAACTTTGCCTATCCACAAGTTTCCTACGCCCCATGAGGCCTTGCGGCAAAAGTGGGCGCAACTTCCGGTAGGAAGTAAACAAAGCGCGACTTGACATGCTTGTACTCGTTCATTCAACAGTTGACAGTCATTCAAGTTATAGCGATCCAAACTAGCTAACGATGTGGGAACACAACCTCAACGAAATTCAAAAGGGTGAATAACAGTACCTTTACCCTCCGCAGTAGTTGATTAGAAGTATTATAACATTATTAATAATCAATACTCATCAAGGCATGGTGACAAAGTTGTGCGAGCTGACAAACAATTAAAATAAAAAATACACACTTAGTCATTGTGCTTTGGAGTTTATTTAAAATTATAAATGAATGTGCTATTGAATACATTAACTGGCACATTTGGTATTCTGTCAACACAGGCTTTGATCCTGAGTTTAGGTGTACAGCGAACAGCCAATCACATGCTGATAGAGTTTATAGAATATTAAGAATTTAAACTAATGTACACAGGAAGATTCGTCGTCTTTTGGGAGTGATGGAAACTACAGTCGTTGGCAGGATCACTCTGATTTCGTTTTCAGCTTATGTTCAAAACAATCACGTTTAAGCCACTGAATTAGTTTAGTCCGGTTATGCGAACAGCACATGTTGTCCCTGAGCTCCGTAACGACATCTCTCATAAAGATTTGCGTCTTTAAATAGTAAAATAATTCTCCGAAAAACAGCTAGCCTCTTCGCTAACTAACACACAAAATACCATTGGAATGCTACTTCTGCCGCCTCACCGGAAGTTTCACCCACTTTATTTTTTACAGGAGCGCCCCTGGGAAACTTGTGGATAGGCTACGCCTTATTCACGGCACGGCAGCGCCATCTTTGATTTTTAATGATAATGAAAGCGAGGCTGTACTTGCATCTCTTCAATGGGCTGTACTGTTATTTAACGTGTTTTCGGATTGTTCTGCTCATAAAACACTGGAAAAATATCTTTCAAAGAAATGTCAGTTGACAAAAAACTCCCGACAATGTAAACTGTGGAAAATTGTAAGTAATCTAACCGCTTTATTCAGCTTTTTACAGCGGATGCCATTGGAAACACGGTAAGTCTATCCCTCACAGCCTCACTTTCATACCTGTCATGGCGCTGCTTTGAATAAGGTCTATTGTGCTTCATTTACAAGACAGGGAATCCTCCACAACGTTTTTCGCCTATTATATTGTAGAGAAGTGTGCGATTTCCATGCAGCCACCGTACATGCCCAAATGCATTGCCATGTGAATGGCGGATTTGATATTTTTTGTAAACAAACATGCAGTTAAAGATGTGATACACAAGTGTTTGGTGTTATTGGATTGTTTAATAAAACGCTTCAACAGGTTATCTCAAGAAGACAGATGACATTAGTTAAAGTGCAAACACTAAAGGGAGTGTTTTACTTCATCTTTCCAAATCAAACACACATGTCTTGTCTTGTTCAAGCAGGCCAAACATGTTCGAAAACAACTAGAGATCAAAATATGCTGTTAATAGAAAAATACATTACATAGATAAATAATACAAACGTACATACAACTTTTATATCCTTCTTAAAAACTTAATATATCATGAAGTATAAGTAACTTCATATGTCTTCATACATGAATAGTGTTAGTTTACAGTCTTTGCAGTATTACCATAAGTGAAGATCCAACAGCATTTTGCATACGATTATTTATGCAAAATAAATAATATTTTTTTGATATAAAATTATAACTCAGTTATTAACTCAAAATTGACTCAGGCACATTAAATGAATTCATATTAGCCATTATTGTGAACAATATCCAATAGAGGGCAGCAGAAAGGCAAAAAATAATTTGTTTGGCTACAAATATGTAGCCTATATATATTTTGATTGAGATTCATAAGTAAAATTATAATACTCATATATGGTAATACCACAGGCCTTAGTTTTTTCAGTGGTGAACAAACATTTGATCACCTAAACTGAACCAACAAACAGTTAATATACAGTGAAGCAAAGGAAAAATAAATAATGTGTAAAATGAAATAAACAATATAAAATCGGGCACATACAGTAGGTATTACATAAAATAGTGTGTTTAAAAAGAGCGTTATTTCTTTGTGGCTCAGTGTAAAGCACTTAAGAATGGTTAATGCAGTTCATTAATCGACAGTTATGACCAGTGTTGAGGGTAACTCATTACAAGTAACTTGAGTTATGTAATCAGATTACTTTTTTCAAGTAACCAGTTAAGTAAAGTTACTTTTTCAAATAAGTAATGAAAGTTACTTTTTCACATTTATTGACTGATGGCTCTCCTGTCCCCATGTTGAGAGAAATAAAGTGAGGAGGTGTGTGTGTGTGCTGTGTAAACATGATGCTTATTTTAGTTGTAGACTAAATGTAAACATGCATTTACTCACCTCACTGGCACGAAAACATTCAGTATTCCGCAAAATGAATAAAAACAGACCTTTTATAATTAACTATATTGAATTACACAAATATACTTTATGTATTTAATCTCACTTTATTAACCAATGTCTTTTGCTGCTGACCTTCAAGATCTAATTCAACCACACTATGCCAAAATGACTTAAGATTAGATTTAGAAATAAGAGTGTTGAACTTCTTCTCCTGTATCCGTTTGTTCTTCAATCCAGAATGGTTTGTTTGAGCGGCGCCCTCTACTGTACAGGCGTAAATATACATTTCCTTCAACCTGAGGCTTATTCATTTCACTTTTCGTGTGTAAGGGCCTTTTACATATGCCAAAAATAGAACTTTTTTTTTGTTGTTGTCATTAAAAAACAAACAAGCAAGCCCAGCCCAGGTGAGAAAAAGTAACGCAATATTGAAAAGCATTACTTTTAAAAGTAACTCTGATGATACTGAAATAACACCATGAAGGGATACAGTCCATCACAGCAGACTGAATTCACTGGCTTTCGTGAACGTTGATGTCGGCTACGCCGTGCACTTGCGAGAGCTGTCTGCAGTCCAGAGACGCCAAAAGCTTCCTCTGGCCGGCGATCGTCGGGATGAAGTGCTCCGTCACAGTAACATTGGCATGCTTGCCTACATCACTGAGAAAACATGGAAGAGAGAGATAAAGTCAACGCATTCATTGGTGGGAGAAAAGCGAGGACTTCAAAATGTGTGACTATTCAATCACTAAAGGCCTGTTCACACCGGGACGAATTTCGCGCGCGATATTCGCCGACGTTTAACGGCTCGTGACTAAACAAAAGGTGGCAATGTGAGTGTGCACACCGACACGAAAAACGTCACGCGTAAAAGTGTCATTTTTTTAAAACGCCTCGGGTTCGTTTTTTGGTTTGGTCAAAAACTATCCGACCAATGAGATTGCCGCTTTTGCTCACGTCAGAAGTTACAGTAAAACGCAACTTGGGGGCGCTCAAACACAAAACGGTCTTGCCGAGCACACATGCGTAACGGAGAAGAAGTAGCGCCATCTACGCCATCTACGCCATCTTATCTACGCCAAGTAGCGTCTTCACTGCCGGGAAAAAATGAGAAGAGGAAGATGCAAGGCAAGATGAATGTAAAGCTGCTGGTCTCGCTGGTGTCGGAACATAAAGAACTATATGACAAACGCGACTGCGACTTCAAATTAGGACTATTTTTGTTTTACGTTAAGCGCCATCTAATGTCAGGGAATGAATTGAAATGTTCACTCGGCTCAGCGTCAGCGAAAATCGATTGGGTGTGAACACAAAAACCGTGTTGAAAAACGCTGGCGAATAACGCGCGCCGATATACGTCCCTTAAGACACAAGAGCAATAAACTGAATCAGTCAAAAAGATATAGGCCTAGATTCACAGACAGGGCTTAGCTGGATTAACCCAGGTTTAGGCCTTAGTTCAATTATGATCTATGGGATTTACTTCTTGTTGGGTTGCTATGAGAACATTAGAATCCTTCAGAATTGTTTCCAAAGGGTAAAATTCCGATGGAATCCTGCACATGTTCCATTCTAAAATAATTTTGAGGCTCTTACCCCACTCTGATGGGATGGAGGTCTCTCAGCCCCAGTCCTTCCACTCGGACCACCACGTTGCGCAGAGTAACGGGCAGAGGATTTGTGAACGTGATCTTCGCCGACGTCTCCTTGCCCACATACGCCTCTCCTATAGGCTATACAACGAGAAGCAAAGCATATTTACTGACCCACTCATTTGTTTTAGACAAATTTTAATATGCAATAAAATATTCTGCAGACATATTGTTGTGGTCAAATTTGTGGTTCAAAGGTTCTGGGTGTCTCACCTCAATGTGGATATCAGGTGTTCGGAGCCTAAAGCTGGTCTGATTGGCCAACACCTGTTGGGTCTCACTGACCCGTCCAGACAAGGTCAGCATGAGCGCGGCCTGGTCCACCAGTTGATTCTGATACTGGTTGTAAGGCAGGACCCACTCAATGATCTTTTCTGAAGGACAAAAATAAGAGGAATCAGCAATGATCATCGGCTTTACACTCT